TCATTGACGCACTTGGGCTATACCGAAATATGTACCGTGCGATTCTTGGGTTCTATGCAACTCTCGCGAATCTGTCGTGGTGAGAGAGGAAAAGACGAACTAATTTGTTTCCATTGGCTTAAAGATATGGGATTATGCCTTCTTGCAAGGACGAGTTGAGTATGACAAAATATCAAAATAAAAACAATGCCCAGCGATTTTGCACTTCAACAGGAGGACATACAACGAAGCTATGGCACAATTGTACAGAAATGCCCACTTTGCATTCGAAAATTCCAAGGACGTGGAGACCTTTGCCATAAACGTACGGGCCGCGTGCCTTGGTCACCTCAGTATCAATCAATCACCATCAACCCCCCGATTGGGCGGTCGAATGAAAGGCAACGATGACGAGGCTGGGCAGGGCGGCCAACGTGTCAAGAAAGGGCTGCCCGAAGTTGACCTTTGTGGCAATAAAAGTGGAGCGGCGTTCTCGCGGCCCTGAAAATTGTCGTGAGTCATCAAACGCCGCAAGTCTTCCTGAATTCAACTTTGTCCACAAGCAAAAATTTGTGGAAGAAGCGAAAAGGTCGGTGCTGATGTATAAAAATCGATGGGAAGGCATGAGAAAATTCCGACTTTCTTGCAGACGCCACTCAGCCTGGAGGCGCTGCCGTGTATGACGATATGCTACTAACTTTCGCCGTCCCAAGGTCCGTCTCAGCCGTGGGGCGTTTTTAGTGGATGGGCGCATGTGGGCGATATCACAGCTGGCAGTACACATTGCTCGACAAAATTGCCTGGTGGAACGCTCAAGTAACTCTTGAATTCGTCGGAGTGGGTTACAACCACCATTCTTGCCTCCATTGTCAAGGCTCCGGTTTTGTTTTTCTCGTAATCATGTTTATCATTGACATTGGGCGACTTCAAATACTTGTCTCTTCATTACCTGATTCATGGTCTCGTCAGGGTCTTGTTCTGTTCCAATAAAGTCAATGATCATTTTATCCCATCTTGAAATATGTCTTGCCATACCTTTTCGAGATGGCATTAAACCCAAGGCTTGTGCACCGGCTGAATATATCTATCTGTGGGAGTCCGCTCGCCCGCAACCCATTAGAAGACTTTACACATCCCAGATAAAGACCAAGGTGGCCTTCTTCTCTCTTCGCTATGCGACAATTGGGCCGACACTACAATGATGTCCAAGATGATTAAGAGATCGTTCTCGAACAAGACTGCCAAACACGACTACTTGGTCTATAACACATCATAGAGATACCGCTACGCACCCCCTGATACTATCTATATAGACAGCAGCTAAACTTAGAACACCTTTCGACTGACAAGTTGGCGAGAAACACTCGATCTCACTGTGTGCCCGGGTTATCTGCAAATAGAAAGCGACAGACAATCCTTGTTCATCCCCAAGCTCATCATTGGGAGTTAAGTATTGGATGCCGACGACTTAAACACAGAGGTTCTGACTATGACGAGCTGATTACATATCATGCTGAAGAATTCAAACCCATGCCAGACTTGAAAAAGAACAACAGCAGGCTCGTTTTCCTAGTAAAATCGACAAGGAGTGCAGAGAGCCTTGGAAAGATACAGAAGCAAACCTTAAAGCTCGCTCTCGTTTCCCTCTCAATCGCACGAATATTTGTGTCATACGTCATGCCAAAGGTCAAAACCTACTACAGCAGGCCCAGATCTACTTTGCAAAACAGGATGCATTTTACGACCCCTTATTCAATACAACAGCCGAAGCGGAGGAGAGAACGAGCAGCCTCCGTTTACGCCGCGAAAATAACTTCCTTCTGCTCGCAGCAGACAAGACACCTCATGCAGCACCAAGAGGAAAAACCAAGATTTTCTTCGAAAGCATAGATCGTGACTTGCTGACTTGGAGTCATCCCCTGTTTTGGTTGTCGAAAATCATCATTGAAAGCGTATACCCGAAGACGTTGAGTCTCTCGTGGCATTTGCGGTTGAGCGCATGTGGGACAAGACCAGGAAAGCGTAATGCTCCGAGCAGTAGTGTCCGACACAACAACGTTGATGCTGTGTGAGCACAGCTATTGATTGTCGACACATACTGCGTGAAAGATCAAATTGGTCGAGAGATGACAAGGCAGAAGACGGCTCTTCACAATCAACGGCCAAAACGCGTGGCCGCAAGCTCGGCAAGTTATGAAGTCGAAGATAGCCACAATAACACCAGCAGCAGCAACATATTGGGGTTTGCTGTTGTCGTTGCCTCAGCCGATGTTGTATATAGTCTAGCTTGAATTCCAACCCTTCGCACAAGCCACCGACTATCGAAGGATTCCGACGATTTTGCGATCTCAAAAACATTTCCGAAAACGCTCGTCTGTATCGCTCAATGAGACTTTTCATCACCATGGATCCAAGGAAGTCATGATTGACTGGATGCTTGGATGGTGCGAGATCTCAGAATCGGATAGCGAGGGAACCGCAACATGCACTTGCATCTTGTGCAGAATAGTCCAGGAAGTCATGTCTGAAGTCAAAAGACGGACGATGTTCAACGAGAATGGTACCTACGAGATCAAATATTGATTTGCTGATCCCAAAAGCAAGGACTTACCTAATGGGGCAGCCTCATCGACTCGTTTGGTCAGTCTCTGACTTTTATATCTCTTGGCCAAATTATGGGACTCACAAGAAAATTTGATACAGTCAATCTGACTTTTTGGTGGTTTGTGCAAGCCTCACATTAGCGACTCTCCCAAGTCTTGTACCAACACAATTATCCGGATCGATCGTGTTCCACCTCGAAGGTGTGTATCATTAATCTGGATCTCGTCTCTAGCTTGAAACGTGAGAAGGACGAGACCTAGTGTAATTTCCTGCCAGGGTTCGATTTCCCTGGGCCTTCTCTCTACAATGAGAAAACAGAAACGTGTGATATTTGACAGCGGACCTGCGAGCACAGAAACCGAAGAGCTGAGAGAATTGGGTCCGCCACAGGATACATGACAACGGCATATCACCTGCCATGTGTGCTCTGGCAGCCTGCTAAGACCTTGCGCTTTCGTTTCAGTGTCTTTGGGCTTCAATAATCTTCACGATGTGGGTAGGTTGATGAAGCCTATTCTGTTTTGACTCTTGAATTTTCCCCTCTACATCGATTTGCAATTTACATTTTGAATGCCCGCTGGAAATTCTCCCAGGACAATGTCGGCCCCAGTGGCTGTATGAAGAATTGGAACAACGTCCCTGTAGCGACGAGCTCTTCATGTAACCCCATCATATCCTCTCGAAAGCCAAGACGAAGCAACTAGAGCCTGTAACAGCTTTCTAAGTAGACACTTACTGAGGTCATTGTCAATCAAGCTATTGAGCTGGCGCCCATTCGTTTGGGAGATACTAAAGAGGATTATCAAGTGCGCTCACGACGTTACTCTTGTGGAAGACAAGGGAAAAGACGAAAAATCCAGACTTGCAAATGTCCAGGCCAAATATGTCCATGGCCTTCGTTTATTACAGTAGATATTGGTACAACATCAAGTTCAAGAGACTTGGGAAGGAGGAGCCTCTAAACGAAACAGAATTTAACAGAAACTCGTCAAGAGCAACGAGTTCTTGTCTTGGGATAACAACGATAACATGTGGTATCCAAGATTTCGAATTGAGAACGAGGCCAGGCTTAAGTGGGCCTTAAGTTGCCTCTACGATTCGAAGCTTGGATATGCTTTGCTCAGAAAAGATCTTAGCGATTCCAACTATTCACTGTCCTTGCCGCGGTCCTCAAAAGTTTTGTCCTACACGAGGCGAGATTGTAAAGCCTTCAGAGATGCTTCGAGTTAGAAGCTGCAACGGAGGCCGCAAAACTAGGTCATTCACTTAGAGCACCAGATCTGCGCAAAGATGTGTGGTCGCTGAGCGAGCAGGCCAGCACTATCAAACCTTGACCCTAGCTTACTTTCGTTTTATCTATGCCTGGCTTTGACTGTCTGGAATTTTATATCTTTTCACATCGAGAAAGAGACCAGGGACAAAATACTACGATCCGGCGAAGGCCTACTCAAACATGGCGGATCGAGTAGTGAGCTTGAACGCTGAGCTATTTTCCGACAGACATGAACGAGGCACAAGGAATAGTGATCTACGAGGAGGTGCTCGATGGAAAGAAGCAAAAAATTCTCTCTGCAGCTTTTTCAATGATCAATTTCTCGCTTCCCTCCGCCCTCATCATCTGTGGCCAGCTTTACAGAATTCAGCAGCTCCAACACCCTCGTCGAAAGCAAATTTCGTCATTCTTACGGTCTGACTTTGGTTCCTGCAGTGGCCCTGTATAAAGCTACAGACATTCATCATCATACTACCTGTTTGTCAATGTGTTGAACTCATTGACAATGGTTGGATAGGATCCCTACAATCGCACCAAAGATACGTCTTCTGAATGCCAGATCCCATATGCATCATCTCAAGACAAGTGGTAGAGTCTGAAGCACTAATCAATCAGTATTGTCTTTGAACATTGAAGTAACGTGATGTAATGCTTCTCTGGACGCCTAGGGGAATGGAGCCTAAAGAAAAGGGACTGGCTTTGGCCCAAAGATCCTCGTATCGCTGCGCATTTTTTGAACCTGATTCCAACGTACAACGGAGAGGAAAGGTGGTCATTGCTGTATGCGAAATGAGATTTGCAAAATTAAGTCATTCGAATAGAGATATATGTAATGACGCTTCTTTGGAATGGCTATTGATCTAGGCTGAATGCAGGAGGTACGAAAATTGATGTTTGGTCGTTCCAAAGGTGTCGATTCGTGAGAAATCACACCCGGCGAAGGGAATGGGAAATTTTGAAAGCTATCTGCACCCGAGGACTCGACGATTCACCTTGTGACCTCAACGTATTCGGCACCACGATCAAACATGCGTTCGGCGATATTCTGGCGCTAAAGATACATGGAAGCCAAAACGCGGTTGCCCTCGCCACAGGAAGATCGATGCCAACCACAGTCAGAGACTTCCGCTGAGTCGTCGCGAAGATGCTACTGGAGAGAGCCCGTGGACAAGCAGTGGACATGCTTTCAGTCCTGTCGGAATTCCTCGACTCTGGATTAGGCGAACCTATAGTGGAAAACACTGCTCCAGCAGTAGATGAGGACGATAATGTAAGCGAAGTTTCTTTCGAGCCTACGGCGGAAGACGATTTCCGAATGGTTTTTGTGCATTCGCAAAGAGGGAACCTGTAAAAGATGCAGGCAGCTCAAGGAGCTTCCATAACCAATGGATGGCGATGTCGCCACTCCTATCTGGCGAACTCATCTTTCTATCAATGGAAGGACTGAATGAACGAGACTTCTAGACTTCACTAGAAAATGCGCTTCAGCGACTCTCATACGTCATGTGACTTCATTGCTCTCACCAAAATATATCTCTTGGTCAATTCTTTTGTCAAAATTTTTACTGAAGAATTAATTTTCATTGAATAATTTGCATAATGCAACTCCATGCCTGGCTTCACGATTCCAGCCTAGGAGCCTGGGGCCTGGTCCTAGTGGAGCTCCTCGAGCTCCTCGAGCTCCTCTTGCACTCGCCGGTGAAGAGGAGTCTAGTGATCCCACGACGCTGGCGGCGTCACAGAAAAAGGTGTTGGAGAAAGCACAACTTGCTGGGCTTGTTAACAATCTTGGTAAAAATTCGCAACTCTCAGAGCTCTTGATCGCGAAGTATGCAGAGACACAACAATCTGTCATCATTGTGGTTTTGAAAGGCTGCGCGGCGGCACGCCAGTGATGTGATTGTTTGGGCTGGAAGGGAAATACTACGAGTTAGCTGCGAATGGCGACAATCAAGGCAGCACGCTTCAAGATTTCGCACGTGGCTTCACGACTCAAATACCGAGGACCGAATCAGCAAGTACGCTCAAGTGTACGGCATGACGGTCACAGCGATTGTGACATTTCCGCACTAAGCCAACCCACTTCTCCCCTTCAAAATATCTTCACTTAACAACAGGGTCTCATACTTTAAAATCGACCATAGTATTCATCTGTGGCCTAACATAACTCCAGCTCCACTGGTATTTATGAGTACTTCCCGAAGGTAAGTCCATATTCAAATTGCCTCCACAGTAGACATGGCTATATCCCCCCAGCCATGCCTTGTTTTTATATACTCTTTCAACCACATGAAGAGAGACTCAATTGGGGGAACTTCGCAGGGTTATCTTCAAGATCGTACTTCTCGCGACACGACATTGTGCACACGACTTGCAGTGCAGACAATTGGCACCATTCAGACAAGTATTGTCATTATTCATCTACCTCATACAATTAAACGAAAGCTCTGAGGATTCAGCGATGCATGGCATCGAAGAGACGAAGTCCTTTCTCGACGCAGCTGGTGCCGGACATTCAATTATTTCGTTGTCGAAAGGGACCTAATAATTCACCGACTATATATTCTGCTTTCGGCTTCTTCACCTTGGAGCGTCACTGTCCGAGTCTGGTACCTGAAATCCACTAGTCTTAATGTTGTGGCTCTTTCTTTATCTCAAATTCTCAAGTAATCTACCCATATAACAGTGCTATCTTGATATACATTTCATGGGCATTGAATTCTCCTCATTCTTCCAATAACGGAGCTGACTTATCAGATATATCTCACAGCTCAATTGGGCATCTGCAAACGTTACCGCGTAGCATTATGCTTTCCCTTTTTTTCTTTTTAAAAATTTTTGGTAGCTTCGCAGCACAGGTTATCTACGAATTCGAATTTCGTTACGAAAAGTATCTACCAGGAGTACTCCCCATAGCTTCTTGATAGCAGGACGAGAAAGTCAGTCACGTACACTGAACAACCCACACCTTGGGAATAATCCAGTGTTTATGAGTAATTACGCAATTTCCAACAACGCAATTTGGGACAGGATGATCATCTTGAACGAGCTCGTTCTCTTGTGGTAATGAGGTTTCCCTGAGTATAAAGTGAGCTTTAATCCGGAAGATACTTGGTGCCTTACTTGAAAGTCTAGAGATTTCTCGACTCTTGCACAACACGCCTACGGCGTCGTTGGAACTGTATAGGATGAAAGAAGGTTACAACTCAATCGCCAAGACCTCTAAGGTAGACTGGAGACCAATTATCACCTCCAAGGCGCCTACCAATGTTGTGATAACACAAGATCCTACATAAACGCGCGTTTTTGTGTTCTCGCCCGATTCGCCCCAGGGCAAAAATGAGAGTGAAAGGGAGATGGATTGGGAGTTTTACAAGGTACGAGCGGAGGAGCTGATCTGATCTTTTGAGTCCGCCGCTCGACAAGTACGAGATGGGCAAGTATCACGAGGAATGGCGCCGTATTATTCATTCACAGGAGAATTAGGAGCCGCGGATGGGCGGACAAGTGCATCAATATTGGGCAGGCCCAACATAAGTATCCAAAAGCTGAATGTCATGATGGAGGCTGTATCAGGTCAACTGCAGACACTCACCGAGGGTGTGAGCTATCCTCACGGCTATGGCCCAGAAGCAGATGATCCGCAGTCGCTGATTGTTAGGGAAATTGTTATGAGCATTTGCTCAACTTCGTAAGCGATTACAGTCTCAGATCCGCTATCGTGAAGTCTTTCGTTAATTGCAAGTTGAATGCATTGACATATGATGCGTAAACTGTCTTTTGACCCATCGCCGAGATTGTACGTCAAGATATCACTTTACTGAACAGGGTGGGTCTTAAAGAGCTATGGATGAAGCTTCCTGGGACAATAGATGGTCCGACGAATAAGCTCGTCTACGACAATTTCAGGCGACGACACGAAGCATTGTGTGCTGAAAAGAATTGTTTGCCATCGAAAAGAAACTCATGTTCCATTACGAACTTCACTTTGAGAGAACAGGAAACGTTGAGGTTGCGGTCTTACTGTGCGCTTTGTCCTATCACAGAGTTTCATCCGCAGAATCAGCGTCGTACAGGCTGCAGCGACTGTGCAAACCCCCTGAGAATACAGCAGTCCGTCTTTCCCGGGGTGTAAATCCAAGACAACTTCTCCCAGCATTTAGAAATGATAACGCAGCAAAAGATTGCGGCTTGTCGGCTGGCAATCTTTTTGTCAGACGACGGTTTAAGGGAGTATGAAGTCGAAATGGCGATGAAACTCTTTCAAGTGTTTCTTCTCACAGTCGGAAATAGCAACGAGGTAGCAAGAATTCCCAAGCTCCGGGAGTATCACGCACAAGGGTGATGGGACGGGCGAAGCGGCACTTTGGGTACTTGTTGAGGAAAACTTCGCTTTCACCCGCAGTCCGTGGTCTTTACTCGGTTCACAGTGACTATGAGCGGTAAAAATTCACATCGCATGTGCAGCAAACGTTCTTTCTTTGACAGTCTAAATTCTTAACTTCTGCAAAATCATTAAGTCCATTCTCTTACATGAACAGTCGAGCCCGCCTACTTTCTTCATCCGAAAACACTCTTGAGCTGATTTCATTTGCTTGGGCTTGATATAAAGTACGTGAGGGACGAATACAGTGTTCACAGTTTTAAGTCTACTTGAGGCGAGACTGTGTTCTGAACAATAATAAATGCTGGCAGTGTTGCGGCTGGAGCGATCGCTTCATTTTCGACCTCAATGAAAAGCGACCACCACCATCTAGCAGCAGATCGAGAGCCCAGTAAACCTACGACGCAAAACTTGGATCTGCTTAACTTTTTCTTTTTAGCTCATCAGTCACGTCGTGCTCTCTACTCATTCATATTACTTTCTCTCGTTATCTTCATTCTGAGTACCTCATATCACACGTAATTATGATGCCTTTCGAAATGTCGCTAATTCAGCAGGTGAAACCGTGCTCTAGAGTAGCGTTGATCGTTATTTATAAATTACGCTCAAATGGGAAATCTGGCGCTGACAGCTTGGCTGCAGCTACTTGAGGGGGAATTTCATAGATTACTTTGAAATTGAGTGCTCAAGAAACATTGTAAGCTCAACTTCCTATTACCCGAAACGTTTGTTGAAGAGGCCACAAAGAAGCCAAACCCATCACTGAGCCTTGGTGGCTCCATGGCATTACCCTTCGACTGCTGGTCAACAGTCTCGGTCATGAATTATTGCATCGATCTCATTCGTACTTGGCATTGTGGGAAAGGACGGGCAGAAGGAAAGAAGTCGGGATGGGACTGCGTTGTGGCGTCTACATGCTAGTCCTTAAGTCCACAACAGGCGAATCACCCTCACTGCATCAACATTATCCAGGAGAAGAGGGAGGCTGACTCCACAAATTCACTCCCGAGTCGTGACTACCGGGCACCACTTTTCGCGAGTTGATGGCATTATCTTGCTCTAATGTCCACATCTGAGAATTATGATGAAAAAAGCCACAATCAGGTCAAGATGCAGATGCCAAACAACTGCAGTTCAATAAGAAGCTTGTAGCTGAAGCGTGGATTATCCTACTCGCAAAGATTCCACGTGCGTAGTGAGACTCTGACACTCTCTTCATGGCCGTCGACATCGAGTAAGCTCACGAAACACGTTTCACCTGTCTTCTGCCTCGTCATCGGAGAATATATTCGCAGACCTGGATTGCCGGCATTGCAGCCTTCAGTGCTCTTTACGACTTCAACGCAGCTAAATTGGTCAGCAGTCTTGACCTCGTTCTTACAGCCGTTCTCATCGGCTTCCGATCAATCTCGTCCTTACAAGGTACAGAGATCATCCCAAGATCTCAATGAGACTTAAAACTCTTGAATATAAAAAGCTATTAAATTTGTTGCATGGCTTCTGGTTTGACGATCTGCATACTCCGCAGTCAGCATGATGATTAGTCTCACATCCTGCTCCCAGATTACGTGCCGAGTATGAATTAAGCATGTACAACCGCGACTACCCCCGATTGGACGGGGTTCGGGAGAAGAATTCTGCCCATGTCCATACCCTTGACAAGATGCGAATCCAGTTCGAGAGCTATCACGACATGGTCGAGGACCCAGTCGCCTATAAGCGATACAAGGATAGCATGTATTCCATCGATCGTGACAATTCTGCTAGGTATGCTTGAAAGGGAAAGGATGTACCGAATAGCCGGCATTGTTGACGCCTCTGGAAAATGGACCAGAAAGCAGGAGCCTCGATTGCAGCCCCATCAGTTCGAAGTCATCAAATTTTGTTTCGCGACGGCTAATCATCTATGTCTACCAAAACGACGTTTACTTGGAAGAGGTTTGTAGTCCGCTTTTGGGATGGAACCCTCAGCGGTGAAAAGCGCAAGACGCACGACTCGCGATTGCTGAACTGGTGCGACTGAGTTCAAACTTTTAACCCTGAATTCCACTCTTCAGGAGAAACGCTATGCTGAGCGCTCAAAGGAAGCCCCTTTCATCAACCTCTACAACTCAAATCTTGGTTTTTCCAGAGCACAATGGTGTGAAATGATCTGTGCCTTATTTGACATCGAAGAAGCACCTTTTGAGGTAGGCCCCGAGATGGTCCTGACACTGAGCTCTGATTACATGACAAGATCAACTAAATTACTGTGTGCCAGAATATCACCCTGAGGCTAGTCAATTTGTGGCAGATCTCTTCGTGAGGGCCGCAGTGCCAATCCCGTATCTCGTCGTGAGAGCCATGATTCTACTGTCGTTAGTCCTTGTTTGTGCAATTAGATCTAATTTGATGCATACTATGGACAGGATTTTGAAACGATTCATTTCATGCCTCGTGTTGGCTATCGTGTCCATCAATGTGAATGTAGCCGTTCAATGAATGGCTCTCATGTGCAGGCATAAATTGACTTTGGCCCAAACGCCAACTATCTTTTGGCTTTCCGATGAGATTTTTGTCTGTAGGTCCCTATTTTCATCTCTGACACGCAACTTGTCAGCAAATGATCCACAGGTCGGATCTAGGGGTGCCGTGGGACATACTTGCTGACAAATGGACAAGACAGGCATGGCCATTCAATTTCTGATCCAACAAAGGGCTCAGAAAGAATTATTTGCCAAGGGAGCGCTGAAGAGACTTGTTGTAATCAATGGTCCGGCTTTCGAGAAAATGTGGTCTGAATACGACCCAGAGCAGGCCATCCGAGTAGAATTGAGCTGATGAGAGTCGAAAGGACTCGGTCCAATAGCAATAACAGCCAATGACAATGGTGGAGCGCCAGCAAAAAAGGCAAACTCAACCAGTAAGGAAGAAAATAACCGTTTATTGGATTGTGTATCAACCCACTCAAGACTACGGGCCAAAATAACTAAACAAGAAGCTAAAAATCCTGGTCGAGCCAAAGAGAGCGAGTGGCCAGTATCGCAAGTTCGCGTGACGAATATTTGGGCATCGCGAAGCAGAATACATGTCTTCACATCGACGGCAACAGATGAAAAGACGATGTGCTTTTCGATGGGCTCATCGGCCATTTTCGTCTTGGCCAACATGCCATGGACAGTGCGTCACTCAAAATCTCCCAGATGAATAAACCGAGGAGACTAGTGTTACACCTTTCACTTCAAACATGAATATCGCCCGGAAGAGGTCGCATCATACCTCATCTCATTTGCCTTCACAAGCATGCCATTCCAATAGATTGTCTGAACCAAAGTATGATACTTAGATTTATTGTGTTGATCTTATTTAGTACATTGTTTGTAAGAGCAAAGCCTGACATTCGAAAGACTCACCGTCACATTCATGCCTTTGGCGATGCATCGAAAATTGTTTCATCAACAAACCAAGGAATTCAAGGCTTCCGCAACGATCGCCAGAGAGGAACTCCTATCCCACAGGGGGATGGAGACGCTTCATGTCGACTCGTGCGGGAAACTTACATTTTGGTCCCATTGTGAGCCCTTAGCTTTTGAAAGCATAGACCTTCTGGGTGTTCTACCAAATAATCAGTCAAAATCATGACATCGCCAATTCATTGAAAGTTATTCTTCGAGGATAGGAGACAAGAGCCATCCTACCACTTTTGCCTCCTCATTACATGCCGGGGAGAAACGCGTACACTGAAAGCCCGAGGCTTCTACCTCTAGTACCAATCTTATTTATACATGACCACGACGATATTAACTGAGTGCGTAATATTTTGCCTTTTGAGAATTGGACTAGCCTACCTTGCCCGAAAGCCGAATACATCCCGCATTGTTGATCCTCCTTCCTGACACCTTCTACTTGCAGAATCAAACAGAAAGATAACGGAAGCATGAGATTGTTTTACTCATTCTCATTCGTACCAATGACCTATGCTTAGCCTGTTATTACTTTGCTAGAAGCCGAAACACGTCAGCATTTGTTCACGGCTGCCTAAGTAGCAGCGAAGGCGGTATTCAAATTGGAGAATTGCGATACTCTCAAAAGCTTTCTCTGTTTCGGTTTTTTGATACTAAAATGACTTGAAAATCAAAATACTCCTCTCTTGGTGAGATGCTTCCAATTGTTCTCTTGGTTTACCGGCTCCCAAAGTCGTGCTCGAATCGTCAACTATCATACATTCATTTTGCTTCGCACCTAGTACGCATGTGATATTAAGCACTATGAGGTTGCATTGCACAGTTCCACAAATCCTATCGCGTACCTTGCCTCCAGACACTCATGCAACACCAATCATTCTGTACTGGCGTATGACACTGCGTCTTCCACAATATTGACCGACAGCATTCAATGATGTAAGTGTGACCGCAACCTCGCCTTTTCACTGGAGAAATCGAAAGCAGAATTTTACGGGACTCGTAAAGTATGGAACAACCAGGCAGAAGTCCGTGAAACGAGAAATAGGATCAACAAGTACAACAACCAAATCGACCTGTGGACTCGACAAGAGCTCAAAATCGAATGTCCGGCGCTGATTATTGTCGCTGCAGTTTTGCCTAAAGTATGCCTGCCGAGACATCGAAAATCTCAATTTGATTCATCAAGTTTGTTGAGGTATGCCCTGAAATGTGAAAAGGACCCCGAGCATGCCGACGGAGTAGCTCTTGGAATACTGGATTCGTACAAATCTGTGATGGAATTGTGTTCTTGATTACGCTTCAGTGACCTCCCTATGATACAACTCTGCGGTTGATTCGACGTTGAGAAGTTCATACGCTAGTCAGCCTTCTCTAGGGCTTAAGGCACAACGAAATTGTCTCTGTATGCGCCTTATATTCGTCCGGACCTTGAAGTCAGGCATGTTGATGGCCACACCATCGTCGGATGTTTTTTCGCTATCCTAAGTGAAAGATTGAGAAAGGCTCCAACATCGGGAACAAAGACACTAGATATCAAATGACCGTTGAACAGTGCGATAAGGACATATGGATACGATCGCGCGATAGCAAGAAAAGCAAGATATCAGATTCGAAGTCCTGCACGATGCGCGTGTGCATATCAATGAAAATACTCGAGCAGTCCCCATTTCAGGTTTCCAAGATCTCAGAGGCGTATGGGCGAGGCACTCTACTTGACGAAAGCTCGAGTGATATGAAGTGTGGCGAAGAAGAACATCATGTGCCTGCAATTACGAGCCTCACAGACATATGCTCATCTATGCCTGCCTTTTCTTACATCGCTGAGATTTTTCCCTGGGGAACCGCAGCCTCATCACAGTCACACGAGAGGAAAGTGGAACAGTATGAAACGATCCGGACGAGAAGGCCAACAAGAAGTAACAGAGTTCCTCGTTGACAACAAGTCAGGAATAAGTATTGCCAAGGTGAAAACCCTTCCACCATATACGCCAAACCACGGCAACTACCATGGCATCCCAGGACACACATCTTAAAAATGCATACATCTATATGGAAGTAACACGATAATCAAGAACATATTACTCCCATGGTCTCTGTGTGGCTTGAGAACCGAAAAAATAGTACCATATAACTCCAGAATGCTATCATTGGTATCGACTCGCGGGATAGAAGGGATCATAAATGAGGATCAGCATCTCCGCGAAACGAATCAAAGCTTGGTTGCTGGACCGAGATCTCTTCCTAGCTATGCATATTCTCATAATTTTCCCCAAGTTTATAATGAAGGACTCGCTTACCCCTCAGAAACCAGTTTCGATCATCGGCTTTCATATGTGAATCAGAAATCTAGCAGCCGAACAACTGGAGTTGGTGGGTATGTTGTTGTCACTTGTCTCAGCAAAACATCCGGTGTGGCTGCTTTGGAGACAAGAATGGAGCTTCAAAGCGACCCCCTTTGAAGATGTTGATTCTGGACTGCGTCTAGCAACTCTGTGACAAAGACTTTAGTCATGCTAAAGGGTTACCACTACTCTCATTTCACGGGTTAAAGGGACTGGCTAGTGTCTTCAAGGTCTACCGCCGAGGAGCAGATGCCCAGCTTCTGCAACGCTCCTGCAATACGCTTGGATGTCCTTACTGAAAAAGGTCTCGCATGGATGATGCTATTACTTCATGAGTAACTTCGGTTTACCCTGCTCCGTGAGATTTGGCTGAAACAGCGCGGAAGACTCAACCAAGCCTAATTTGATTGACGAGCTTTTCATAATGCTCGATAGCAGTCGTGAGATGATTTGTGATAAGATAATACGACTTGTACCGTGTTAGTTTGGCGTCTGGTTCACAAAGAGAGCCACCAATGAACACCACAATTACAAGACTAGATACAACGGTCGGACGGGAGTTGTACCGGCTCCATTCTATTCATGAATACATTCAACAGTATTGTCTTACACTCGACCTTCAGCTTTTGGATTGCATAGTGTGCTACGCAGAAAATGACGACTTCGAGGGGAAGATCTCCTGGCCCTTTCGACGATTGAAGGGGTTTGTATCTCTGCTTTAATGTTCCATCTCATATCCTTTGTTTTTCCAAGATCATAGATGATACACCTATGACTTCACAAGGAAGCATGAAAAGCCTCGCAAAAGGAAGCAAAAACTTGGAAGAGGTCTGGGGAGTGGAGCATATGACTTTTCTACCACGCCATTGTCGCCTCACAATGGAGAAGTAGGCGGAGCGTTCCTTGTTCAACTTCATTGCCTCAAAAGTCATTCGAATACAATCTATGTACATCTACAACCATATATGAAGCTAAAAATTCCAGCAGAAGCGCAAATATGTACAGAGACGCAAGAACGGACCGCCTAATCTGCGTCGTTCTGTGAGTTGGTGATTCAGGAAGGGGATCAGGTGGAAGCTGCAGAAATGGCGAGAGCGCCTTTGCTCGCTTCCTGGCCATCCTTGGATACGGGCTTGGAAATTACCGACAAATTTCGCAACGTCCCATTTGATGACTGGACTGTACATCGTCTAATGCAGGACTCAGACAATAACCGAAAAATTTGCCGCCTCCGTTTCAACAGCAGTGATGGATCTATGCTCGCTAAGCCCTCTGATTCGCCGTAAAGGCAAATCGCGACATTGCTGAAAATCCCGTTGCATACTTCACTAGAGATAAGTCATAGCGGAAGTCATCTTAGACCGCTATCGTCGATCCATAAACCGATAGACTGTCATCTGTTCAAGACAGGTCAAATTGTCCACACACCAACTCTTTGACCCAACAGCGCACATACGGATTACTCTATCGGCGAAGAAAGGTACCTAGACAAGCAAAGCAGAGACTTTTGCTTCGATGGCAAATGCAAAAACACCGCGATACACTAACTACTCGCTGTTACCTCTCAGAGAGCACGATAGAAAGTAGAGGTGGCTGTGTGAAAATGCAAGCGGGCTGGACCTGAAACTCGACATGTTCTTGAATTCCTAGAAGTTGATTGGTACACGAAATCGAGTATCAGATAAACAACGGCAGGAAATAGTGTCTGCGCTCTTCAGTCGAGGATGGTAGACGTAGAATACTCGGTCTAAGTCTACAGCAAGACCTCAAGAACTGCCTGTTGAATCTTCGACTGAAGTAACCCCAGCGAGGCCAACAGCCTCGGAATTTAGCCAGACGAAAAGAAACGCCTTCGTGTGGGCTCAGGGATAATGTTGGAAAGCGCTAGGGCTTCTGGTGTTCGTGAATGATATCAAGAGACCTATAAGCACTCATGTGAAAGTGAACGGACAGTCGGAACTAACATGAGTAGCATAGCAATCAATGTTCCTGCCGTGGAAAGATCGCTAGCGTTGAAACTATGCTTTATATCAAGAAATGGACTTACGATGGGCGGTGCGGACTTTGGTTCAGCAGTACATCAGCGCTCAAATTCGCCGCAAGATCAGCTTATCTCAACAGCGGAATCTCTACTTGATAATTAAGCTCCATCACGATATCGACAATATATGTGGACCTAGCTTCGTCTTCCAGAATAGGGGATGTTCAGTAGTACATTGCCAGAAATCCATGGTCTGGAGCTGGAGAAGTCCCAAGTATGAATACAATGCTCTGCAAGTTTCTCGAAGCGGTGGGAGACGGGTTTCAAAGTCTGCGGATCGACGATCTGAACATGTTGCGTGTTGAGTTTCGTTCCGCCGACATGAAGGCTCTATCGGAAATGATGAAATGTCAGCATGTGACAGATGTTTGCGACAGTCTTTCATCGCTTAGGTAAGACCGTCATTTACTTTTCCCCCGGGTTTCTAAAACCCTCTACCCCTCGCCAGTTAACTGAGGACGAGCTTTGGCGAGTCCGAAGGGTACTGGAATTGCATGACTTCCCGCCAGGGGAGCGTGCACGGTGGAGGGGCGACATTGAAAGGGAAAACGATGAGCTGAAGCAGGAGCGAGACGCCCTGATTCGTTTCAAGAGAGAAGCCGACACCTTAAAATAGAGTACCTACATGAGACTCGTGAGTACTTATAAGAAAATACCTGACGTTCTTCTCTGCAAAATACAAAACACTGGCGTACTGACTGAAAGTCAAAGTCATCCAACCAGACATCCGTCCTAGATGCAGAATCCGACAAATCATCCAGGGACTTGTTTTTCTCTTATGAGGCTTGAATATAGCCGAGTCCCTGACATCTTCTAATACATAGAATTACTCAACGCTGAAGTCAAACAGCGCGACCCCTTGGACATTTAGCTGCAACAGAAAAGATATGCAATAATAAAGCAGCAGAAATTGCAATAACAACAACAACAAAGGGCTTCCAATATTCCATCTATCTCTCCTCGCCAAAGTAAAGATGCACCGAAGAAGGATCAATTGCAGAAAAAGCGCCCCCCTCCCCCCTCCCCCCTCCCCCCCCCATCCTTTGCCAACAATCCCCAGCCTTCTCGCCCAACCCACCCACTTATCTGGATTCAGCGACGTCAAAAAACAAAATCCTCGTCCCATCGACCAGAAACGACCCAACCAAAGGCATTACTGTCGGAAGTTAAACGTGGCAAGATGCATGGCCGATACCTCAAAGCCACCCCCACCCACCTTACCCCAAGTCAAACAACCCCCCCGAAGCGATTCTAAGAGAACTTCAATCAATAGAAGGCGATACCGAGGTCTTTGCACGTCCCTACCAAGGCCGCCAGATTACTATCGTGCAACGCGGTGCCGTTGGGCGGATTTCGAAGAACATATTTTGTCGCTGGCGTTGGGGCCGCAAAGTTCGGATGAGATGTTGTGCTGGGGTGGGGTAGTGCACTTGCTATTGACGTGCTGCTCACCAAATGTTGATTGGGATAGAGATGCACCTGCGGTGAGGATTATGGTGAGGTGTGGTAGACAGATGCTGCTGTTCTGTGTGAAAGATACGATATTAGACGGAAGGGGGTGTGAGGGTGGAGCATTTCTGCGGGGAGGATGTTGGTGGTGATATGTAGGGTTAGGTGAGGATGGTGGGTTGGAAGGGTTTGAAGGGGGGGGAAGGGGGGGGGATGGTGATGCATGGTCTTGGGGAGTCTGAGAGGGTTGTGAGATGTAAGAATGGAATATAGTGGGCTTAGATGCCTGACATGGGGTGCAACATATAAGTATTCTCTCCGGGTGTAAGATATATCAGCATAGTAGAACATCTGCAAAGTCTCATAGCAATGAGTCCATCGGGTATCCTTCGAATACTTGCAGGCTATCCATTTTCATTTGATCAAAGACGCTTGTGATCAATATCTCCATCGTCTTTGAATGCAAGCCATGTCCGGGGTACTCTAAGCTTCTTCCTAGCCCTCTCTTGGTGTCCTTTGCCACACACCTCAACCCTCAGCGTCCGTGTTTGATTGTACATGCATCAAGTACCATATTCTGGAGCATGTGCTACCATACCTGAGCCCCTCGTCCCAGGCGATCCCACATCTTCTTACCATGTACTTCCGCATCCTTGCGATTCCACTTGACAGTCTCGGGATGCTGTTGGTGAAGCAGTGGAGCAGCGTGAAGCGCCGTCTCATACAGAAACGGCTCGCTCATTGCAGGGTCTCTGCGCCATGCATTAGGATCTGCCTCCATATAGTGCCCTAATCCTAAAGACGATCGGAAAGTCCGCACCAGCTTATGAACTGCCTCATCATTAGCTCTCACGATGGGCTCTCTTTCCAAGGCTCTATGACGGTATTCTTCCCCAAGGCCCACGGTGGAGAAAGAGCCTTTGTATAGATTATAGGGTAGTTCGTGCGCAAGTACGAGGTAAAGGTCCCGAAAGCCAACGAACTCCTTCAAAAAAATACCGAGCGGCGAGCTGAGTATCAGTCTGTCGAAATTTGCGGGACCACCGTCTTGTTCGACTTCCAACTTGATTGTGCATGTCTTCCGTTGAACGTCTGTGCCTAGTAGTGGTCCAAAGAAATCCAGCCACGGTTCCTGTTGCGCGAACTTCTGTCCGGCACCGTCTAGTCTCCAAGCACGTGTGCTGTTCTTTCGTACGGTCACCCAGATAGTGAGGTTCGTGACGTGCTGTGGCAGTACGCTTGCTGTAAGCCTTGAAAATGGCGGAGGGATGAAATGAGTGGGGTAATCGAAGAAATAGGTGAAATTTGCGTGGGAGCAGACATAGTGTCGTGCTTCATTGTAAATTGATTTCGAGGCTCTCAGGATGGCGATATTGACGATAGTGGTGCGTAAGCTAGGCTTGAAGGACGCGAAGGTCTTCGTTTTTGGATGAAGCAGTGATCTGGAGGCCCAGGTAGGTGTTGTCTTTTTCTTGCTGACCCAGGTGGGGCATATGTAGACGACGTCGTCAGTCAAAGCGTACTGATAGATCTCGTCCCGTATCTCACGAGGAACGATACTTAACGCTCCAAATCCAGCTGTAGAAGTGTCCATGTTGGCGTCTACGCTGTTGATGACGCAGAGATGGCAAAGATGAAAAGTCGGAAATGGAATTGAGGTGATTATAAGGTAACCAGCATGCCAAGCTTTGAAGTGTCGACACTTTGCCACCCACAACAAAAATCTGCAATTCCCTTCATAGGTGCTATGATTTGGCTATGATTGTCTTTGCCATCATCCAAAGTTTGCTCATAATCTCTAGGTGTAGCTTGGAGAAGCACAAGATTGCTTGACTCCACCGGCCCAATCGCCTTGCCCTGTACAGTACATCCCGCAGATTCCTACCTCTCAAGCTCTTCGAAACTCCGTGACATAGCAATGCCCTTTGTAATCCACAGCATACAAATGCGTTCCCTCGGGATTGAACCTTACCGCACAAGCCGAGCTCCTCTTGTCCATCCCATGTAGCACAAAAGGCAACTTCCTCAGCCCCTCCGCCCCACCTATAATGCCGCCTTCAGTATGCGCTTTCAGCTGCTGATAATACACTTCCACCTCCCTTCCCCGATTACGATTGCTGAGAATGACGAAGACGTTGGCGGAATTCGAGACGCAGCCGCCCAGTAGGCCGTTGCTGTCTGGGAAATGCTCGAAGTTGCGGATGAGTGTTGCTTTTGGTTGGGTTTGGGGTTCTGTGAGGGGGGTGAGGTAGGACCATTCCCGATGGCTTGCGCGTGAGCGCTCATTGGTGGGGAAGGTGGTGGTGAAGGCGTAGGTGTTGGCAGAGTTGGTGGGCTGGAAGGTGGATACTGAGGTGACGCCGTTGTCCTGGTTGATTATTAGCTGGGTAATCTCTGGGCTGTGAAAGATCATCCTACAGTGTATGTACGACCCCGGTACTCGAAGGCAGGAATGTCCTCGCTGTCGACATCCTCGAGTCTCCACGCTATCAGGTGATTGCGATTTGTAACAGCCGTGATGTAGGTGGCTTGTGAGTCGAGAGATAAAGACTTAATGAATTCGTCTCGAGGAACGGTAATTACTTTAGGCGAGGGCGTTTCGCGATCTACAAGTCGATAGACCAGAAGCTCTCCCAAGAACCCACGTTCGTTTCGACCGCCGACGTGTGCAACGACGATGTAGGTGACATTATCAGCTTCTAAAATTGCGACGTCCTTCGCATCGCGGCCCCGAAATTCATCAGCAAATACTTCAAATCCGTCTTCACAATGATAGGCTGAGACAGTGTGAGAGCCCTTATGAGCTACATCAATGACCATGAAACATCTACCAATGGTAACTTTTTTGATCAGTCCATTCGCATAGTCCTTATTTAGGTGAGTGATATTGGGCCGATGATCAGTCCTCATCACCCTCACTCGACTTTTCGAGTAGAAGAATACGAAATCACAGCATGTAGATATGCCGACGTTGGGCGCTTTTTCCCCGATACTGCGATCGATTGTAAACCGGCTACATACGGATTGGTTGGTGATAGATGGGTAGATTCGTTGCTCTCTCCAGGCGCCGGGACCAGTTGCAATCGTTGCAATGCCCGCGGGTGACGACATGTTAGTTTGAATTGTCGAAATACTATCCATTCTGGGAGGGGATGATACAGGCGTTCCGGTAAGATCTGCTCGAGCTCTGTCAGAGAAGTCGTATTTTCAGTTCAGAGATTACTATTACGAACTTGAAATCGTTAAATAGTTGTGATGCCGGATACCGCTATCCTCATCGTCATCTAGAAGCTTCCGAATGAGCTCTATGTCGCTCCCAATATGAGTCCAGTCTTCTCGATCGTCCGGCAAATTTGTAAGAATGTGTCGAAGTCGTTCGTAAGTCATTTGTCGGGTTGAAGCACACGAGAGAAGAGCTCGAAGCTAGGGACAGACATGTCAGCTTTGACATAGTGGCGCCTACATCGTGAGAGATTACTTGGACACTTACAGCAAAGGAGCGATATTCCTCTACCTTCGTATCAAATACGACACTTTCCAGCCTTGAATTCAGATACGGTGAAAGATATCGTATATCTATGAATACGCACAATTGTGCGAGAATGTCCAAGAGTCCAAGGAAATAAGTGTCTTTTTGAATCAAAGGAGGCAATTGCTTCAGCCCTGCTCGCTGCTTGTGCCGATTGTTGAGGGCCGTCGGGATTTGCCGAAAATCTGTCTTGAAGAGGATTGACACTTGTTCGAGTGTCTTTGAAAGGATGTCGGATGCAGCTTCACCGGGATAATCTTCAAGTCCTTCTTTCCATACCAAGATCTGATGGATACGACGCACGTGCTCTTGAAGGCTGCAGATGCCGTGCTGTTGCGGATTGTGCCGTCTCCAGACGTTTGCCAACTCCCAAGTGCCATCGACGACTTGCCGGATGCTCCCATACTGTCCTCCAGCCTAGTGGAGCCTCATGTCATTCGAGTGTGACAACTTGGCCGCATGCTACTTACAATGGAGAGCGTACCATATACAATCTTTTGCACGGGCTCCCATGACTCGCGCGAGGGATCATTTTCTTTCCTGAAAATCGAGAAATACTGTCGGGCTAGTTGTACGAGATAGATGTTGCTGCTTTGGCGTATGGTGTCCGAACCTTCCCCAGCATTCCTCGAATGAGAGGGCAGGCGAACAATCGTGCTGTAGAGCATGGGCAGGCTGCCTTCAATGCTGTTGTAATCGTCTGATACCAACGAGTACACTCCTTTAAAATGGAGTAGCGCCAAGACACTACAAAATGCCCGTAGTTGAAGCTCGAGAAATGTGAAGGACTCTTTGTGGCGCGTTCTTTCCAAAGGCTTCGCTAGGCAGACGGCTAGCTTGACAAGATTATTGCGATTCAGCCTGCCTTTTTCGCTAGGCTTTTGGTTCTTCAAAGTGAATCGCAGGCACTGTTCGCTGACTCTCGCCATGATCTGCACAAGACTGGGAGCAGAGATGCCGCTCCCATCCAGTAAGTCAGAGATCAAGGTGTCGGGCTCACCGTTTCCTGCGCTGAAAATAGTGGGGATAGGCATGACAACCTCATACTCGCTTTGATTCTCATAACCTTCGTCGTCATTGATACTGGTGGGATCACTACTCATTTCTGCGCTTGAGGTGGTGGCATGAGTTGAGGGGCTCGCCATCTGGATTTGCGCGGCAACTTAGGTGGACAGCGGCATCAAGTAGTGAAGATCGAATTAGAGTGGTTGGTGCCACAGTCGGATACTCGATGTCGATATGAGTTGTTTTCAACATGCCTGGCTTACAGCCGACGAGATGGAAGCAGATGAAATGTTCAACAACGAACATCAATCGCGAGATCGAGAGCTGGGCGAGGTCCAGCCCTTAAGATTCGTTCTAGACCGATAAGCTCGGTTGCCAGTGGCGATACATTGCCAAGAGAGCCTACAAGAAAGCCCTACAGATGTGGAGGGTCGGGTAAAATTCCCGGCCATTCGCAAGACGTGGGCGTGCATACGCTAAGGTAGGCTGAATGTGATTGACAAGCCAGCCTTATTCGAAGAGTCCACCCTAAATACCCACCCGTATTCCTGTTCGTACGAAATGGTACAAACTCGAATTCTGTACTTTAGTACATGGAGAATTTCATCAAGAGCAGTGAAGCCATTCCACCAACGCCTCACAGCCTATACAGTGGCCAATACCAACATCCAGGCATTGAGAAGCGACCCATGAATATGGCATACCCCGAAACAATCGAAATGACCAATTTGAGTACTGCTCAAGCTGGAAATGGGCCTCCACATGAAGACAATGCAAATGGACTGCGAAACAGACTTCTGCCAGACCCGTTCGCGAACAACACGTTGGCAAGGCAATTAAAACGACATCATATCACCGGAATAGCCTTCAGCGCGGCAGTCGGTATTGGGCTCTTCCAGACTTCAGGCCAGATCATCACAGTCGGCGGCTCGGTCGGGGCTCTGGTGGCATTCCTCTTTGCGGGTCTCGTCATTCTATCAGTGATGCGTTCACTCGCAGAACTTATCAGCGTCCGCCCGGTTCCTGACGCTTTAACGGACTTCCCTTCGGTATTTGTAGACGAAGCTTTAGGTTTTGCAGTCGGTGTTGTATACTGGCGAGTTGAATGAGCATTCAGTCGATGAGCGAGGACTGATTCTTGATACAGGATCGCAAATTGCTTCAGCATGGTTACACTTACCATGTCGGCTGTCGAATTTACTCAATATTGGAATTCCAGTCTCGGACCAGGTTCTGCGACATTCTTGTTGCTGTTAGTCATCATGTTGCTGAACATTTGTGGTGTTCGGGTATACATCCTTCTTCTTGGACCAGATGTTACGGCGGCTGATTAGGAAAGCTCTACGGAAATCTTGAGTGGATTTTCAAATGGTGGGTCGGGTTTTTATCTCCTTTCTCCCTGACAGCCTTGGATTTCGAATCTTTCTGGAGTGTCGTCGGGGGACTGACATTCGCATAGGGTAAAGATTTGTCTCATTATACTCTGCTGCGGCTTGATGATTGCTGTGAAAGCTGGCGGTGAGTGCGCATAGCTACCCACTTCGAAGCTGCTGACTCGAGACAGCTGGTCCAAACAACAACTCAGTCGGTGAGTAGTTTTATGTGCATATGCTCCCGCTCACTAATGTAAACGAACCAGTCTATGGGATCACTCGTGGATACAGCTCCACTGGATTACGATTCGGAAAGAGGGACATTGCGCCTGGCGCATTAGATCCGCAAATCGGGGGGACGGGTGGTAGAATATTGGCTGTCTGGTCAGTCATCCCTGTAGAGGATAAAACTTTGGAACTGATCCGAGACCCAAGGACTTGTATAGTGCTGGCGATGTTTCAATTCATGGGTGGAGAAATGGTCATTGTCACAGCGGGTGAAGCAAGGGCACCTCGGAAAGATATTCCAACTGCTGCACGTTACCTTTACCTTCTGCCCGTCAGCTTCTACCTCGTAGGCATCTTCCTCGTCGGTCTTTGTGTTGACTATCGGGATCCGCGGCTGCCTCATCAACATGAGACAACATCATTACAGCCGGCAGATCAGTCAGCTTTCATTGTTGCAATCCACAATGCTGGCCTAAGGGTTCTTCCAGGGTTCTTAAACGCTTGCTTCCTCTTCTCAGCGCTCACAGCAGCGTAAGCATAGTTGTCACTGGATCTTAGCAGATCTAAAACGTTGTCTAGGAACTCCGCCCTGTACGCCTCCAGCCGGACTCTTTTCTTCATGGCTCGTAAGAGCGAATTCAAATGGGTTCAGGATACAATTGGACGGACGAATGTTGGACAGACCCCAATAGCTGCGATCATTGTGAGTTTCGTTCCCGGAATGCTTGCATTCCTCGTCGTCAAATGGGAAGATCCAAACTATAACGAGGTATGTCTGCTGGCAGTGATTCTGGAGTACCAGCTAACATCATGCCATGCAGCCTCTCAAAGTTTTGGGCCGTTTCTATACGGGTAAGATGATCCAGAGAGACCGTGCGTATACTGACTGTGGAATCATCAGGCCCAATGCTGTGCGTTTATGCGAGTGAATGTTTGGCGTTTCTTCGCTTCAAAAAAGGGTAAACATGTTTTCGAATTAATATGACGTTCATCAATCAGCTGACATTAGCTATTAGCATGAGATACTATCCAAACGCAATCCTTCGAAGTAGTCCAGCATACGTAAGAAGACATTATCGCGCACATTGGCAACCATTCTGGGCCTACGCAGGGCTCTCGCTCTGCCTTCTGATTATCGTCTTTGGAGGCTGGGACGGCATATACAATTTATGTTCCGGATCCAGGCGAGTCCCAGCTTGGAAGTCCGTCATCGATATCATTTTTTGGTATACCGGGGTGAGTTCTGCATTCGCACATTTGCCGAGGATACGACTAAGTTTTCAGCCTATGGTTTTCATCCTTCTGTACTTTGGATATAAAGTAAAGTACCAAACAGTCATCAGAGACCTAGCAAGCGACCTTGAGAATCTTTGGTTCATAAGAGATGTCATGGATGATTTGTACTCTGCAAGAGGGACGGGGAGAGGTCGATTCATGAAATTCCTAAGTTGGCTTCGATAGGGCCACGGGAGGGCTGAACGTAGTGGATGAAATATCTATAGAAGGCACGCGGCTTGTAAGGATCGATAGTTTTTTGACATGAGGAATTTGGGAAACGGAGTTCCTTGATGATGCCTGAGATGTAGCGCTCAGCGATCCAGTCAGGGGAGGCCTCGGCTATCTTGCGACGTATCCAGAATATTTAAAAAGCTTTGAATATCTAAGGGTAAGAGGCGTGAAGAAGAGCCCACGTTCTGTGACCACGAAGAGTACTGCAGGCGCACAGACACTTCTCGACTGTTGATCGTAGATAGGTGCCTATCCGTAGCCTAAGGTCAGCTAAACAAAGGCTAGTGCATCGGTTCTGCGCTAATGCAATGCCAGTCAATCCTTATGTCCCATTCTAGAATTCAGCTGCACGCCACCTTTTTTCTGGGAAAGTCGAGACACGCCTGTGACACGAATTCTGCCGTGCACTGCCCACTCCGCTTCACCGTAGCTGCCTGGTGAGTGGGGGGTTACTGAATGCTATCGGTCGATACAATCAATCCCGCTCCCCACTCTCTTGTGACGCGTATGATCGTAGCTCGCACGGTCTGGCTAGGCTTTTGGGCGGTCCAGGGCTTTTCCAGGTTTTCGGCTTGCGAGGGAGCGAAGGTGCCCTGCAGCCACATAGCAGCAGGCGGAATATGAGCTGCAAGTCTCTCGAGCCGGACCACACCTCAGGGTGATGCAGAAGCAAGGAGAGAAAGTTGGAGAGTGGAGACGATGCGCTGACTACGGCAGTTATTGTTACGTCTCCTGCAAAAATTTCAGTGAGAAACGGTCGTTTCGCCCGCCGGACTTGTACATGCATTATTGTACACAACTCGAACAACAATTATACAAATCCTTCAATCCTGACCAGGCAACGAACTCAGCCCTTGCGCTCAGTCTCATTGCCCACATCTGTCTCAACCATGCCCATTCTCTGCATTCCCGTTTTCAATCATCGTTTTCGTGATGTCGCTGCTAAGCTTTCTATTGTCATGCGTCGCTCTATGCGGAGTGGTTGAGAGCTCAGTTGCGAGATTGCAAATGGTTAGTACCTGGACTGCATAGTATAAGACACGGTGACTGACTGCACATTAGCCATTGAAGAACAATCAGCAAAAGCCAATCATCGATGGAAATGAACAGCGGGGTCATGGCATTCCAATCTACGTATGCATTGATGGAGAATGGTCCCTTCTTGATGAACCTTCTCACACATGCCAACAGAGCTCTCAAAATGTCATCTTCACGGCGAACATCTCTGTCGGAACCCCGCCGCAGTATTTCAAGCTCGCTATCGATACACTCAGCAACGTCAACTTGATCCCCTCCGCCGACTGCGATTTCTTCTGTGCCGACCCATCAAATCATTACAATTCATCTCTCTCCTCATCTTTCGAAGCAGTACGTAACGAGAACAGCGATCGAGTCCCCTGGACTGTTCGCTGGGCCGATGTCAACTACCAAGGCAAGCTCTCAAATGACACAATCCACCTTGGCTCGCATGACGTCCAGGGTCAGATCTTCGAGGAATGGACCTCCGCCATGCTGGCGACGCCGGGCGGCATCGACATCGGCTATGATGGAGTCCTCGGTATTGTACCATCATGGACATGGTCCGACCAAGGCATCCCCAACATCCTTTACGCAATGGAAAAAGCGGGCAACATACTCGACAGGAACATCTTCTCCCTGCGCTTCCCGCGCAGCATGACAGACGTCGGGGAACTCCTGTTCGGCGACACAAACCCAGAGCTTTATGAAGGGGAGCCGATCATGCTACCAACAGTTAACCGTCAAAGCTCCGAAGCTGAATACAGACCTTGGCTCGATTACTGGACCCTTCCAGCCTCGAAAATCTCCTTCAATTCGCCACTACCCTTGCATGTAGACCTGTCCAACACTTCGTACGCGGTCCTCGATTCTGGCGGTCCATGGATCGTCCTACCCTCGGAGCTTGCGCGCAACATCACAGCCGCGATTGGAGCAGAGGAAGGGCCTTGGTGGTTTCATTCCGTCCCGTGCTCCCGCCGACCATATCTCCCCGACCTGACATTTGAGCTCGGAGGCCACAACTTTACCATCACCGCATTCGAGTATACGATGGAGATGGATATCTGGCAAGAGCTGGGACTGGTCTGCTTGTCATCGATTTGGGGGGCTGATGAGTTTGGATTTCCGGGCAATGGGGAGTGGATCATGCTTGGTAATGCGTTCTTGAGGGCTTTCTATAGTGTCTTCGACTTCGAGAAGCAGGAAGTTGGATGTAAGTTCTTGAGTTGCTTGTTCTGGCTAGCAGCAGAGACTAATGCATGTGTTCAGTTGCGAAGTTGAGACTTTGAGCATGTCGCGCAGGGAACGCTGAAGAGTGGGAATGTCTCAACCTTATCCTCCCGACATTGATTGTATATGGCGCGTTTGGTCTCACTGTGCGCATAGGCTCCTTGGAGTTGGCAGAATGTCATACCAAGACTACTGGGTCTTGCGCATAACAAGTGCTTTGAGACAAAGCCTATTTCTGAACACACGAACCAGCTGCATAATCTCATGATCAGTCGATGTATCATTATACCTGTGTACAACAAGATAAGCCACAGCCATCACGATGCAAAACCCACCAGCGATATCCCCATAGCTCTACCAACCACACAACCACACAACCCCATTCTTCAAAATGAAATGCCCACCCCTTCCACCTCTACCACTCCTAACCTCAACACTAACCCTCCTCTCAACATCACACGCACTAACCCTCCCAGCCCAAAACATCTCCCACCCCACCTGGCCCCCCGACCCCTCCCCAATCCAATACCACGGCAACAGCTTCCTCCTCAAAGACTTCCGGGCCGGATACAGCGCGCCCTCCTTCCTCCAAAACAGCCTGGCACCCTGCCGTCTCAAAATCCTCGGCGAAATCGACGAATTCGCGCGCCAGCAAAGCGACCCGTACCCTGGCGACAGTTTCTACTGCGGCATCCCGCCGTGCCTCGAGAACAGTCTGCACGTCTTCGGCGTCGTCAACTCCATGAGCTACAGCGACGTCATCGATATCTTGGGTTTCTTGCAGTATGTGCTGGAGAGGAACCTTTTTGGGGATGAGGTGCCCAGTTTTGACTTTACGGTTTGTATTGGGAGTTTGGATTCGGGCAGGTGTTTTGGGCCGAGGAGTCAGCCGACGATGATTAGGTCGGGTATTGTCGGGACTTGGAGCCCGAATTTGTCGGTGGCGAATGTGACGATGGAGGAGGCTTTGGCGGCGGCGGTGGGCGGGAATCAGACGATGGCAGGGCCGGGAATCGAGGGGGCTGTGCAGGTTTCGAAACGTGCGGATACGGCGGAGCTTGCGATTCGGAATAGTCTGCCGGATCCTTACCAGGTCCCTTTCGCTCCGTATATATTGTCTATTTCCTCTTACCGGCCTCCGCTTCAGCGCGCGAGCGTCTTTGTTGATGCTACAGGCTTTTGTGTGGAGCAGGTCGCTGATGAGGCTATGACGAGGCATGCGGCCATGTCGGATACCTATCCTGGTAATCGCTTTTTGTGTTTGGCTGAGCCTGAGAATGGCGATTATGCCATTGTGTTGGAAACGCTGGTGACTGAGGTTGCGTGGGCTTTCACCTATCAGGAGATCGTGAGGTTCTTGGGAGATCTGACGAAAACTGCTTTGGGGTTCGGAAATGAGGTGCCGAGTTCTGAGATAGAGATTTACTTGAAGAGCAATGGGCCTGCGGTGAAGGTCGTGCAGGGTAGTTGGGGACCAAGGGTTGTGAAAACAGCTTCGGCGTTGACGAGCAAGCTTTGAGATTGAATCGCTCATTAGTTCAAGCACGTTTCTTCCCAAATGCTGAGAAGGACTTTGTCAACGCATGTCTCTTCTCTTGTTCCTTTGGAGGCGCAGATTCGAGGTCGCGGCTCCTCGCTTGATTACGAAAGAGGAAATTGAATTTGCTCTCGAGATTTCCCTCCAGCTGCAAGTGGTACGTGAGTCGACTTCTCGAATATCAGAAGATCATGCTAGAATACATGACTTACTGTGTTGTTTCGTTTGAATGTGATCCAGACTCCTAGAGTGATGAGTGTTGTTGAACCAGCAAGCACGGGGTACCACCACCACGCAGGATTGTCTTTGAGGACATCAACGTTCATGCCAAATAAACTCTATGAAGACAGATCAGCAGTTTTCAAGACTTCGGTGGGACTATGTTACCGCTATGAAGAGCAAGGGTAAAAAAATGAACTGCTCATCGTCAGCATTGTAAAGAAGCTTGGACATGTCTCTTGGAAAAACACTTACTGTGATCCATGTCAAGCGCTTCAAACTCCGATTCGTAGATGTAGATTTCTGAGCCTCCGAGATGGAGGTCAAGTTGAATTCCTGTAAATATCAGCAACCATTAGGAAGTCCAGGGCGGGCCTGCTTGACTGACCAGTTGAATTAGGTTTTGTATCATACCCGTCAAATTCTTGAGGTTTTCATCAACAACAGCCTGTCTGGTTCTGACTGACGCGCGAAATACTGCCATTCGGGACTCAACTTGATCTAGTGGCATTTCATGAGCCATAATAGACGCATCGCTAGTGTACTCCTCTACGAAGGCCAGAAGTCTATTGAATTGAGCTTCAAGACTGTCCTTGAAGAGATCAATCAATTGCGCGTTATGTAGGAGATCTTGTATCAGACGAGGGCCATTGCCACCTGATCGAAGAACTTCTTTACGCTGAAGATCGTCAGCACATACTTTGTCGTCGACTTCGTCACTGTACCTGCAAAGAGAGATGTGATCTGAATATATCAAAGTTGGATTTCCAAATTTGGTCGGCTTTCTCTAGTAAGTGAGGCAAAAGATCAATTGCATGCTCAGGCATGCCTGAATATTCCAGGTTATGATAGAAGGCTTGAGATTGCAAGGTTGCCCGTTTCGGAACCCGTGAGCGGATTCTAGGATGATCATCCTCTTCAGAGTCGTCTTCTGCAGAATCGTCTTCTTGGGGAACATCCTTTTTAAACATTAGCCAGAAGACACCGCATCTTTGTTCCACTATTTCTAGGCCATTTTCCTCAATTTGTCTTGAATTTGGCCAGTCTCCAGTATCGACTGGTAGAATATGGCAGCTCAAGATTATCCCGCATTCAAGAAGACCTTCACACGGTGCACGTCAGCTATTGCCTATGAGACTTGAGAACTTCGAGGATAAAACGGGAACTCACTCGCGTCCGCTGGGGTTCGTTTTAGTAAGCTGCGGTTCAATGCCGAAATTTGGCAATTGGACCAAAGAGCGTCACGGGTGTTTGCACGAAACCAGCGATAGTGAAAATCAGCTACGGTGTGGGGCTTGGGCAACCAATCCTGTTCATAAGCTAGTATACTGAGGAAGTTCAATCAGTCACTCGTCAAGGCTATTATAAAGAATCGTTCAGAACCCACAACAGTCTTTTTTCTTTTCGGCTATCAAGCGCATGTCTTACTCCTCTTTGGTTCCGGCCCTCAAATTCCACTCTTAGACCAAAAGTTTCCAGGTGTTTGGGTGTTCCAAGCCAAATTATCTTTATTGCGTGCAAGTACGGGTCTATCACGTCATCATGGAAAACAAGTCTACGCTTCTCACTATGCGTGATCTCAATGTTGCATCGGGCTTCAAAGCTCGAACATCGTCGCAATTCCGATGCAGACGTCAGAGCCGATCCCTTTTGGCTTTGTCCAAAGAGGCACCTAAGGATCTCTCCGTGCTTATTCCTTGCGGCGCTTTGCAAAGGAGAAATTTTGGAAAAGTCCCTTACATCAGGGGAAGCGCCTCTCTCAAGCAAGCATTCCACCATCCTGACCTGGCATGTCTCTACTGCGATATGAAGTGGAGTCGAGCCATTTTCGTTTTTAGTACTAATATGCACATCTGCACCTCGACTGAGTAGCACATTGAACAGATCTAGGTTAAGAGTCCGAACGGCCTCGTGAAGCAGAGAGTTTCGATTTGAGCGCCACGTTTGAATGGACGTGTCAGCGCCGTTTTCCAATAGTAATTTGATGACTTCAAGCGTTACTGGGCCAAAACTCACAACAGCAGCTTGTAGAGCATTACCGTAATCCCCGCCTTGCGCATTTACGTTAGCACCTTTTGCAATCAAGAACTGTACACTTTGTAGTTGCGCTTCGTATGCCGCTGCTATCAAAGCAAACTCGTAGTAGCCCCCACGCGTATTTACATCGGCACCAGATGCGATTGAGCACTCAAGTATCTTCTCATCCCCACCTGCTGCTGCAGCTTGCAGCATACTTCCGTAAAGTCCACCTTCAGCATCAATCTTCGCTCCAGCTTCTAGAAGCACGAAGAATATTTCCCTGTGAGGGCGGCCTGCAGCTGCTTGCAACGCGTTTCCATACACTCCGCCTTGAGCGTTGACTAGAGCCCCGTGTTCTAGTAGCAGCTTCACGATACCTACGTCACAAAGCAAGGCGGCCGTTTGCAAAGCGTTACCATAGTAACCAACTTCTTTGTTGACATCAGCTTTGTGCTCAAGTAAAAGCCTCAAAGTTCTATCTACCCCAGGCCTAGTCGTCAAAGCTGCCTGCAAAGGTGATCCATGATTCTCATCTTTATTGATGTCGGCCCCATAGTTGAGACAAATTTCAACCATTTCTTCATTGTGATTATATGCTGCCGCTCCCAAGACAGTATGATCATCGTCACGCTCGACGTTGACGTCAGCCTGGAATTCCTGTAGCAAAAGTTTTACCAGCTCCAGATTGTTGCTTTCAGCTGCTGTGAACAAAACTCCACTCTGGCGAATATCAAAGCCTGCTGTTTTTGGACCAAGGCTTTTATACTTCTCGAGTAGACTTTTGGCTTTATCTGTCTTGCCGCCGAGGATCGCCTCAGTTATTGAACTTTCCATCGCCGCCGCCGCAAAGACTGAGCACACAAAGTAGAGACTCCCGAAGCTGCACCCGCTCTGTCAGCTTCATAAGGACATCGATAGCATGAATATGCTCCAGTAATAAATTCCAGGGTATGTAACAACAACCAGTCCATGAGTTCGGAAAGTACTGTGGGAGAGTTGAAGTCAAACAAGTCTCATCGGTGCACAAGGCTGAGATGACCGCAATCTCCTCAGCCCGCCAATCAGCAGCCAGCATTAGGCACCATACCTTAGCTGGACAATGGGTACAATTAGATCGTCAGAGTGGTATCAGAGGGCGATGACTTAGATGAGAGATGGTAGAAATGAGAGATGAGAGATGAGAGATAGCATATTTACAATACAACTTTACTATGCAGCACAGACTTCACCACCAATATACTGTCCGTAACAACACCCGTATGAGCCGCCGAGGTACCAAGAGTCTGAACCACCATGCATCGAACGAAGCCCCCCAAGAGCCTGACAGACCCAGTCATGGATAGTCGTGAACGGCGCTCCTTCGGTGAAAAACATTGTCTCCATCTGCCGCTTCGATAAGGCACTGATCGGTGCCGACCTCGCAAACATGTCCAGCTCAAACTTGCGAATCCTCTCTTGAAGCTTGTCCGATGAATCTCCCGCTTTTGTACTATCAATGATTGCATAGGCCAACTTCATCGAATCCTCCATCGCCAAATTCACGCCCTCCCCCGCAAACGGCGTCAATAAATGCGCCGCATCCCCAACAAGTGTAACGCCGTGCCTGCCCTCCCAACGATGGTCAACAGGAAGCTGATACATACACCTGGCTACGATCTCATCATCTCTCGCGACCTGTAGCGCCTTTTTCAACGGATCCTTCCACTCTTTATACTCCCCCTCCAGATACTCTTTCACCTGCTTCGCATTCTTAACATCGAATCCACACTCCTCCATCCACTTCTCATCCCTCGCTCCCCACGCATAGATAATCAAACTCTCATCCCCCCTCTGCTGTGCCATCAACGTCTTCCCGTCCGAATACCCAAACACCGTCCCCCTGTTCACAAACTCCGCAAGCTCCGGACACGTCTCGCGCGCATTCGGCACCACCATATCAAAGCCCCCCAAGCCCACATAATACGGCTTCACCTCACTCAGCGCCGGACGAATCTTGCTCCACGCCCCATCCGCACCCACCACCAAACCCCAGCCCCCCTCCACCCCATCATCAAACGTCAACTCCATCTTCTCCGCATCAAACCCGCGAACCCTCTTCCCCCACCGTATAACCCCCTCAGGCAAACTCTCCACCAAAATCTGCCTCAACCTCACCCTATCAATCTCCGGTCTCCCCCTACTGCCCCCGAACCAGCCACCCTCATCCGCCTTCGCGCCTGGCATCCCCAAATACACCACCAAATTCTTATCCACAACCTTCAGCGCCTCGCCATCATAGCGCGCGTATTTCAGGAAATCGGACCATATCCCGCACTCTTTCAGCGCTGCTTGCCCAGTGGAGGGGTGCAGGTCGAGGGTGCCGCCTTGGGCGCGGACGGAGAGGGAAGCTTCGCCTTCGAAGATTGTCGAGGGGATGGAGTGGGAGAGGAGGATGCGGGCGAGGGTGCAGCCTGCGGGGCCGGCGCCGATGATGGCGATGCGGGGAGGAGAGGGCATTGTTGATTAGTGTAGATATGTGCGATTGAAGAAGGGAAAGTCGTCCTCCGTTGTAGATTCAAAAGGTTAAGGGGGAGCCGGTGGAGCTTTGTTGGCTGAGGCACGTGGTGGTCTGGTTGCTCTCAAGAGACTCTGAGATGTAGACATTTGTCTCTACCAGCTTCTTCTTATAGATGACTTCGCAACCCTTACCCAAAACGCAAAGCTGAAAGCTTGAGGCAACAGGAACGAGACCGAGGTCTTGGCGTCTAGCTCGGCCGAGCTAGGCTAGTGTCGGCCGAAAGAAAGACCGGCGGAGGACATCTTGCGCCGTTGAGACGATTCGGCATCGTTCAAATGAAACCCAACCGAGTATGCGGTTGACGGGCTTCAATTACGAGTATTCAATGACAACATGCTGAGATTCTGAGCTTTGCTATCTGACGTCACAGCGATCAGACCTCCGAGCGTACAATGCGACTTGCGCTTGCTCAAGATTGGCTTTCTTAACTCTTGACTTTGAACGAGCGCCGCCGCGAATGGCGCTCGGTAATGGCGCAAAAGAACAAAATGGCGTCCAGTCTCTCGATGGTATGTCTGGCCGTTGCAGCAGCTTTTGCCGGAGCAGCCGCGTTTCACGATGTAGGAGTGCCTCAAAAAGTGATGGTCTCGTCGGCATATCTCACTCACGCCGCAAGCGCTGTCAGTGCGCTGCAGCAATGGTACAACCAGACGACGGGCCTGTGGGATAGTACTGGCTGGTGGAATAGTGCTAACTGTCTTGTAAGTATGACACTCACCTGCAAATGAGTATGCTATGCTCATACCATGAAGACCGTCGTCGCCGACTATGCGTCGCTCGATCCCGCCTATGTTCCGCAAGCTGTCGACGTCTTCCAAAACACCCTTATAGCAGCGCAGAGAACCAACGTTCAATCCGCTAAAGTATACTCTCCGAAGCGTCTCGAGCTTCTAGGCAATCTTACTGGACGTGGGCAAGGGCAACCTCACCAACCACGTCAAGATTCAAATCTATTTATGCTCGGACCTACTTCTCAGAGCTCTCCAGGTTTTCTTAATGACTTCTACGACGACGAAGGATGGTGGGCCCTAGCATGGATACGAGCCTACGACGTTACGCAAGATCCAACCTACCTCAGCACGGCAGAGTCCATATTCGAGGACATGATTAAAGGATGGGGCAACAATTCCTGCGAGGGTGGGCTCTGGTGGGATAAAGGCCAGAATTACATCAACGCGATCGCAAACGAGTTGTTCCTCTCTGTAGCGGCGCATCTGGTCAATCGAGTTGATGACCCTAACAAGAAATATCAGTATCTCAATTGGGCGCTGAAGGAATGGAGCTGGTTCCAAGGCACTCAAATGATCAACTCCAATTCCCGCATTAACGACGGCATCGATAACGTCACCTGTCTGAACAACCACGGCATCGTATGGAGCTACAACCAAGGCGTCATCCTCGGCGGACTGGTCGAGCTCTCCAAAGCCTCGCCGAACCCAAGCTACTTATCTACAGCCGCCAGCATTGCCAACGCAGCTATCAGCTGGCTATGCGACGCACAAGGCATATTGCACGACCCATGCGAGCCCAGCTGCGTAGGCGACGGCGAGCAATTCAAAGGCATCTTCATGCGCAACCTGTACTACCTGTGGGAAGCAAACCCACAAGACCTGTATCTCCAAACCATCAAAAAGAATGCCGACAGTATTTGGGCTAACGACCGAGATATATATAGTGGTCACTTTGGCCAAGTTTGGTCTGGTCCGTACACAGAGTGTACAGCTGGTGGCCACGCGAGTGCGACTGATGCCATCATTGCTGCTGCGAAGATTGATAACCATACGAGAGGTGCGGGGTGATAGCAGTGGTGCGCTGGCGAGTATTGCAGCGGGTTCACGCCCTGTTCTCCCAACTCAGACCTCAAAACCCAGCTGATGACAAGTCTGGATGAAGCATGGCGTGAAGGCTTTTAGAATACTCAACCGTCCTTTTCACATCGTCGCTCGGTATTTAGATTCCGATATTGGCAACAGAAACTCCTTTTGGCATGGCGTTGGCGGCATATAGAGACACATTTGAACAACATTTCAATCACTCATTCTCCTTCCCTCCATCCCCTCCCCCCTTGTTGTCCCCCACATCCCCTAGCCCTCCAATTCCCTCCACTCTCTCCATCTTCCTCGTCTCAATCTCCTTCTCCACCTTCTCAATCTGCTTAAGAATCCACCCAATACTCGCATCCCTCACCTTCTCCAGCCTCCTCAGCTCCTGCAAGCCCATTTCCTCATACCTCACCACCTTCTCCACCGCCTCCTCCCCCCTCCACCCACCACTCCCTTCCCCCCTTTTCCCCCTCCCTTCTTCTCCGCCAACAAACCCCTCAAAACCCTAACACTCTCGTCCCGCTCCGGCAATTCTTTAACCAACCTCTCCTTCTCCCTCTCCTTTTCCCCTCCTTCCCCCACTGCCCCTTCCCCTTCCCCTGCCCCTTCCCCACCACCTGCCCCATCATCAACCCTCACCCTCTTCCCCCCACCTTCTCCCCCTTCTAACAAACTTAATTCCCACGCCGTAACAGCCTCCCCCGCCACACCCCTCAAATGCTCAAACCTCACCGGCCCCAACATAACCCCGCCGAACCACCTCGCCACCACGACCGCCCCCACGGCATTCCTCTGCACTAGTACGCGTTCGAGAGTTTTGCCGCCGTGGCGCTCGCCGTCGTCGTCGCAGCCAAGGTCGTAAAGTAATTTATTGTTGGGGCGGGGGATGGTGGTGGGGATGGTACGTTGGGCGGCGGGGATACTGGTGGCGGGGATGGTGGCGGGGATGGTACGTTGGCTAGATGGGTACCGCCAAGCAGCAACACGATGACTTGCCGACTTGAATTCGGGGAGGGATTGGAGGGTTGAGACGGGGAGGGTGGGGGAGAATGCGGCGATGAAGAGGGATTGCCGGTCGTGGAGGGGGGTGGATTTGAATACCATCGTGTTGGTAGATGGGGAGGAGGAGAAGGGTGATGGAGGGGGAGGGGGAGGGGAGTGTGGACGTTTTTGTGACATTATTTTCGGTTTTCTGGAGCAGGGGGAGGGTGAATGATGGATGGGGGAGGAAATGGGGAGATGTTGATTATGTGCGTGAGGTGGGGGTTTGATTGGTTAATTGGGGAAAGATGAGGGGGTTGATCGGCTTTTTGATACTATTCCTGGGGTTCAAAGGAGCAGTATTGGGTTTAGGCCAATTGTGTCGCGTTGGGTCATTCTGGTGATGCCCAAGTGATGCCCGGCGCTCGGATTTAAGACTTTTATGTCCGATGGGGCGATCCCGTGGTCTCGTTCCTTTCGCTTCCCAAATTTCCATGCACCTGTAGCCAGAACATCTGTTGATTAGAGCACATTACTTGGTGGGATCATCTATACAGGCTTATGTGTTTCTTGAGAGGATCACAGGACTCAAGCAATTGATGTCTCCGACTCGGAGGTACAAATGAATTGTACATTCTAGCGAGTGGTCGACATTCGAGAAATGAAAATGAGTTGGGATTTCGGGGCTGGAGCGAAGCCTTGTACAATGGGATGAGATGGAGATCAATGTGTGATCTAAGTAAGATATTTATTCACTCGCAACCGGGTCGATCGTCGTGTTGAAGATCGCTGGCCCCGCCACACTCTCAAGATCAAACGTCCCAGCTAAATCTAATGGCAGCGCAGACAAGTTGTCGTTCTGTGGGTTGGAGTCCAACGGCGGAGGCTCAGAGAGCGCCGTCAAATTGCCCCCTGACTCATCCGTCCATGGAGGCTGCGATTTATCAGGCGCGACCGTACACCCACACTGGGCGACTAGATGCTCATCAGCTCAATTCACCAACACCGGAATTGAAGGGAAAATACTCACAGGCAACAAAATACATAAAGTTGTTCGGGTTTCGCAATGCATCATCCACTTCCAACGCCATACAATCCCAAAGCGTGTAGACCTCTAGCGGCGTCGTTTCCATGCTTAGATCATTACCCCTGAGATACTTATGCACCAGCTCATGTGCCAGCATGTACGTCTGATGCTGAACCATCGTCAACCCTCTCGGCTCAAACCGATTCTGTCCCGGCACAATGCCCGGGCACAACCTCTGCCTCGGCTCTGTAGGCTCCGCTGGCAATGTCCAGAATCTATCGCAAATGAGAATGTACGACCACCCTGTCAGACTGAGCGCTATTTCGTCCTTCATACCCTCCCTTGTCATGTGGTGACACATCTGCGCTGGCGTGATGCGCCATCTCCCTTCCGGAATGCGAGTCGTGGGCTTTGCGCAGATGAAAGAGGGCTCCTTTCTAATGAAGAATGATTGCCTGGGCTTAGGGAAACGTATCTTGGAGAAGGCTGCGATGTCCTGCAGAAAAATCTCTACGAGATGGCCTAAGTTTGGTTTTGCGCCGAAGAAGGCTTCAAAGGGTGGGTAGACTCGAGGGTTATTAAGCTCCTGCAGCGCTGGCCCGACGGAGGCCCGAGCGAGGCCGATGATATTGGTGAGGTCGTTTTGTTGTTGGGGCGTGCAGTCGTAAAATTGGTAGCTTTGTGTAAAGGGTGCGCTCGCCAGTATGAGGGCTGTTAGCACGTTGGGAGGACGCATCGCGCGGGAAGTGATCGGTGAGTGATGTGTGGCCGAGAGTCCCTCAGGCTACAGTGGCAGAATCTAAGTATCCCCAAGCTCAAGAATGATTCAGCCTTGCGAAACTATAGAGTGAGCACTGTCTTGTGTGGACCGAGACTCTCTCCCCTAGTGACTGACATGCAAGCGCCACAGTTTATCTACTGATCGCGGTGCAGAGCGGAGAAATCGCTCTGATGATACGCATTTTTTCAATGTCCCATTACTATATCGAATGTAGTCCGTCAAAACTGCAGTTATACATACCTAGCCACGTGCTCTTTGACCATGACAGCGCTTCTGTTAGGCGGCCTTTGTTTGAGACATGGTTTCGTGCTATGACCAGCGATTCCTATATTTGGATTTGGCAGAACATGTGACTTTCAGTACGTCACCAACATTCTAGATTGAATTTTCACAGACACGGTCCATGGCACTCGTAGTCTTGCTTTGTATTGACGGCAAGCGGCGCTCCTTTGAACCGCTTCATGTCGATATCCACTCATCACATTGCGGCGACGAATGAGCAACCTTTAACATCAGATGAAATGGAACTCAGTGACCTCAGCTTGACAACGGATAGACATACTTGCTCCAGTTGCAACAAAGCAACAATCTCTTCGCTAGTGATATGACCTACAAGAAGTCAACACATCACCCACAGCATCACAAGGCAACCGTGGCACGAGATTCCACCACCTTTCCCTCCTTCCACAAAACTCTCTCGACAAATTCCCACTCCCCAGCACCCTCCCCATCATCTTCACCAACTCTGTCTCCACCAACCCTGCATCTTCGGCAGCGAATTCCCACAACCACTCCCCCTCCCCCTCCTCCTTGCTCATACTCCATAACAACATACACACACAACCCGCATAACCGGCAACCAACACAAAAAGACCCGCAAGAAAAACGGTCCACCAACTCATCATTCTCGATACCCACCACCCACCAACAGGGCCCCATCAAATCCAAACCACACTTCCTCGATCGCCCAGAATTTGCATCGCGGGCCCGCCATCGCACAACAACAGAGATGGTGCTCCCGTGATGCAAGACTCTGAACCCACTCCTATGTATGCTGCAGACAAAGTCTGGTCGAAGGTGTTCAGGGAGGTGTTAAAGCGGCGTCGGCGTCGGGAAGGGGGGTGGTGAGGCGATGTCAGAGAAATGCAGGTGCGGGCTTCGTCGTGCACGGCGGGGCTTGTTATGAGGGATTTGGCATGGGGTTTACCGGGGCCGTATTTGGTGAGGTTGCAGATGGTGGATGAGTGAAGGGAGGGATGGAGGGCTGGAGAGACGGTCAGTTCGTTTATCGAGGCGGCCTGGCTTGAGAGGACGTGGGGGTAGATTTGGTGGCGGAGCTCTTTGGGGAGATTGAGGAGGGGGAAAGGGGAAGGGCTTTGTGGGCGCAATGGATCTTGCTGGGGGTTGGTGACTTCTGAGCGAGAGTCGCATGGGGTGAGATAGGGTTAGGGGAAGGATCCATGGCTTACGAGAGTTAGCTCCATGGGGAAAGAGAGGAGGTCGCTAGGCTGAGAGACGGTGTGTACTATCTGATATGTCAAAGCATTGTTAGATTCACAGAGGTAGATCTATGATAATGTCTGTGTCATTGACTGCTTCGACACTGAATAGTGTCAAGCATCACCTTAATTTATCTGGCTACCCAACTTCCAACAATATTATCGTTTCCACCACCTCCACAACTTCTCCCAACGATAGGTATGCTTCGTTGTGCGCACCACATCAATGCTTGGTCTGTGGCATTGACCATGAATAAAGGTAAAGCAAAACGACGCCGCGCGAGTGGTTGCATTGTCTACGCCTGTCTTTGTTACGCATCTCCCTCCAACCTATCCCTCTAGCAATTCTCAAATCATTGCCTATCCCTCAGTCCGCCAACTGCACTCGACGCTTCTTCGATTTCCTCTTCCTATCCTCCTTTTCCCAAGTATACTGCACAACCTCCGTCGGCTCCAAAGTCCACCGTTTCTCAAAATACGGCAGATCAGGTGTGTAATCCGTGATCTCTAGACTAACACCCCAATCCTTCGCATCACCAAGTGAATGCATCGCCGCCTCCATTTCGACATCGATGTCCGGCAACAAGCAGTTGTAGTTTCGTATCTCCAACTTGTACTCAGTCCGCAAGTCGCCCAGCATCTGCAAGAATTTATCGACTTGGAGTGAGGGCGTCAGGAAGTAGTTCTCTGGGATAGAGAGGATGAATGTGTGAAGATTGCATCCGTTGTCTTGGAGTAAGGTGATGGCATGGCGGATATGGTCTTTGGAGAAGCGGTGGCCCCACCATATGATTTCTAGGTATCGGATGTGCTGTATCTTGTTTATGTCGCCGAGCTCGTGGAGATACCAGAACATTGTTGGTCCATCTATAGAATCTTCAAGAGCGAAGTAGTTTTCACCCCAAAGCATTGGTGTAGCCTCCTCGTAGATCTGTATACAGGATCTCAGGATTTCCGTGTGCAGATTTTTGGCGGGAGTGAACCGTTGGAACGCTCGGATGTCGACGTATTTTGGGACTCGTTTCGGTGCGTTTAGAGCTACTGTGCCATCCTGGAGCTTGAAGACGACGTCGGTGTTGACTAAGAGCAGGCGATAGACGATAGTCCGAACCTCGATTGGAAGAAGGAAAAAGATGAATGACATAGTCTGGACGAAGTATCTGAAAGTCGAGTGAGATGCAGAAGATCGAAAGATGTCTGGTATAGTTATACAACAAGCAAGAACATAACATCAGTAGTAGCCAGAGGAATACAATGTTACACGCTATGAGGGTTGGATCGGAGTCTCGTACGACGCGATGGACATAAACACAATTCGACACAACACACACGGAATGACGTAAGAGCATGGCAACAAATGAAAGGTGTCAAAGGTCGTGTTGTTGCTTTTCACAAAGGCGCTATTCTAAAACCATCAAGATGGATAGCTAAGGGATCAGAATCATTCTAGTTCACTAAGTTGATCTTCGATGACTGGGATTGCCAGCCCAATCCGTGGGGTTTGAGAAGTCATTGTTCCTGCTGGAAGGCCATATGTGGTAGCGTGCATCTCGGTCTAGCTGTGGATACACCAGCCATTCTCAATGAGGACACTCTTGAAACTCGCTAGTTATTGATTAGACAGTTCTTCTGTCGGCCACACTGTTTCATCCGGCTGATAATTTTCCATAGAGAGGTCGATGTGCGTGATGTGAAGATAACCGGCCTGTCAGTGAACATATCGATTGAATGGTGGCGGCTGCCTTGGGACATTCTGTTGTTCCGAAAAATCTAGTAAGTCTAACGTTTCTGTCTCTCTATTAAGGCTTTGCATGCTGGACTATTACCACATGGCGCAATGTTGACGTATTTTTACATGCAATCCGTGATATAAGAAGCCAGTTTCACTGTTCTACAGTACAATCATTTCTTCGTCTCTGGAGATCATGGCGTTCGATGAAATCCCTTTCATTCCATCAAGAAAGCTGCAAAGGATTGCCGAAGATTATCGCCTTGATGCCACTTGACTCGTTGCGACCAAGGAAACAAGGTCCAGGTCCCGTTCCCAGGACGCAGAGTGGACAGTGCGAATCAAACCATTTAGGACTACGGGTGGATAAAGCATTAGCTTCAGGGACTTGTCGATCTTCATTCAAAAGCCGAACTTCGAATCTAAATCAGCTTTGCTCCTAGAGCATGAGTGTGACTTCATCAAAGGTAGCGTGTGAGTGCGGGATCCAAGATACAAGTTGAGACAATCAGCTTGGCCGCAACACCTTCTCCCGAACGATTGGGGATTCTGTGGCTTTGAGCAAATCGCCTGAGGAGTCGTCGCGTATTTGATTGGTTCGTTGTTGGATGTCTCACCTTTGTTGAAGAATTTGCCGAGAGTGACCAGCTGAACGTTCGCTTGAGCCGCCGAGTTCTATGCGCCCCAAACGCAAACCATTCACACATATAGCGGCATTTCTCCATACATTGAATAGAATTCAGTTTAGTTAGATTGTGAGACTCCAACACTGTGACTTGGCGTTCATCGACTCTTCGAGATATAAGAGTCTAGCAGGATAGGACCAACAATGTGGCAAACATATCTCCTTCAACCCACAAGATCTTCGAACCGTAGACCCCATGCCACAGCCGAAGTGCCTACCTGTGAGCTGATCAATATCACTGTACGGCGGTACCTAGAATCAGCAGCATGAAGCTCCATATCCTCGCCGCCCTCTTCGCATTCTCCCTTTCCGTCCTCGCCATTCCACAATTCGACCTCGAAGGCGAATCCCCCAACACCTGCAACGAAGCCGAAAACGCCCACCCCAAACACAACACCACAGCCGCATGCTACACTCTCCTCAACCGCGTCAAGACCAGCAACGCGACGAAAGAATACCGCGACCGAATCTACGATGGCGGAAACCTCCCTGCAGACGGAACCTTCGCAGAATCAGGATGCGTGGTGACTTTCCAGGTCGTCCACAAACCTTCTTTTGACACTTTCACTTTTGCGAATTGGACGACGCTCGTGGAGGTCTTGGCGCTTGGTTGCGAGGATCTGAATCAGGGTGGTTACGGCCCCCTGGGGCAGGATAATGATTTTGTGCTTTCCGTCGCGAACGTGGATGAGCCGGCGTCGACGCAGTCGGCGGCGAGTTCGGCGAGTTCGGCGACTCCGTCGGTGTGGTCGAGATTGACACCGTGAGGGGATCCAGAGGGGTTTGAGGCTGAGGCGGAACGATTGGGGGGGGGGGTCTTTTGAGGATTCACTTTACGTATGTATTGGTAGATAGACTTTCCATGTGATTAGAGGATGGAGGATTGGACATATAATTCCTGTTTTTATGCCGATGAGGTGCGTGTACGAAAGAAGTGTTGGGATACGCAGCTACTTCACCGCAAATATGCGTACCTCACGCGGCGTTAATTTTAGTTGAGATGACGCCAATGCTATCAATAGTAATCACTTCACTCATCTGAGAAATAGGCTCTTGCCGTGGACAATGGATGGCACCTCTGCGACCCAAACGCCTTCGTCCGAACAATACTCAAACTCACATATGCAGTGCATTTCACTGCCGGGAATGGCGATGAAGACATTGTTGAAATTTCTAAGGATCGTAAGAGTCATGGTCAACTGACACATAGCATTTGGCAGCAATCCCCGCGTCTCGCGTAGTACAGCCAGATCTAGGCAAGTCGTACAATCGAGTCGTACATCCATCCTCCATTTGCTTAAATCACTCAAGCTATTTTACTTCCCACCTCGAGCGTCATCAAACAATATCAACATCGAAGCAGCGAGTCCTCTAGAGTTTTCATCCCGAGCTATTACTATCTCTCGTCCTTCTCACCAACAATGCCAGTCTCCTTCCTATCCCTCCCAGCAGAAATCCGCAACATGATCTACAGCTACGCCTTCACCTACTCTTCAGGAGCAATAGAACTCCAATACCGCTACGGTCCTCGTCACTGGCATGTCAACCCTCCCCACCTCCCCACCTCCCACCTCCCACGATCACGCCCTCACTAACTCATCTTCCCACAGGACTCGAGACGACTGTCCATCTCGAAGCGGCCGTCTCTGGACACCCGCCAAAATGGGCTCCCCAGACCTGAACCTCCGGCCCGCCTTACTCGCTACCTGCAAGACCATCTACGCCGAAGCCATCCACTCACTCTACCTCGACAAAACCTTCAGTTTCAAACTCGACAAATTCAGGACAATGTCGTACCTCAACGCGGACCAATTCTTCACGCACGCGCCCTGCCGCCTCGACCTGATCAAGAACGTCGAACTGCACGACTGCGTCGGGCATGAATTCAACCAGCAAGTCTCCTCGCTCATCAAAATGCTCATCAAGAGGGATTTGAGATGGGATACGCTCGGGTTCAGATATGTGGATTTTTTTAGGAAGTGTAAGGCTGTGCTGAAGGAGAAGTTGGAGGGCGCGCTGAGGGAGGGGCTGGTGAAGGAGGTCAGGGTTTATTTGCCCAGAGTGGATAAGGGGTTTTTGAGAAGCATTATGCAGAGGGATAGGGATAGGCAGAAGCTGGATGCCAAGGTGGTGGGCGGTGGTGTGTTGGAAAGGGGTGTGCTGGGGGGGCAGAGGGAGGATTTTTGGGCGATGAGGATGGGGAGTTGAGGGGAGGGAGGGAGGGAGGGAGGGGGGTAGGAGGGATTGCAGCGGAGAAAGGAGTGCTTTGTTGGCTGTTGTTTGTGGGGCTTGCAGGGACGGGTTTCGTGAATGAGGAGAGATTTGACTATGCGAAAGCAGCTTGATTAGCTATGAACACTGATTGAGAATATCTTTTCTTACTTCTCGAAGACCTGAAGTTCTTCAGTTTTGAGCTATGTGGGTAATGTGATCGATTCGTAACGATCGGTAGCTTTTGGTGTCTCGAGTTGTACGACGATCGCGGTATGTCACACCTTCCAAACTTGTGGCACACCAGGTATGTCCGTCAGATGCATTGCTTCTTGTCATCAGGTTCGCAGTCATTCCTTAACCTCAAAGCGAGCTTTTCGGCAACCTGCACATATCATGACAATGGCGTTCCATTTCTTAGCCTTACCTTTAGAGATCCGACAACAGATCTACGCGTATGCTCTCGTCTACACCAAAAACCCCATATGCCTACAGGACCACTATCGCCACCGGCAAGTCCAGCATCCAGCCGCGAGTAGAGACTGAAAACATTGACCGTCTCCAAGTCTAGACGTGCTCGATGCCGGCGGCCGTCCATCAAGATGGAAGACCATAACACAAGGCCCATTTCCCGAACAAGAAATCTACAGACTCACCCCCGCATTGCTTTCAACCCGCAGACAAATCTATGGCGAAGCTATCCACTACCTTTATTCCAGCAGCACTTTTCGACTGTATTCGACACATGCAGACCATCCCACAGCTCCCCATCGTATTCTGCGTCAAGCGCCCGCGCGCTTCGACCTAGTCCGGCATTTGGTATGTGGAAGCCAATTCGACACCTACAATCTCCCCTGGCAGAATCTGTCCCCCCCCACCCACGATGACAACGTTGAAGACGACTTCGACGCAAAGGAGGCGTCGATGCTTGCTGGGCTTGAAGATGATCCTAGGTGGGTTCTCGCTGTGATCAGGCAACGCAATATGCACCTGAAGACATTCACGCTACGGTCGCCGAGGCTGCTTGGGTACGCTATTGTTGCGACAAATCTTGCGGAGATGGTTCAGGATGGGTTTATTGAAGAGGTGCGGATTCATGTGGAGCGGGCGCCTGAGCGGAAGGATGTGAATCGAGCTGCTTGGGGATGGCTTTTTGAATGGACTTTGCTGAGGAGGGTTGTTGTAAGGAGGTCGCTGAATGAGGACGGTCTGCATGAGTTGTGGCGGTTGAGGCTTAGAAGGGATCGTCTTTGTGGTGGGATGTGACGGGGGATCAGCAATGATCAACCTCTGTTACATCCTGAGAATTTATATGGAGGATGCTCTAAATTGTTAGCCAGATTAGACTCAGTGCTATCTGTCATGACACTGTGTCAAATGATGCCAAGGCCCGTTCGCGTCTTCCCGTTTGAGATGTGTTGCTTATCCAACAACAACAACACTTGTACGGAAGTACAATCAAGTGTGAATTCGGAGTTCCTGACAAACCTGGACTTCTTTGTTTTGATCCTTTCCGTAAAGATCCACAAAGCCTTCCACGGATCATCATGGCCATCGTTTTCTTGAGCTTACCTCCTGAAGTTCGGCAGATCATTTACCAATATGCTCCTATACATAGGAAGGACTATGTATTCCTACAAAATCTTTTCGATAGCCCGTGAATTTTGAACTTCCTCGCTATCTAAGAGGCAACAGACTGATGAACTTCTAGACCGCGCGGTGCTCAAATCATAGGCGAGGGCATATTGGAGACATTGGATAAGAACGCGCAATGCAGCAATGAAAACGATGGGCTCAATCTAGGCTTCCTCTCGACATGCAAGCAGATCTACCGTGAGGCTATCCACTATCTTTACAACAGCTGCAACTTTCGATCCGATCCCCGATACTCAGCATCAAGTCCTACGGCTGCAGTTCGTATGCTCATTGAGGCGCCTGCCCGCTTCGATTTGATGAGGCATGTGACTTACGGAAACACATCGATCTTCGGGGCTTTTGATTACGGTCACCTGCCTAAAGAATGTCGAGATAGCATTCAACGATTTTGCCAGGCTATTCGAGACCGTAATATGCATCTCAAGACATTCACAATGAAAATGGGAATACTTGCTCCTGTTTCGGATGTGGCGGAACCACTTTCAAAAATGATTCAGGACGGCTTCATCGAGGAATTGATCATTCATGTGAAGGAAATGCCTAACATCTTCCAAGTGGCTGCTTGGAAGCATCTGTTTACCTGGAATCGGCTACCGAAGGACTGTGAATTATTGAAGGTCCCCAAAAAGATTGACGATTTCGAAGTCTACAAGCTAAAGCTAGCCAAGAAATGATTCCGCAATGAGGTGGACAAAAAAAGGATGCTTGAATCAGCAATGCGCAGGTGCCATGAGAATGCGAAGGCAAGAAGCTATCACTCACGGAGCTCAGACATAAATTATATCAATGCCTTGAACAGGCTGTCCATTCTCGGTTTCAGCATTAATCCGCAATATTCTGTCAGAAAAGTTCAACAAGGCTTGATTGCAGATTAGCTAGACTGTCCAACAAGCAGATTGATTTTTGAAAATGCAAACCCTCAGTACCATACCTCAGCTGTCATGTGTAGTAGAACGTAGACCGAATCTCTAGCAATGTCACTATCGTAAGCGGTTCAAGGCAACTCACCGCCCCACAAACTCCAGAAATGTCACGCGTGCAATGATTTCAGGGCCTCGACGGCCTGCGAGCCTTACACAAAACCACGCCTTCATGTCTCGAAGCCTTCGAATACCCGTAGTGCATATACATATCACCCCTAATTAATCTCTCCCTCAAGACTCTCCCTCTAAAGCATCCTAAATCCAACCTCAAACCTCCCCACCCATCACCACCACACACAAAACCCAGACCATTACCAGCACTACACCCGAAATGTATCCCACCACCCCCCTCACCACCTCCACCAAAGTCTCAACCCCCAACTCCCCTCCGCCAGCACCACAGCCCCCTAACCCCACCCTTCACGCTCCTTCTCAACCATGCTGCTGCTCGTCACCGCCAACCATCTATTCCCTAGATCCACAACAACCCCACCAACCCCATCCATCCCAGCGCGTAGGCATCAAACCAGACGAGAACGGGAATGCGGGAGGCATGGCAGATGCAACAAAAGGGGGCAACGGAAACAACATGGTACCAGACAAGGTGGCAGAGCTGCAGAAATGCCAATGCAACTACCCTTGCAAACCGGCGTGTTATTGTAAGAATAGGTGTAATTGCACGAAGATGGGGGGAGTTGGGTGATTAGAGGTGGGGAAAAAGGGGAAGAGGGGGGAGGGGGGGTTTGGGCTACGGCGTTGGTGTCTGTCTGGTTTAGATGAGGAGGAGCTGTTTTTGTTGGGTTTGGGAGGTTGTTTTTGGTTGATGTCTTAGATGCCATGGGAGTATAGTAGCTGCTTCTAGTTGATGATGATTATCTTCTTGTATTTTGATTGGCCATCGATTTCTCGTACTTTGATGGTGGTTGTTACCGCTTACCTGCCAACGCACGCGCTTGCGATGTCTGCACTTGTATTGAGGAATTCAACAACGGACGTCATTTGCAGAGATTGAAAGCATGCTTACTGTTGATGATAATGGGCATTTGCGAACTATGTCAATCCCTTTCGGTCAGGAGTTCCCGCCGCTATTATTATTTAGATATTACTTTGTGGATTTTATCACCGAGACGCTTGAAAACAGGGAAGTCTTTTTGAGAATTGGCGTGCAAGATAGAATAGTGATTGATGTATTTACACGAATTGGACTTTTTAGCCGCCGGTATAAAGCATTTCCATTATCATTCTATGATGGAGAACACCGGTAATGGACAGCAAAACAAGAACGGAAAGACTTTCGAGCGCCTCACTAGTCTGGACAATCTCCCACTTTCCCAACTAGGGCGACTTACATCAATTTCTTTGTACATGAAATTTGTTGCTTTTGTGTGCACAGCAGCTCAGGGTTGGGTAAATATCAATCGAAGAAAATGCTCAAGTATGGACAACGAAACTTTTGCCGACGCCATCTCCAATTCGACTTTAACGACATCCGTCAAGAGACTGTCGCAGGTGCAACAGTCTCGTCACTTTCATCAGGCTCTTGCTCAATCATGACATCGCCATTCTTGGATGCGATCATGATCGTCATCTTGTACGGCTTCCCATTGAACCGCCCCTCCTCTCGTAGATGGAAGGTCCTGGGGAAAGTGTCGGGATATTTTGCGAAGAAGGTGATTGTGCCGTCGTAGTCCGGATCGCGAGTGACTTGGCATACCAAAGGGCTATCACGATCGAACATGCCTTGGCAGTGAGCAAGAAATTTTCTCAAGCCGTCATAGCTGTCCGCGCAGGCGACTTTGGAGCTAGGGTCGTAGTAGCCAATGACCTGACCCTCTGTAAGAAAACATTGGAAGCAAAAGGACTGCGTGGGTCCTATCTAGACTTGCCTTGACTCTCTTGAAAGGCTCAAAGGGTATGGTGAAGTCGATCGCTCCAGGTGGAGGCGATGAGCATCTTTCCATGTCAGGTTTTGCTGCTACCATAGACCTAAGATCGACCAAATGCGCTTCCAGGGGTGAGCATATCGAGGTCGAGACGAGTAGACTCAGGCACAAGCAGAGCCAGAAACGCAAATTCGGCATTCTCTCTTGTGGTTTGGAGCCGTCGGAGATAAAAGAATATCACAGAGCAGAACAGGTATAGCACTGTTAGGGCAAGTGATGAGAGCAAGGTAGAAGTCAATCGTCCATAGTGGCAGTAGTCGTTCGATTCTTATAACGACTTCTATTGTCATTTTGGGTTTCGAGTACTTCCAAACAAAGACCAGACGCGATTTCGCGAGAGACACCGTGCACCGCGGTTCCACATAGTCTGCTGTCGTCCCGTTCTTACTATTGGTTCTACATAGATACCTGAAGACATCAATGCTCATTTGACTCGGCGTAGAGAGCCAAAGCGCCGCGACAATGAAGACGCTTTTGTGGAAAAGAGAGAAGTCAATTTTTGACTAGAAAGAGGGCTCCACCAGGAGATAAGAAAGCGGAGATAAGAAGCCTTGGCAATGATTTTCTATTGCTCAGCTCGTTCAAACTCACTCCCTGCTTGGATTGTGTTACAAGAGCATTCTGCTACCATCCTTCTTGTGGTCCGGAAACGGAGCAGGATGACTTCTAATGAGCATGAAATTCAATGACACCTCCACAATAAAGGTGATCCACAGCCGTTTCTTTCCATCAAACTGCGCAGCCCACCGGTGAAACGAATACAATATTAGATACGACTCCTCGGCCGTGATGGCCCTTGCCACACTATTATCGTTCCAGAAGGGCGACCCTCAGATAGGTGAGTCTCAATCCTACCCGTTTCGAATCTTCACCCACAAGATCCAGCCGTCTCTTCTACTGGTGACCCCTCTTCCTTCGCTCACCAGACCGCCCGCACTCGATGGCCCAAGATCCTCAACAACATCATCGACGAGATAGATGGCAACCTCGTACCCTCCAATCACCTCAACGATAAGGAAGTTGCCGCCGCCCAGAAGATCAAAACCCAAGTCACAGACCTCAAGACCGCCCTGGCTTCCAATGCCATCCTCCCTCCTCTCCCCACCTCCCTCGGCCATCTAGACATCGAGATCTACAACGCAGAGCTTGCTTCTTTCTCGCAGCCACCAACATGGCAGAATGCTCCCTGGCTCTTCACAGAATGCTACCTCTACCGTCTCCTCCACACCTTCTTTACCACCTCAAGTGAAGAACTCTGGCAGAGATTTGATCCGTTCAAGAAGGACAAAGTGAAAGCTCTGGTCGGGAGCAGGAAAGGAACGATAGAACTCGTGAAACATTTCCTTTCTATCATCTCCTCTCTGGAAGCAGAGGCGACGGCAGCTGTAGACGAGGAAAAGCAAAAAGCGCTACTCGAAGAAATGCTACAGATCTCACTATGGGGCAACGCGACGGATTTGAGTCTTTTGACAAGCATGACTGTCGAGGAGCTGGATAGTCGGCAGGGCAAAGCTGCACGTGAGAAGAGTCGGCAGAACGTCGTTGACGACGATACCGAAGAAGTCTGGACGCTTCTCTCAGGGCTGAAGAAAGAGGGCAAGAGCGGAGGAATACATATCGTACTAGACAACGCGGGGTTCGAGCTATTGGCAGACTTAGTGCTTGCAAGCTACCTGATCAAGAGCGGCTTCACGAAGAAGGTGACGCTGCACGGGAAACGTATGCCATGGTTCGTGTCCGATGTCAACCCAAGCGACTTCACGGATCTGGTCAATGGCTTTGCGCACGGGACGATGTTTGAAGGCATAGACTCGGTGGATTATGAGGAGGTAAAGCAGGCGGGCAAGCATTGGCAGGGGTTGATACAGCAATCGAAGTTGGGATTCTCAGCCCATCCATTCTGGACCACACAGCACTCGTATGGGAGAATGGCGGTTGTGGAGCCGAAGTTGTATGAGAGGTTGGCAGAAGCGGATCTGGTTATCTACAAAGGAGATCTGAACTACAGGAAGTTGGTATATGATGGGTATTGGCCGAAGACTACTACTTTCGAGGAGGCTATTGGGCCTCTTGCGAGGAAGAGCGAGGATGGAAAGGGCGTCAGGACGTTGGCATTAAGAACGGCCAAGGCAGATGTTGGAGTGGGGTTGAAACCTGGGGTGGAGGAGACGTTACCGGATGATTGGACGAGAACAGGGAAGTATGCCATGGTGAGCTACTGGGATGGAAAAGCGTGAAGTTGAAGGTCGGCTTTTGACGTGCTCATGACCACATAGACTAGACTTGAGATAAAGAATCTCCGGCAGGGAATAGATGAATAGATTTAAACATTAGGCATTGGCCACATATCTCACTTCGTACGCGTCGTCAATCATGTCGCCTCTCATCATCTCAAATCTTGTACCTCAACCTACAGGTCATATTCGGTCGTAGAGAAGGCCTTGTGATGAAGATCACTCGCCAGTAGACCCCCCCCCCTCCCTCCCTTCGCTGGTAAGCTCGTCTCATTTGCAATTGACAGCAAGCAAGTGCCAAAATTTGCAGCGTACTAGCTCCTCCAGCCCCAAAGAGGAAACCTAGGCTCTTGAGGCTCCTCTCCACAGCCATATCCCACTCACGTACTCCTCATCAAGACTGCCTCCCTCTCAATCCCCCAAATAAGTATAGCCAAGCTCTTCCCCTACCTCCAGACACCTGCCCCAGGCCTACGACTGATCCACACTTTCTCTCCCTAAATCCAGTAGTCCTCAGACCACCACTTCCTCCCTTCACCCAACTTCTTCCAACACCTCCCCCTCGCCTAATAATATAGCTCAGATGTCCCTAAGGTCTCAGCGTACCACGTCTTACTCCCCATCGCACACGCATCCCCCGCCAAGCTGACCCCACCTAGTCTCTATTTCATCCTTACTCCTCTTGTGAATGGATGCTTCGACCATGTTTCTAGACGAGCGGGTTCTGGAATGGTGAGAGGAAGTCGGAAGGAGGGAAGGAAGGTGGCTGTGCTGTGTGAGAACTATGGGGAGAGGTGCGAGGACGGCGATGGAAGTTGGTAGCTTTTAGGTGGGAGATGGTGTTGGGTGAGGAAAACGCGAGGCGGTGACGTCATTTGTCACGACGTCGTTCGGTCGGCAGGCTTCGTTTTCGTCGTTGCTTTGTATAGTGGGCGCCTCAGAGTAATAATACCTCTGCAGGTACATGATATGCAGAGCTCTTCATGGTCAGCTTTTCCATATTTCGCTTCCGATGGGAGCGATGACACTGCGATAAGAGTGGACGATAGCAATTCAGTCCAGCCATTCGATCATGCAGGAGGAGTCGAGGATCATTCCTACGACAATGTCAAAGAGTTCTCGTGCGTATGGACGTTGTGGACTTTCTTGGGCGATGCTTTGCGTCAGTGCTTAGCCTTTCACTTTCCAATCGAAGTCATGAATTTTTCCTCGATGCTCCCACGCTACGCAAGGGCACTACTCTGGATATATGTGCTCAGCCTGCTCTTGAGCAGATCGAGTAGGACAAGCCTGGTACCAAGTATGCCTCATGTGTTGCGATTGGTGATTGACGAATACTATCCTCTCACATACATTCATAGATGTTACCTGAGGATGCAGCCAGAAAAGGTCGTTCGATTCAGGCTAAACGCTATATCTATTCCTTAGGGCAGATGATGCCTTCAAAATGTTCTTCGCTTTACACCTCGCATTTCGGCTGCCTCTGTCGAAGCCAGAGAGCAAGATTTGACATTTCGAGGACAAGCCTGCCGCTGCCACATCGCTTTGACTTTCAATTCCAGAGCGCCATGCCGTGCTTATGTTCGTCGAAAGGCGGCTTTGATTCGTTCTCATCTTTCAAGGACGTGTTTAGCGCAGCTCCATATAATTATAACCCTTTTGGGCGTCCTGTTGGCTTCGTCGAGTGTCCTTATTTCATTGATGTTGAGAGAGATGGCTTTCTTCACCAGGAGAGGGAAAGCTTCATTCGTAAAATCTTGACTATATATTTCTCCTTCAGCTTCCACTTTTCTCATCTAGTTTTCTAGCAACTGCAAAGCACTTACAACCAACGTTCAAGATGAGGATCTCAAGCTATCTCTCCCTTGGGAGTTTCGTACCAACCGTCCTTGCTCAAAGCATGGTCACCAACACCATGAATTCTACAACTAGTATCAAAGAGTACTGCATGACCACATTGGCAAGCACAAGCCAGCATATCATTCCCAAGGTCATCATCAGCGAAGTGCTGGCTCCCGAATTCGTCGAGCTTAGCGGCTACACTAGCACCCCAGTCTCGACGAAGACGGATCGCAGGCTATTGCACACCGCCAACAAGACTATTGACCGTCTTACGACTGTAGTGACAACTGATTTGAAGCCGACGGACACGTACATCTCAACAGAGACGCTCATAAAGACGACAACTGAGAGCACCGTCACGTACATAAATGCTACATCTACGTTAGACGACACTACAACGTCGATCGCGACTATCATCGTCCCAACGCCCGACAACTTTGAAAACATACAGCACTCCTCAAATGACACAACCCTGGGCCATGCAATTCCCCTCAATCAGTCTCTCGAAGCCAAACCAGAATCGTTCCCTCAGAAATCATTCCCTTCAGGAGGGCAGAACGGGAGCGACTTGATCTTCCCCGATGCGATTACATGTGCGGCCCACTTTCCCCCTCCCCGTTCCCTGACGCACAGCCACTAACTCACCTCTAGGCCGCTCTTACCATCGTATCTACTACACCCTCGGCATCACCTCCGTCGTCCCCACATCCACGACAACCGTCCACCTCCCCAACGCCAAAACGACCACCTCCACAATCACAAACCTGGATACTACAACCTCTACCATCGCGCTCAATGCCCGTGTCACTGAGACGACAACACAAACCCTCACTGTTGCTACTGCAGTCGCATCCTCCACCGTCACCGTCGAACCAACCTTGCTCATCGAGCGCAAGCAAACAACAACCATCAAAGAGGCCTGCCGTCCCACCAACGTCCTTGGCCCCCAGCTCAACAACACCAGTCTCCTCACTAACGACTACCTCTTCCACAACGACACGACGAAAGTCACTGTTGGCGGGGCGGACGACCCGTACGAGTGCTGCGTCGTCTGCTATCAGTCTGAAGGGTGCGAATACTCGCGGTTCAGCTCGAAGGAGAAGCTGTGCCAGAATTATATCAAGGCGGATAGTAGGACGTGCGATAACAGAGCCTACGTCGGGGTTTTCTTTAGGACGGAGTCGCTGGATTTTGACCAGGACGATGTTTTTCCCAGCTACTACTCGAATGGGCCGTGTGGGGTTTTGGCTGATGGGGGGCATGAATGAGTGATTGTTCGTCAATGATGAAGTGAGGAGGGGAAGGGAAGGTCAGGGTAGTTTGTACCAACGGATTGGGAAAGGCATAGTCTGGTAGACACACTTTTGTAAATTATGAACACTAGGTCTGCCCAGAGAAACAATCAATCCCATCTACATCCACTCGTCCTCACCCCGCACCAGCCCAAGACGCTTCATTCATCGCCACTTCTAACCCACGCGACTACTTCGCCCTTTCCCCTCACTGCAGTTACAATTAGTCCCTTCCCCCGTCCCTCCCCCACCTCCCCCGCTCTCCTTCCCTCCCCACGCCCCGCTCTCTCCTTCCCTCCTTCCCCCTTCTCATCACCACCCACCAAGATCCCCCTCCTCATCAACACACACCCTCCTCTCACCGCCCAACCACCGCACCTTCGCTTCCTCCAACCGTCCCCGCTCTTCCGCGCAGTGCTGGATATATGCCCAAATCGCGCGCATGACGCCTGTCCAGCATCCAGCCCTACCCGTGCCCCTACCGTCCCTTCCCCTGCCCCTGCCACTGCCCTTCTCCGTCGTCGAGGTTGAGGGTGAGGGGCAGGGGGAGGGTGAGGGGGAGGAGGGGGAGGGGGAGGAGGTAGTTTTCTCACTCTGCTCATGGCGGTGGGGTGGTGGCGCGTCGTGCATGTGGGAGGGCGAGTTCTGGCCACGTCGGCGGCGGAAGGGGGGGATTTGCTGGGTTTGCGGGATTGGGAGGGGGATGGGGAGGGTTATTGAGTGGGCGCGGGGGGTTGATGGTTTGGGGTTGTTCTGGTTGGGTTGAGGTTTGTTTTGGCGGGGTGGGCGGGGTAGGTAGGGCGGCGGAATTCCAAATGGCTCGTCGTATGGCATGTAGAGGAGGGCGGGCATTGTTGCGACGGATGAGGAGGGGGAGAAGGGGAGGATGGTGGGTTGTTAAGATGAGTGGAGGTGGGGGAGAAGGTTGTTGCAGCAAGAGGGATGAAGGAATGAAGGCACTCGCAATTGAGAGAGGCTTTTGTTGTGACTGGTTTAGAGGGCGGGGATGGATGGGGATGGCGTGCGAGGGCATGGCATGGTCAGGGAGGGCCAGTGGGTCTGCAGTGTGGTTCATTGAGATGGCCATGGATGGCGTGATGCGAATATGCAGTGGTCGGTGAAAGCATTTTGGTATTGTTGTGTTGATGAAGTGGAGATAATGCTATGGCCGTGGCTGGGTAACCCCAGTGGAACGTAGATTCTCTGGCCAATGATGGCGTATGCGATGACTATGGATGGAGAAATCCTTGGGTACTATTTGTTGAAGCCAATCGGGGAATCCTCGGGGCTGGCCTCTGAAGGTCTAGAATCATTCAGATGTGCTCAATTGAGGACCGCCATGAGCATGCTTGGATTTATTGGACTGTTGTTCTGCCACCATGAGAGATCTGTTTGGTCGGTGTGAATAAGTATGTTCTGGTGCATCCAATTGTGGAAGGACATTCATGATGTGGCTTTGGCAATATGGGAATTTCTTTCGTAATCAATATCTAGCTTGCCTGTAAAAGCTGCTAGCTCATTTGAGCACTTTTTCGCATCGCATCACATCATGAACAGCATTTGCGGTGCAAAGCTGTCATAGCGAGTTGAATTTTCATGTCAGAATTTTCTGGGGAATGTCAAAGTCATGGATGCTAATTTCCCTCATCTGGGGTCAGCAACAGCGCGCTTGTTCGATCGATTTGAGGCAGTGGTGAGGACGGTGTACGGCGTAGCAGATGTTGGATGTTAGGCCCCAAGGAGGCTGATCATATGGACCACTGAAACATGCAAAGTTGGAGTGAGATGAACGGAGGCTCTGACGAATTCAGAAACAGAGCCAGGAGACAACAAGTCGAACGCAAGTGTTACAGTCTAGCAGTTGGACGAGGTTCATGTGGAGGTATCTTGGCAGCGATTGAGGCTGAAGTGAACTCTCACGATTGGGGACTGGGAGGTACCCTTGAGTTGTCCATCCTTCGATGTAAGTACCAAGGCTTCAAAAAGTCGATCATTGAAAAGAGCTCAAGTATGCCCATTGGAGGGTTCGATTGAGATCGCGGTAGACTGGGCGGAGAGAAGTCTGGATGCGGTTGAAAATTTCATCTCTGTACCTGAGGAAAATCGCTCATATAAGATCTATGAAACGTATATAGATATTAAGCTGCCAAGGGCAAGAGAAAGGCTGATGGACATCTGACCAGTAGGAGACTTTCCGTGCACAGAGATTTGTGCAGACTTTGAAGAGTTGAAACGGTAGCTAGGGGAGCATTCAGCTCTTTACTGGAAAGGGTTAGGCGGGGGCGTCAGTGCGGCGCATGACCCCGCACTTAGTCCGCCTTAGCTGACACCAGCCTGCATTAGTTGGGCCTAGCGTAGCCCTTAGTTTGTCCCTCTCCGACGCCGAATCTCGATCGCGGAAGGCTTAGGGCTGCGTCTGATCTTGCGATTGGTCGAGATGATGAGTCAGCAGGTCGAAGAGTTTTCCTGCTTGGCCACGCGACAGGAAGTTGGTCAGAGGCTGGAGGGTCGTGAGTGGCCAACGACCAACACCCACCACGAACATACCTGCAGACTCTGCTGTCGCAACCACCAACTCATCTACTACTACTACTACTACTCGGCTAGGATGACTATCATGATGATATCTCCTTTGGGGTGGTGTGTTCTCCCTTGCTGTTTGCAGGATGTTGTCCCTCGCAACGCTACCCAGCTCCAGCCTCGGATGACGTCTACCCTTTAGTTTCCCTCCCACCCCATTTTCAATTCCCCGGATCCAACACTCACTCACATGATTTCTCATTTTTGGTTTGCTCCCCACAAAATTCTATTGTCCGCCCGCTAGCTTCTTTCTTCTTTCCACTTCAACTACTCCATCACTTCTTCTCCCATCTTTTGTATATAATTGAGCTGCCCCAGTCTTTGCTTACATCCTTCTCCATCTCACTCGCCACCATCGACCGGTGCCGCATGTGACTGCCTGTCGACCACCTCCTCCTCCTCCCGTCCCTACCCGCCGCTCTCCACGGTATCCGGTGACCATCAGCAACAAAGCTACATGACGACACCATCTTAGCTATCTCTTCATATCTTGCCGCCCCACCTTACGGTTACAGTCACAGCTATCAACACGCACCACCGCAATCATGTCGGTCGCCCTGCAGGTACAAGCCCCAATACACATCCGCTGAGATCCTCCGCTAACAGCACTGAAAGGATCCCATATCCACTGACGACTCCTCGTCCGATAATGCGGAGCCAAAGCCAAGGGCGCCTGTCATGCTCCCTGAGCACGTCGCACACGCCAAAGACCTCCCCTACGCAGAAAGAGAAGAGCTACACGAGAACGAGGTCTATGAACAGCTAGGATTCTGCTTCCCCACATGGAAGAAATGGTCCATCTTGACTGTCATCTTCCTCGTACAAACCTCCATGAACTTCAACACCTCGCTGTACTCCAATGCCGTCAACGGTATCTCCTATGACTTCGGGGTCAGCAAGCAAGCCGCCCGTCTCGGGGCTGCCCTCTTCCTCATCACGTACGCCTTCGGATGCGAGCTGTGGGCGCCCTGGTCGGAGGAGTTCGGTCGCAAGCCCGTTCTACAAGCTTCATTGTTTTTGGTCAACCTCTGGCAGATCCCCGTCGCCCTGGCCCCCAACTTCGGTACCATTCTGGTCTGTCGCTCCCTAGGCGGTCTGTCGACCGCAGGAGGATCGGTAACCCTAGGAATGGTCGCAGATCTGTGGGAAGCCGAGGACCAACAGTATGCCGTCGCCTTTGTCGTCTTCTCCTCCGTCGGAGGTTCGATCCTGGGTCCCGTCGTCGGCGGCTTTACCGAGCAATTCCTTGACTGGAAATGGTCCATCTGGATTCAGTTGATCTTTGGCGGCGCCATCCAACTCGTACATCTCCTCGTTGTTCCCGAAACTCGCACAGCTATCATGGTGGATAGAATCGCCAAGAAGAAACGCAAGGAAAACCCTCGACTCAATATCTATGGTCCGAGTGAGACGCAGCCATTCAAGGAACGATTCAGCGCCAAGGAAATTGTTTCCACCTGGCTGCGACCCTTCCAAATGTTCTTGACGGAACCGATCGTGCTCACCCTCAGCTTACTCTCCGGCTTCTCTGACGCGCTGATCTTCATGTTCATTCAATCCTTCGCCCTCGTGTACGAGCTCTGGAACTTCAAGCCATTCGCCATCGGTCTCGCCTTCCTGCCTATCCTGATCGGCTACTTCATCGCCTGGGCCGCCTTCATCCCGGCCTTCAAACGCAACAAGCACGACCGCCTAGCGCACCCTGGCGACGAAAAAGCCCAGTACGAATCTCGCCTCTACTTTCTGCTCTGGCTGGCTCCCTGCCTTCCCATCGGCCTACTGGGCTACGGATACACCTGCACAGGTCCACCCCTTCATTGGATCGGCAGTATGGTCTTCGCCGCCGTCATCGGCATCGCTAACTATGCCATCTACATGGCAACAATCGACTACATGATCTGCGCCTACGGCCCATACTCCGCCTCCGCAACAGGCGGCAACGGCTGGTCTCGCGACATCCTTGCCGGTATCCTCACGTTGCCTGCCACGCCCTTCTTCCAAAACATCGGCCCAAAAGAGAAAACGACAGCACCCAATCACCTCAGTGACGCCTTCATGATCCTCTTTTGTATCTCCATCGTCCTCGTCGCCGCCGTCTACGTTATCTACTGGTACGGTCCCGTCTTGCGCAAGCGTAGTCCCTTCGCGCAGCAACTTGCCAAGGCGAGTCAGGAGAATAATGGCCGCTCGATGAGTGTGAAGCCGACGAATTATGGGAGCACGTCTGCGAGTAGGAGTGCAAGTGTTGCACGTGCGAGGAGCTCGATTGCGGGTGGAAGAGGAAATCTGACTGCTGCGCATCAGGAGAGGTTGGATAAGATTGCGGAGGCGAATGGAATTGAGGGTGCAGGGGAGAAGGCGTGAGTGGTGTTGTTGTTGTTGTTGTGGTTGTTGTTGTTGTTGTGTGGTGCTGAATGTGTGTGCTGATGTGTGTGCGAGTGGTAGGTGGGTGGAGAGATGCAGGAGGTTGCGCGAGAGATGTTGGAGGTTGTTTGAGAGACAATGGGACGGGGCGTGAGTGGTGTTGTTGCTCTTGTGATTGTGTGTTATGTGCTGCTGAGTGTGGGTACTAATATGCTTGCGACTGGCAGTTTGACTTTGCTGGAGAGATGCTATAACCGGGTGCGGAGAAGCTGGGTGGGTACATTCTTCAGGTACTTGAGCAACACCTGGGTGGGAATAGTCTGGGAATGGCTCTGGAGATGAATTCCGGAGAAAGGGGGAGAGTGGGGAGGCAGCTCACGGCCCCGCTCTTCTTTCTTGGACTTAGTGGTCAACGTCTTGGGGAAACACATGGATATATACATATGCATAAGGTTAGCCTGGATGGGAGGGTCATTTGGAAACGGAACGGCGAATGGGGCGGAGGATGATATCCCATCGATTGAAACTTGGCATTTGAAATGGCTGATTGCGTGTTTGCAACCCCCTTTACCCCCGCTCGTAGTGAACTGCACAAATGGATGTATGCACCCATGAATAACATAGTTATGGAATGAAACGGATTCATGTTGATTTAAACTATTGTTCGCCTTGTTCAGGGGTTTGAGTACAGCATTGACATTCCAAGAATGACTCATCATGGGAGCGTGTGTTGGTCGTGCATCGCTATCATGCATATCATTCTCGATGCTCCTCGTCTCGAATATGGGATTTGGAGGCCTCGCGAAAGGGAGCGCACTAAGAGACTAAAACATCGTATCTGGTCAGGGCATTGATCATGGCAGTCTATACATCGACCCCAATCTCTTTCTAGCAGCGAGGCTTTTTCTAGCCAGTACTTCCCATCTTTTACTCAGTAGACTGACATCCATATGCAGTCACCGCCACCACCAACACCGCAGACGCTTTCTTCGATTACACTACGACGACTGAGCAGTGCATTACTAATGGCACTATCGACTACACGGTCACAAGCGAACAATGCACCGCCGATTGCGCCCCTAGACGGTGGTCTAGTCACGAGAACTATTGTATCACTCTTTGTATTACCTCCATGATAGTTGGTCACATCACGGGGCAGTGAGCTTGGTTGATCGAACCATACTCTGCGAGAAAACTACACTGGAGAGCATCATACCGCATTCATTGGCTGCCACGACTCGCCCTCGCCACACCTCCAATCACAGACTCGTGAGACCCGTGACATTGCTCACCACAGCTGATATACCTAGCGTCTTACCCAACCCCCCACCGTCACCATCCAAAGCTTCCGCCGCCTCAAGCACCTTCGAAATCGGATCATCCGGCCGAAACGTGACTCTGCTCCAATCCGTCCGGATCTGCTCGACAACCAACCTGACAAAATCCTCCTCATCCCTCACAGTGACGCAATTCAAGATCTCCTCATCCGTACTATCCTGATTCACCCTCGTCCCCTCCTCCTCCCCCTCCCCTCTCTCATCCTTAATCTGATTGATCAACCCAATCACCCTCAACGGCTCCATCTTCTCAAACACCTCCGCGAACTCCGCAATGTACGGACTTCGCAACCCGTACTGCAGCATAATAATCTCCGTCCCCGCTCGCTTCAGCTTCTCCTTCACCGCCAACGACGCCGAGCGTGCATTCAGTTCCCGCAAAGGCCGTTTAAGCACTTTCCCGTAATCGTGCCCCAACCCCAGTTCTTTGGCCAGGTCTATTAGTATGTCCGCCCGGTGCAGCTCGAATACTTCCGAGGGCGTGTCGGCGGAGACGGGGTCCGTGTTCGGGTCCGTAGAGGCGGCGATCCCAAGCCCGATCCAGTCCAGGATCCGCTGCGCTGGCCACCCGTCGATTGTGGCTTCCGCTTGCGTTATGTCCGCGAAGGAGGCGTACGCTTCCTCGCCCACGTTGGCGAGACTCGTGCGGAATCTGGGGAAGAATTTTAGTTTGGGGAGGGTGAGGGCCGGGGATGGGGAGGCTGCGGTGGGTGTGGTCGCGTTGGGGTTTGGGGCCTGTGGCGTGGGTGCTGCGAGTGCTGTTGTGAGATATGATAGTGTGAGGGCAGTGGTTGGAAGCCAGTGGTAGGGGGGAAAGAACATTGCTGGCTGATGAATGGAGTTCTGGGTCTTTGAGAGTCGTGTGGGATTAGTCTGCGTCAACTTCCCCAGGAAGGAAAGGCTGGAAGACAAAGCTTCGTCAATCAAGGACTTGTACTTGTGATAATCAAAAGAACAAGTCGTTAAGCTAGATTCAAAAATTCTAGGCACGCACGAGGTCTTTCTTCCCACGACTACCAATCACTGTAACAGATCGGCTAGGGCGTAAGACAGGAGCTCGTCGCTTATTCCACGCCTCGCGCATTCTGCATGACTGGAATATCTTAGTCGAACAGCAGGTGCCGTACGGTATTACATGCACTGGGAATTCTAAGGTCTTTATATCGAGTCTATCTTCAAGTCAAGCTCATACACCCTCCTCAATGTACTCGTCAATGCAAGCTGTAAGCTTTTTCATCAATGCACGGATCTTGTGGTTTTACCCTGAGCACAGGCCATGGAAGTGGAGCCATCCTCCATCCCGCCTAGAATTGAACACAGTCCGGGGGGGTTTATACGCAGCATAATCGTAGCGTTCCCACTCGAAAGGAAAAGGGGCACCGTGCCCCGGTATGTAAAGCTATATTTAGCACTCAACCCTGCCGTGAGACCCGACGAAACGAAACGAAACGCTGGAAAATTAAACGGCTGGGGCTGGTGGGGTGAGACTTTGGGGCGCTTAGAAGTGAGAGTTGTGCGCTGAGAAGGAAGGGGATCGGTGGTATGGCATTCTGTGGTTTATTTAAAGGACGGGGTAGGCAGCTGAGAAATCCTATAGGGGACGTACGTTCCCATCATGAAATTAAATAGCATACAAATGTGGCCTTGCCGAGCCGAAGCTGTCAGGGGTGTGTCTTCGAGAGGCAAGATTGCGGAAAATTGTCCAACACTTGCCTGAAGACTCATTTATTTCAATGCGTTATCGTGCTGGCACACCACCTAAGCCTCCAGGGCAGATAGGTAAGGCCTAAAAAAATTCGTAGAGTAAAGCCCCGCGCGAGACATTTGGATAATAACCTTCAATGGGAGATGAAAATCTCATGATTCTTTGCGCGAGCATTTTGGCAGCCCCTTCTTCCCTCTTGATTTGAACGAAGTCTGAGTTCTCCGCCACTGTTGCAGGAGCATCGGAAAGGATATCCATGGTAGTGATGCGAGATCAACGCGCCCTACCATGACGAGTTAGTCTTGCAATGCCAATTCTGCACTCAACTCCCAGAACAATTCATCAAAAACGGTGAGAAGTAGCTTAACGATGGGCCACTTTCTATACTTAGTGCCACCTCGACGGCGCCACTTACAGCTAGTGACATCTTTGTCAACATGAAGTTTACTTGCTAGAGCCAGAGACAGCGGTCTGGAATGTGGGATGTAGGTTTCCAGACCAGAGAGGGGCCATGCAAGCAGCTTTCGTTAGGTATGACGAAATGCAAGGACAATTACATCTGGACACAACATCTCACATCTGGGTTGGATCCATGAGCTAGCGAGGACGATGAGGCGATAATCATGGTCGATGCTCCTGCAACGATGGACCTGTGAAAGGAAAATGCGTCTTAAGATGGTATTTTGGTGGCTTCGCTAGGGGAAGCGCGCCAAGCGACTAGAGTCTTGGCAGCTACCTCAATCCGGTCAAGCGCCAGATGTCCGGCGTTCTTGGACGTTGCATTCAAAGGGCTGGATCCAGATGCGACCTTGAAATGGCACCAGATGCTGCCCTGCAGTCACGGTCCGGTCACGCACTGTTACAACCCCAATCCGGCCATAACACCAAAGGGACGAGATGGCTTCAGCCCTTGATCCTGCGCCTCAAGCCACAGAACGCTTCTAGACAGCGCGTTGTCACCCGCCCAGAGCTACCATGAAGCCTCTGCATGCGCACAGCGGCATCGGTTCAAGATATATTCGCTCTCCCCTTCAACATGTCTTCAATTCTTAAAAGCTTTCCAGACTTCTGCAGACACGCTCACTGGAGCATCCTCACTATCTTGTCAAACCATTCACCATGTCAGTCTATACATCAACGCCTGTCTCTTTCCAGCAGCTAGGCTTCTCCCAGCCCGCACTTCCCACTCCACCAACAGACCCTTTGCTACCCACGTTCCCACAGCAGCCAAAGGTATTGCATCATGACAACACCACACAGAACCAATTCTGACTCTAGTAGCTACCTGAAGGATGGCAAGCGATATGGAATGATCGGCATCGGACATGGTAAGGTCACCTACCGTCTCAATTTGCCTGCGTATTGACCAATCATGTCCAGGTACTATGCAAACATCTCCACCGGAGCAACGCAATGGACCATACCAGGGCAGCAACAGCAATCTGCTCTCACAGGATACCCAACGCCATCATCCTCTCCCCGACCGGCCCTGAATGGCCTAGGTCAATCTCCATCGAATGTTACATCCTACTTCCTGAACCAGCCGTCACCCACCTCACATCCAGTTCAACAACAACCCGACTCCGCCCGCAGCGCGGCCAATTTCTGTTATCAACAACCTCCATTCACCCAATACTCCACCACATTATCTCCCTACGACACCACAACACCAACTCGCCCCCAATCCACCGGCCCGCCCACCCAACGACCTCTTTCAACAGGCCCACATCTCCAACGCCCAAATTCTCAGGGCCCTCCCCCTTAGCTCAATCCTTCGCGCCACCCCCAACACAGCAGCGTGAAGGCGGTAAAGTAGCGAAGAAAGGTGGAATAATGGGCCTTCTAGCAGGTGGCGCCGCTAGCACCGCAAAATCCGCTATGAAGAGTCAGCAGCTCCATGTCCGGCAGCAGCAACGTCCTGGCGGTTACCCGCAAAGACCTCCGCCTACGCAAAGTTATCGAATGGGCGGGGAGATTGGGCCTGGTGGTGCCGCGGTCTTGGCCGGAGGCGCGGGTGTCGCAGCCGGTGCGGGCGGGATGTATCTCTACGACCAGCAGGGGGTCCAAGGGCAACAACAGGGGGGCTATTATGATACGGATGGTCTGTGGGGTGAGTCTCCTTTTAGAATAAGAAGTCGTTGAGGATACTGACGGAGCTATAGTTGTATATGAGAGTAACAATAGTAGTGGGATTTATGATGAGAGTAGGGAATTTGGTGAGCCGCCTTTACCCCCATTTTCTGCATGGAGGTTGATGTAAATATAGTCGTTTACGATACTATAGATACCGCGAGTGGGTATAACACTGAGATGGGAGAGTATGGTAAGTGCTTCCTCCCTGTGCCCTCCTCTAAACACTGAAAATGATTTCTCTGATCTTCTACTAAACAGACTAACATTCATGCGCAGGCACTTACGACGCGAACACCGACGCTACCGTCGACTACACCTTCAAGACAACCCAATGCAACAGCGACGGCAGCACAGACTACATCGTCACAGACGAACAATACAACTCCGATGGCTCCGTCGACTACGCCACCGCTACCACTGAGTATGATGCGGATGCCGACGCGACGTATGCGCAGGCGTCGCATGAGGAAACTGACTACGACGGAATAGGGTGTGATGGGGTGGACGCAGGGTATGAGGAGACAGCACACGAGGAGACTAATTACGCAGTCGCTGAAGATGGCGAGGGGTACGCAGAGGAGTATGTAGCGGAAGAGTCTTATGCGGTAGCAGACTACCGTTACGACGACGGGGATGACGGTTGTGGGGGCGACTGGTGATCTCAATCGTGCACAGTGATCAGGCGCTGTATATCATGTCTGGAGGCGTGAGCTAAGTCCTGGAAGCGAGGCCGTGATATGTATAGATGAAGGTAGTATGAGTATATATGATAATATCTGTAATGTAATGCAACGTAAAGGCAGGACCAGCTTCGACCCCCACCAACCCAACCTGCATGGGATCACCAGCCTGGCCTTGCTGCATATGCTATGCTGTTCCCATTCTTTCTTACCCCCCAACCCAACACCTCCAACCCCCTCACAAGAATGCGGCATTGCGAACGTTTTCGCCACTTTGATTACGTTCAGTGCTTTTTGCCCGCCCCATCTCACCACACACAGCTCTTCGACGAGAAAATCTTCTGGCAGTGCCGGCACAGGAGCGTGGAGGACAACCCAACTATACGTGTGCAATGCGCTTGTGGCGAGAGATTGGTGATGCACTCCCATAATTTTTTTGGCCCCGCCCCATCGTTGGTAATATCCTTGAAGGTGCTGGGATGGTAGACCCCATAACCCTTGACGGACGGAAGCGCGCGATGTTGGACTGCCTCGGACGGCGGAGAGGAGGGAGGGGGGTCGCCTTTTGTGGCGATGGGGTGGGGATTGGGGAATGTCGGCGGTGTGGATTTAATTTAAAGGGCAAGTGGCTGATAGTAATGATAGTTCGTGAATGGGGAAGTAGGATTAGGGGGGTTTGTATGTTTTGGGTTGAGGAAGATGAGAGCGGCAGTGCGAGATCGTTTGGTGGCAAAGGTATGGAATGGGATGATGTTATGCCGCCTGGTTGGTCTGAGTCGTATTCCAGCATTCTTACACTTGGTCGCAGATGGGGAATCTTGTCTAGGATAAGGACAATCCGAGGATGGGTATTTGTGAAACCTTTTTTGAGCAGACGAAGCAGGCGACTTGTCTTAGGGAACGTTACAGAGTGGATATGATTTGGAAAGATGATAGAGTATTCCCGTACAACACCTGATTATGCAGGTACTGTACGACGTCTTTCGGCCAATGATTCAGCATCATTGGTTTTTTTCTAGGTTCTGTGCGACGTTTTCGCGTGAATTTTCCTACTCTCTGAACGCCACCCCAATCGGAGGCAGAATATATAGGTTGATCTTCTCCCCCATCTTCATCAGACTTTCCACATTTTCCACATTTTCCGCACAGCCCCCAGAACATTACAACGCACCAAAACCTTGGACTCTCGCCAAAATGAGCAAGATGATGAGCCTCGCAGACCTAGAGCGCCTGTCCAAAGACACAGACAAACTCCTCGACGACATGGAAGCATGCGGCATGAGAGTATTACGGCTCAAAAAATGCCAATGCCGCTCCTCAAAACCCACCGAAGAAAACTGGAAAATTTGCATCGCCGCCCGCCTCGAAAGTGCCGAAATGGTCGGCGAACACTTCCGCCCAGACATCGCTGAGGCGAGTGATGATTGCACGGAATCAGAACGTGGTATTGCACAATGGGAACAACCTCTAAACTGCAAAATTACAAGGAGCTTGAGGAAGAACACTCCAGGCAGCTACGCTGGGTGGAATTTGTCAAGAATACGGAACGTCGCTGCTTGACCATCTTGTACACCGATTTCCCGAATTGTTGGCCTCGGCGTAATTTGTGTGATGATCTGGAGGTTTACAAGACGGGACGGGTACCGAGCGGTTTGAAGGGGGCGGAGGTTCCAGGGGCGGTTGCGCTTGAGGCGGTGGGGGTTCCGGAATTGGAAGGGAGGAGAGTGAACTGGGGGAATTTTCAGGAGCCGGGGCGATCGGGTGGGGGTGATGGGAATGGGGATGGGTGGATTGAGCCGGGGCGACCGGGTTAGATTTGGGGGAGATGGGTTGATCTGAGTTGTGTGATTTTAAGGCGGGGTTTCTTGTGCTTGCTCGGAAGATATTACAGGACTTGGGAGAAAATAGCACTTTTGGCGTGGATGTGCTAGGGAGAAAGGGCTATGTTAGAGCTTGCGGAAGATGCATCGGTTTCTTGTAGACGTAGAAAGAGCAACGAAGAAGACCGTGATGTAGGATCGTCGATGATAGCTCAGAGCACATAGACAATGTAATGTACAGCATGAATCGGCAAATTGCAGCAAGTCATTTGTTTTCGGTTCAACTTATATTGGGAAGGCTTGTTTTACCTCCGGTCTAGATGCTCTCTTTCACTCTTTGCATTTAGCGAAAAACACGGAAGTTTTATCATCTATAGACGAGGAAATAGGCAGAGTATGTAAAGACGCAAGGGTCAGGGTGGGGAAGGTCTCTCGATCGAGCCAACCAGGTACAATAGAGACCTTGAAGCAAACATTAGCTAAAATTATCGGCAGGTGACCGCATAACACAAACCATCCAGCACAACGTTCTTAAAGTGCGCGTCCTCTAATTCCCCAACATTTTCTCCAGCCAAAAGCTCAGCTTGGTGGTCGAGCCAATCAGATCTATAAACTCAACAGATCCAGTTGCAGGCGAGACGTGCAGGATGTTGCTCGACGCACTTCGTGCATCATCGGAACTTGATCTTTCTCATTCTTTGACCACTGCTCTAGATTATTGTCTGTGCGTAGTTTTGTTGAGCTACACGGTGCAGATGCTGGATGGCGGAAATGGGTCTGTCGTGTTTGGGATTATCTGGCAAGGCAGAGGGTATTGGCTGGTCAGTGTAGTCTCTGACAAAGATCATGCACGACGCGGTTGGTGGCCATTCACCTTGCCGGACGTCAGCGAGATTTTCGTCTGTCAAACAGAACGCGTAAGTTACGTGTGTGCAGTATCAGAGGAATTGGCCAGGGCCTCTCGGTCTGGGAAATTCAGTCTCTCACTGTCGCGATAAAACAGCCATGAACGTACAGGACAGCTCGATTCGACAAATTTTCAAAGGCCGCGAAATACGTGACCGATGGCTTTTTGTCTCAACCAGTCTTGTTGATTCGCCTGCTATTGATGAAATTACGCTGTTTCAGTACCGCCCTCTTATCCTCTCAATACTGAGGGGGCTTTTAGTTATGATACAAGCTTACAGCACTGCCTTCGTGGCCCTCCGAGTCTATGCGAGAATGGACGTGCGTAATGCTAGAGCGGAAATTGATAAAAGGCCATGATTGTCCCTTCGGTTCTTCTTCCTTTCTTAAGCATTTGGCTGGCACTTCTTACTACATTGGTCAAATCAGCAACTTGTGCTTCAGATAACTTCATCTGATTCGCAATGGAACAAGCTTCAAACAAGGAAATCGTCATTAGCGATACGCCGTCGCAATGCTGGATCGGCGAGAGTCAATTCAAAGGCTCAGATAAGAATAAATGGAAAGCCTCCATGAAGAATTACAAGTCAAGCCTGGAAAAGGTCAAGTCTGGTAAAGTGCGTTCTCATCAGTCGCAAGCAGTTTTTCAACTTGCTGACGAAGATTAGATGAAGAAGCAAGTTTCTGAGAAAAGCATCTACGAGAACTTCGAACAGCAATATCCCGGAAGGAATCTTCAGGAAGACATCCAGCTATTTGATAGGAATGGAGTGCCAGAGGAATTCAAAGATTGCGGAAAACGGGACGCAGGAGAAGCATCGAAATCTTCAGAAGACAATGCTCAAAAACAGAAGCGACAAGCGTAGGCTGGCTTTGAAAAGGGCAAAATTTGCGCATAAATTGGCATAAGATGAGATGTGGGATAGAAAAACCATGCAGAGTATGCTAATCAGGACTGAAATTAGCTGAGGACGTAAGGACTTAAACCCATGGCCATAGACAACAAGACCAGGCCAGGGATTTAGACAGGTAATGCCAACACAGACTATCAGAGATATCATCTTACAATTTGATATGAAGCGGAATGAGTCCCGTGGCTCAACGAAAGATCTAGGTCTTCCATTTGGCATCAGTGAGCTGCAGACTGACATGTTGCAAAATGGCCATTGTTTCCTGTAGTGTTGTTGTAATTGTTCAGCAAATTCCTTTGAGGCCTACTGTGTTGTTACAACAAAAGAAGGCCTTTGTTCCGTTGTTTACCTTTCACCAGGTCTGACACGCTTTTCTTTTGTTACATGGTGTAAGACTTCAATTCTTGCTACCCTTAATTGTGTCGTACAAGTAATCACATAGGTATAGCAAGAGCTCGCTTCTTTGTAATCTGCCTTCTCACAACATAACTGAAACAACTTTGCAAATATTGTGAAATAAAGTGCGTCGGTCTGTTTCTTCGCAATATCCGTACTCAGCTCTACGAATCTGACCACCCTAGGAGACGCCTCAAAGCACACCCCGCTCAAATCACCTCAGCCATGCCACCCACCCTTATATCCTGCACCGAACAACGTTGCCAAATAACTCACTGCGCCGCTCTCGTCATCAGAAATCGCGCGATAATCAAACAATACTACGATCCAACGTTCGTCTATCTCGAAGCTAAAAACGTGGAGTATCAGAAGGAGATTAAAGCCCTCGAAAAGAAGGAGGAATGGAAAGCCGCACATAAAATGAGAGAGGAATGGTATGAGTCGCTGTCCGAAGAGGGCCGAGTTAGAGATGAGAAGAATCGATGTGACGCTTTGGCAGAGGCGGATTTTGTGAAGCATTGGCCGGGTGAGAATTGGCGAGAGTATATAAGCTAGGACTTGACAAGTAATGGGCGATGGGAGACAGGGGGGTCAAAGACGGCTTTGGAAGGTGCTGAAGAATTCCGAGAAATTCAATCTATGCACTTCTCTCTATTTGGTCAAAATACACGAGATGTCTTTCTCTGAGTGGGCGCAATTGAGATGGCGAGTTTTGATCCAGGTTGATAGGTGTCAGATCCTTCATCTGAGTGAATGACTTCAATGCGAAACTCACTGATCACCTGCAAGGCCTTATTACCTGAGAATTTGGCCATTACTGCCATTGTTGGTTCGTGCTTTCTTTACGTGGATCGTGCTTGCCTGTTGCCACCTCGTCGTGATCGCAACGGGATACTCAAGTCTAGGTAAACGAGTTTTTTGCCGCTCACCTCTTTTGCGCAGCAATCATTCCATTTATTCTCGATGAAGAATATCCTATTTGCGTACATTAGTAAGCGCCTATTATTCCAAGGTATACTTCCCCTAGCTAGTAGTTCCAAAAATTCTCTTGAGCTTTACCCACTATCAGAATGAGCAAGCCGCAACCTCAATACATATACTGCTGCCACTCGACCCGGAACCCGGATTCATGTCATTTACACCTGTTGATGAACCTTGCCAGCAACACGAGCTATTACCGCGATCTTAAGAAGCAACTGGGACTCAAAATTCGCCACTTGCGCGAAGAACGTGAGCTTTTAATTCGCTTTAACAGCCACAATCACCACGATCAGAGGATTCGCCAATTGAACAGGCAAATGAAGTTCGTTCGCGTGAACCAGCTTGCTAAGGTAGATCCATTGAAAGAGAAGCAAGATCGATACGTGATCGGTATATTTGAGAAACATTGGCCAGGGGTGGACTGGCAAACGTATGAATCCCAGGCATACTCGCAGCTTGAAGATGAGGATGATGTCGATGGGTCTTCGATGACTTTGCAGCACGGAGATCGAGGGAATATAGATGAGATTCAGGAAAATGAGCAGTCTGGAGAATGGGAAGGTGTGCAGGAAAGCGAGCAGCACGGGGCTATAGAAGACGTGGATGAGGCTCAGGAAAGCGAGGAGTACGAAGACGAAGAAGATGTGGATGAGACTCCGGAAACTTTGCAGCACGGAGATGGAGGAGTTATGGATGAGGTTCAGGAAAATGAGCAGTCAGGAGAATGGGAAGGTGTGCAGGAAACTGAGCAGCACGGGGCTGGAGAAGATGAGGATGAGGCTCAGGCAGCCGATCAGGACGATATTTCTGAAGTCCTTGATTTCGGCGAGGGCGAAGACCTTGAGCCAGGTATGAGTGTTTTCAGAGAGTTATTTTCTCCAGTTAGGTAGTGGTATTGATTTGAAGGGTGAGTGATGCTCAGTGTCTCGTGGAGGTTCATTCGTTTTCGGAAATCTAAGCTTTGCTCGTTGGCTTGATCGAATTATGCGTGCTTCTGCTGTTGCTCGTCGCTTGGCAGTCCTTATTGCGCGCAGCAGATTGGAGATCTATGAAAATGCGATGCATTAAAGCTAGGCGTCGTGTAAAATTGAGTGTGCTACCTCCCTATGCGGCATGACATCGCAAATTCCGCAGCAAACACCAGGTTTTATCTATGTTTCGTTTTCATCCTCAAATTTTCTTGTTAAGCTTACGAATCCTCTAAGCAACCTTCTTTCGGTCAATTTGACGAATCCATGATTGTGTTCCCATTACTTGTTCCACGGCTCCTTTTACGTCTGTTTTTTAGATGCCAACCGCGTTTTGCAAGCTAGGGCCAGGATGCTGGTCCAGTCTTGCACGCTCTAAGGTATCCGGACAGCTGTAGATTTGTAGCCTAAATACCAGTAATGCAAGAGCCCAGAGAGTCCCTCAATTGTGCTAAGGGCAATCTCTGACCTCCATATTAGCCCAACACAGGAAAGCACAAAGTCATTGAAGTTTGGTCATTGTTCTTTTTAAGCTGAGAAAATGGTTGCCTAGTGGGATATGATGAGTAATCGCGGGGACTGTGAGCGGGGTATTCACCGCCACTCCGTACGACACTCCGCAACTTACTCCCTTTCCCATCATCACGACATCTCGAAGAATCCTGTAGTCAGATTGTCTTGACCTCTGCCAGTTGTAGGTAGCGAGAAGTTGCCAATGCCAACATGGGGTCAAAGACTCCTGAATACGAAGAACGTAAACTCGAAGGTAAAGAGCCCAGGTACTCTACCATGTCCCATATTGATTTCTAAATGTGTCAAGGCGATCCATTCAATTCAAGTGGAACGATCGATGCAGGAGGCGAGCCTCGAGGATCCCATACCTCTAGAGACGGGGACGGCTGCCTTGCAGGAGACGGCAATGATGGCGACAGCGACGATGATGACGGGAAAACAAGCATGGAGCCGCAGACCTCCCTAGTGACCGACCTTGCAGGTGCGAAAAAGAAACAGAAGAAGTCAAAGAAAAAGAAGAAAAAGACAATGTCTCCGCCTGTGTTGCAATCATCGCCACCGAGAGTCCTGTTGAGCGATCTCTTCCCGTCGGGCAAATATCCCGAGGGTGAAATCCAAAGCTATACGAAATCACAGACAGATGCTAGACAAGCACGTGAACAAGCTCGTCGGCAGGTCCAGGATGACGCTTTCCTCCGAGACTATCGTCATGCTGCAGAAGCCCACCGTCAGGCGCGACGATGGGTACAGGACTGCGTCAAGCCAGGTCATACTCTTCTCGAGATTGCAAATGGCATTGAAGATAGTGTACGAGCATTGCTTGGCCATGATGGACTTAATCCCGGAGACAGCCTTCAGGCAGGCATGGGCTTTCCCACTGGGCTTTGCCTCAACAATCAGACCGCACACTACACACCCAACCCAGGGCAAAAGGATGTCGTATTGCAACACCAAGATGTCATGAAAGTCGACTTCGGTGTTCACATCAATGGGTGGATCATCGACAGCGCATTTACTATGACATTCGATCCCACCTACGACAACCTCCTGGCAGCAGTCAAGGATGCTACCAACTCGGGGATCAAGGTAAGGAGCCTCCGAGTATCTCATACTGTGTGGCAATAACTGAGAACAAAAAAGGCGACAGGCATTGATGTGCGCATTAGCGACGTCAGCGCCGCTATCCAAGAAACAATGGAAAGCTATGAGGTTGAGATCCGTGGCAAAACCTTCCCCGTCAAGCCAGTGCGCAATATCACGGCGCATAATATCAAGCAGTGGCGCATTCACGGCGGCAAATCCATTCCGTTTGTGAAGAATTCCGATCAGACGAAGATGAACGAGGGCGAGGTCTTCGCTATCGAGACATTCGGTACGACAGGGCGAGGAATCCTGCATGATGATGTGAGCTCCTCTTCTTTCTCAAGAAAAACGAGAATGAAACCTGACATTGAATTAGGTGGGTGTCTATGGCTATGGCTTGAATCACAATGCGCCATTAAAGACATCTCTGCCCCTGGTGTCCGCACAGCGGCTACACAAGACGATCAGAGAGAATTTTGGAACACTGGTTTTCTGCCGTCGATACCTGGATCGCCTTGGCCAGGACAAGTATTTGGCTGGCGTGAGTACCATGGAAAAGTTATCTTTGCACACGGGTCTTGCTGATGTTTGAAAGCTGAACTGTCTTGTATCGAATGGGATCCTGGAGGCTCACCAGCCTCTGGCGGATGTCAAGGGCTCTTACACAGCGCAATTTGAGCATGTGAGCTCTTCATTCCTGCTGCAATGATGTTCATGTTCTGGCTGACTGTGGTTGAAGACCTTGCTCTTGCGCGAGGATCATAAGGAGGTCTTGAGTCGGGGAGATGACTACTGAAAAAAAGGGTTTGTTCGTGGGGGCGAATTTTGATTGTGCTTCTTTCCTTTTGACCCTTGGAGCTGGTTTTTTCCCCGCTGGGGTTTTCCAGCCCTGTGACGTGAATGCGAAGGGTTTTGTACTCGATTTAAATTTCATAACAATCATTGCAATTCCGTGCAACTTCTACCTGGTTACTGAACGTGTTTATGTCAAGAAATCGTTATCTCGTCAAGCGAGGTGATTGTATTACCCGGTCAAGATTCTTACGGTATGCTATGAATCATAAAAGCCCATACCGACCCCACTTTAGTACTCGGTCTATGAATGCCAAGGCTGGCCAGCAAACGATCGTTGCAGAGTTGGGTTTTCGCGGCTACTTAACCCCTTGTGATTATTCGATTGTCACTTATACAATCGCTCGAGATTCATCATTAGTCTTATTGTATGACCATCTGACCATAAAGTTCTGATTACAAGAGTATGGGGTCCCGGAGACCGGACTCTTATGTATGTCTCGTCTACTTAGGCATTTCTACGAAGGCTATCTTCAGGCAGGTAGGCTCACTGGGCATGCTGTGTACGCCTCGGAGACTATTGCTTGCCTCCATCTGTTGGCCTTAAGCCTCGCAGTGTTTCCTAGTGCCCTCGCAGAGGTGTATAAGTATATTTGACATGTCTTGGTTCCTCTCAAAGTTCACCAGACAACTTGAACAATGGCAGACCAAAATCCTCAATCAGCGCATCCAATCGCAGCGGACGATAACAATGGGTCTTTGACCATCTCATGGTGCCTCCACGAAGAAGATACAGCAGCTTCAGTCAACCTCGAACCATTGCGCAAGGAGCGGCTTGAGATCCCAGCCAATGTAATTAACACCGTCTGCAGCACCGATATTGTCGCGAAGATAAAAACACTACTCACACACAGTCAATTACGCGCACTCAACGTCAAATGCGTCTTATTGTCCGATGTGGGCGGTCCCCTCTCCTCGAATGATCCATTAGGACCGATTTTCCGAGGACTACTTGCCAGAGGGATTGAACCCAGGATAAGGCTAGAGCTTACGACTAACGCTAATCTCCGTGGACAACATCATCCGTTTGAGGATTGCTTAGGGATTGGTCCAATGATCATGAAGTTCATCGAGACTCTCGAGGATATGCATGAGTTGATTGAGAAAAGCGTTGTGTCAACGGACCCTGCGAAGCAAGGAATTGCTCGGCGGCTGAATAGGGGCATGCAGGCTCATGTGAATGTTATCAGGGATGATTTGGAGACCTTTAGAGTATCGTGAGAAGGGATGTGATTTGAATTGTTTAAGGCGTGCTTTTGGGACGTTTAAGGAGGGTTTTTTTTTTTGATTTTAACATCCAAATATGCTTCAGGAAGCTCGGCCCAAGTTGTTGCATGCTGATATGCATCCTTATCTCATTCCACAAATTGTCGATGTAATGCAAACAGGTTTCCCTGAGGCATGCTGCTCGGGACTCTACCTTGCTTGCTGTCGACGATTTTGCGCCACTATTGGCATATTGAAGCGTGAACAAGGGGCATATTATGCCTTGTGATCTCAACGGTCCTCCAGATCACATGGAACTCTCAACCCTTCTACCTAATTCCATGAAAAGTTGACAATTGACGACTACCTTCAACTTCTCAACCTGTTTTCTTCAATCGTCTAATGCATCTCCTTGTCACTCGGAATCCTAGCGAACATCGCGGAACGGACACTACCATGTGGACAGGGGCAGTTTAGCCATCTATAAATGGAAGCCTGTCTGCCAATTCTCCCCGTATGAACCTCGAGCATCGATCAAAACCCGACTACAATCGTGTGGGGATTTTGTGCAGAGTCATACCTCGCCTTTCGAACAAATGGAATTCGCCTGCTATCTCAAAAAATTCTTATGATCAGGCGAACAAGACCATCGGATTTGCCTGATGACAAGTCAACAAGGCCTGATAGAAGCCTTACTGGTGCCAGCTAACAAATCGTTCGTAAGACTCTAACCACAAACCGCAAGTACCTTTGCCTAAGAGATGTTTTCATTTTGCGATCAAACCCTAATTTGCCTTCTTTCGGAATTTTTAGGTCTATAAAAGCCACCAGTCCATGGCTTCACGCTCGCCACGTATCACCAAATCACCACTTACACTCTAAATTTTCTTACTGCCTACCATCATGCCTGACACTGACCTTCAGTGGGATCATCCTCCACCAGCGAATCCGTCCGGCCCATTGATCATTTTTTGGCGGCTCTACGATGCACGTGTTTACAATCCACCGTCTCGGATCAGACCACACGTGGGTCAAGGTCAATTCTCTCTTCCGACCAGTAGACTAAGCGACATCAGTATTGAGCAGATCGTATTCGAAATAACGACAGCTTTTGAAGTGCGTCACTTGCGTGTTCTCAATAAAGAAATACAACTGCTCGGTGCCGCTGATACTTTCCCAACAATCCTATCAACAACAGATGAACTTCTCAGACTTCAGTCTCAGAACGTCGTCCCAAGACTAAAATTCGAATTAACAGGCGACGCTACCCGTCGACCGCAAGAGCATCCTTGCCAAGACTTTCTAAAGTACGGACCAATGATGAAGATACTGATCAAATCCTTACAAAATTTCCATGATAAACATGAGACGACTAAGATCTCGATACCGATTGCTCAAGAACAAAATGAGAGAGCGAGAAGGGGGATTGCTCTGATGTATGCTTGGATTGAACGAAACGAGAGAAATTTAGGTAGACTCAATAGTTCGAGGTGAAGAGTTTGGAGAGGATTCGTGTGATTCTAGCAAGATGTCATGAAAGGTAAGGCGATAGTTATCTGATTTTAAAAATGCACAACGCTCTTTATGCAATTTTTCTGGGCCCGCTTTACTTGATGAAGTATTAGAGTCACGAAATCAATCCGCTGGTCGAATCTGAAGCGAATCTCAAAGACAGATCCATTGACACCCCACATGCAATTGACATTCTTTCATAGCTGAGGGTGGAAAATAGCGTTACTATGATGCAGACTAGACTACCTTGATCCCCTCCAAGCAGCTTCAATCGAGAAGATTCGTAGAACCTAGGCAATACTTCCGTAAATTCAATTAAAGCAGGCAATGAATATGTGGCAAGATCCAGGGCGGAGGGTTCAGTGCCTTGCTTCAACGCCTTCAACGTCGTCATTACCTCATTGCCTACGGCGGTACCACTCTAATTCTTGATATGAAAATTGATGCAGTGTGTTGTTTCTAGGGCTTTTGGTGATGGATGAATGATGCTGAAATGCAAATTGAGCTCCATAATTTACAAAATCCTTCTCATTATGACGAAATATTACAGTGTGCCAATTTATACAGCGAGAAAGGTGGCCTTGAGCAGTCATCACAGAAAGAAATCCAGTATTGGAAGCACAAGCCTTGTCCGACAATTGACAGCCCTCTTTTTAAGTCTCTATCAGCTGGTCATAGAATCCATCGCCTGCAATTTGCCTAACATCTTTTCGAGCTCATCGATCCGCACCTGTATGAATTCATTGAGTACTCCAGCTTTTTCTTCCATCGCTGAGTCCGTCGACCGGGTACATTCCTCAATATGCTGTTGACACTCTGTCATAGCCGTTGCTAATGTCAAAAACGATCTGTTAAGTTTTGAGCGCTCCTGACGCTGATTCCCATTTCCTATTGTCACGATATTCGTGCGTTCCAAGCTCAATCTGGGTATGATACCTTGAGACCAGAGCTTACGCATGTTCGATATCGAGAAGTCAATTGCTACAAGATCAGGCCCCACTAGTAGCTCGAGTGTTTGCTCGTTGAGAGCGTGGATCTCGTTTTGTGACAGCGTTCCTGCGATACTGACCAGCACATCCCTTGTGCAAAGGATTTCTAATTCTTCATGTGGGAACGTGATTTGGCCACAGCGTACAGGTGTGATGCTGTATGGATGACTCAGTGGTGCATCGCCATCAAGTCGCCAAAGGAGGATGAGTGATCTGTTGAGGTTGTTTGTGTAGGGATCAGCCCACAGACGGTCGAAATCGCTGATGATGTCCATTGTTGAATTCAAATAGGATGCTTTAAGGAGTACAAGGAGACTATGATCAGTTACATGAGTATATATAGACTACAATGGGGCAGATCGGAACGCCATTCAAAGGCATCAGACTCAAAGGAGGCGCATGATTAGCCGTATTTGAGCATCGCTCAGGCAACCCATACAATGGATATTGTCTAACATGGTATCGCCCTTTTTAGAACAAAGACTTAGAGTTTTCGCAATGGCCTTTGAACCATGCACTGGCGTACAAAGACCTTGTATATATGAGCCTGCCTGTTTCGCATACCTGGGAACTCCATCGTTGCATACTGTCACCGTCCTACATTGGTCTCTCACCTAAGACATCATAATCATGGATAACAATATTCAAGATCACGACATGAACTCCGAGTGGCCGAAGACCGCACCTCCAACAGCACAGAAAAAGCACAGAAAGAGCAAATAGCCCTCAAGCTTTGCATCGCCATCTTTCCAATCGGTACATGGTACCATTCAAAGGTGATACCTCACTGCTCAGGCTGGTCTGCCAATGATGTAATGGATGTTACACTAACAGCCGAAGCTGGACACTATTACAGATACATTGTCAAACTCCCGCGGGAAAATCTTCCCCAACTACCCTCGTCCTCCTTGAGTAGGGAAGCATTACGGACAGGATGGGCGGACGAGAACAAACTCGGGCCTAAGCTGATTTTATACGGCGAGAGTTGCGGAGGCCTTGTGCTGGAGCGGTTGCCTGGAGAAGCCCTTAATCCACAGACGGCGCCAAAGTGGCTACCGCAAATTGCTGGCTTGCTTCGTAGATTCCATTCCACTAAAGCGGCGGCCTTCATGGAACGCTATGATCCGATAAAGTCCGTGAGAGGATATCTTGACATCATAAAGGCCAACAAGACGATGCCTCAAGCAGACATGCGTCTCATCGATGGCGTATTAGTGAACACTGGAAACAAGGTCAAGGGGCACCCCTGGGTCCCATGTCACAACGATCTCCACTGTCAGAACATCATGCTGAACAACATACCTCAGGGCGAGGATGGGAATCAAGTAGTCGCAATCGACTTCGAGGATTGCGATCTCGCGGATCCGATGTGGGATCTTGCCTACTTCACAGTCAACCTGGGCAGGGAAAATTGCCCGCGTACACTGATGGAACTTTACGGCGTGTCGAAAGAAGAGGAGAGACGTTATCGCGCCTACTTGCCACTGGCAGTTGCGCATTGCGCGGCATGGGCGGGTATGCGGGGAGGCGATTGGTTGAAGCATTGCGGAGAGATGATGGTGAGGCTTAGGACTCTGTTGGGTAAAAACAGTCGAACGGAGGGACATCGTAGAGGAGGCAACTGATAGAATTTGATTAGCGACTCTGAGACAAACATTAGTCGTTGCAGAATCTAATATTTATTCCTCCATCCTCGTCTTTTGCAATATGCCTAAAGTGTTATTTAGTGTTAGATGTAATTTCGACTGCTCACCAAAGTCCTTTCAACCTTGCATCGCGTGTTTACGAGCATAGATATTTCAATATGAACGTATTCTGACAAAATATGGTTAACAGGCAGAGCGCACTTACAGCAAGTTGTGTTCGTAATTAGATTTCCTCGATCTGATTTGGTAGTCTGCTTCTCTATGTTCAAAACTTTTGTTCTCAATTGAAAATATCCTGATTAGCCGCTAAATACTTGGACAGAAGATCGCCAGTTGCAGGTGTCTCGCCGATGGCTTCATTGAGGGTCATAGCTGAAGCCTCGTAAGCACTACGCCGGAATACGGTCATTTGTAGCAAGGCTTCGAATACACTCTTCTCATCCTTGTCAGAAATACGCTCAGTGAAAAGCGAGCTCAGTGGGCCGAGATGCTTGGATTTCACTGCCGTCTGAATCCAGTCTTGATAAGGCACCCGCTCGATGGGGACACCCACCGAGTCAGTCATTGCTTCATAGGAGATCGTGTCCAGGTTAATGATATGCTTGATACCAGTCACACTTTGCCGAGATAGCTCGCATATCAGTCTGGCGCAAAGATCCACCGGTGTTAGATCAATCTGCCAGTCTTTGCCGCCTATCTCGTCTAGAGTGGGCGCAGATCCAGTCTCTATCATTGAGGCGAGGAGCCGTACAGTGAAGTCGTCCTTGGGGCACTTGAAATTCTTGGTGTTGCCTAGAAGTCGCCCTGGGCGCAGTATCAGTGCGTGCCCTCCAAGGCGCGCAAACTCCAGAACTAATTGCTCTGATACCCACTTTGTCTGCCCGTATCCGGTCAGTATCTTCTTGCTTAGGTTCTGAACAGGGACTTCACGACCTTGTGTAAGGTCGGTGCCAGCGCCGAAGAAGACTGAAAGCGTTGAAATATAGGTGAGTCGCTTCTGTGTGAGGGTGCTGGTGAAGCGCAGGATTTCAACAGTGCCAGTCACGTTGGCTTCTTCGAGTTCTTCATAAGAGGCTATGAAGCTGACAGCTGCAGCGGAATGGAACACTGTATCTGTTTGGCGGGCTAGATCCATGTAAGTGTCAGCTGAGAGGCCCATCAAAGGCTTACTCACATCTCCGGCTTTGGCTTGGATGCGATCTAAGAAAGTTTCATCCCACAGACCCCAAGTTTTAAGAGCGCTCCTTGTACGAGTTAATGCGGCATCATCGTTTTTAGCACGGACAATGCAACTCACCCGAGTAGCGTCGTCCTTGAGGAGCTCCGCGAGAAGGTGGCTTCCAAGAAAGCCTGTCGCGCCCGTGAGTAGGACATGTTGGTGACGCTCGAGCAAGGACGAACCAATGTTGTATGCAATGTCGTAGGGAAGCTCGACGCGATTGGAAAGATCTTGACTGATCATGTTTGCCGTTTGGCCCATGCCTCCAGTCACAAGCTTGGTGAGCTGGCGTAGGGAGATGTTTCGTCGATAAAATTGCCCCAATTGTATCTTGCTGCCGAGAGACTTGTTGAGGTGCTTCAATACTAGAGAAGCTTGTAAGGATGAGCCACCAAGTTCGGCATACGTCGTATCCTGTTGCAAGATCTGCTCAAGGGGTAAATCAAGAGCCTCGAGTAAGGCTTGCGCGACCTTCTGCTCCATCAATGTGAGCCCGTTATCCTTGCCGTTGTTATCGAGATTGGCAGTGACATTGGGGTCCGGTAGAGCTTTGACGTCAAGCTTCTTGTTGACAGAGAGTGGCAACGCGTCAAGGAAGCAGATACTGGTTGGAATGCTGTATGACGGTAATCTAGCCCGCATCAGCTGATCCAAGTGAGTAGACAGCGCTTCCTTACAGTCGGGACCGTTTCGGCATCGTGGCACCACATATGCGCTTAGCTTCTTTGCCTTTTGTTCTCCGCGGACGATGACTGCGGCATCAGTGACAGCGTAATCGCTTCGAAGGACACTTTCAATCTCTTCTAGCTCTATACGCTGCCCGTTTAATTTCACTTGTCTCGTGCTTCCAATGCGCCCCAGACATTCAATCTCGCCTCCAGGTAGGACTCTTCCAAGATCTCCAGTCTTGTAAGAGCGATGACCGTTGGAGGCATTTATGAAGAAGCGGTCAGCGTTCAACAGCGGCATGTTGATGTAACCATGTTTGCTGACGCTTGGGCCCGAGACTACGATTTCTCCAACCTCGCCATGACTGACAATGATGTTTTGGTCGTCCACAATGCTGATATGTGCATTCATGATAGGCTTTCCGATGACAGAGGCTGAGAAACCAGCCGGTATTTGGCCATTGTAGTAGATCTGCTTTGTGCTGCAGACGGTAGCCTCAGTTGGACCATAGGCATTGATGAGCTTTCTACCAGCACCCCAATTCCGTATGAGCGCCTCATCGGCAGCTTCCCCTGCAAGCACTAGAGTCCTCAAAGAAGGAAGAGGCTCTTGTATGCAGGAACGGAGTACGGAGGGAGTGATGACAGAATTGGTGATTTTGTGTGTGCCAATGGTCTTCAGCAGATTACCAGGTAAGATTTCGTCCTCTTGTGGCACATACAAGGAAGCGCCGACCATCAAAGCGCCACATATATCCCGGATTGAAGCGTCAAAGCAAAATGGTGCGAAAAGAAGGATTCGGTCGTTGGCGCTGATTTCCTCGCTGTACTCAATATCAGCAACCAAAGTGGCGAGATTGCCATGCGTTATCGAGACGCCTTTCGGGTTGCCAGTTGTTCCCGACGTATAAATAATGTACGCCATGTCGTAGGAGTCAGCGAAGACCGAGCTTTTTCGCGCCGGTAGATCACAAACCCGATCGAACTGTCCCTTGTCGTCCAGACAGATCGTCGCCTGAGCCTCGAGATCGAAGCCTTTCTGCGCGGCAATACTGCTGGTGGTGATAAGACAAGAGAGGCCGCTATCTTTCATCATGAATCGCATCCTATTCCCAGGAAGTGAATGATCAAGTGGCAAATACACACAACCGCTCTTCCAGGTTGCAAGCATAGCAACGACATACTCGAGACCTCTGCTAAATGCAACGCCAACGACGCTTCCCGGTACGACATTCAAAGCCGTTAGACGAGCCGAGAGACAATCCGCTTGATGATTCAAGTCGAAATAAGTCATGATTCCCTTTCGGCTAATTACAGCCACTTTCTCCGGCTTCTGTGAGACGACATGTTCAAATACATGTATATTGCTATGAGTGACTGAGAAGTTGGGAGTGCGCTTCCTGAAGCTTGTTGGCGAAGTGACCGAGGGTTCGATGGTACAAAGAGACATGGGCAGGACGCGATTGGTCGACCGAAAAATGCTGATTCAGTCGTATTTCCAAGGTTCTAGGAACAAGTTAATACGACAAGGGTATGTTAGTAGTCAATGTAGATAAGAGACCTTCAGCGATACCCAGGTCCGCGTAGACATAGAGGTTGGGGATATTTAAACCGTGCAGGTCTTGAGAACAATGTCGTTATTGACAATGCCATTGTCAGCCCAAAAGGACTCGTATAACTTGTGCCAAGCGTCATCACTCCTGCCGATAGGTGTAGCTTTATCGACTAGATTCGGTGACAGGTAGCGACATCAAGAAAGTCCAACATCGATTAGCTAAAACGAACTTGAGCATACAGAGTCGCCGTAACCGAGTAAGGGTCATGTTGATGAGCACATATTTGGCTCTCATACGACAATGACATTGTTAGGAGGACTTTTGGGCTAGGAATGGCTACTTTGAAGATTGCCGCAATTTGGCGGCCCTTTGTATCAGCTTTGAGTCGCGACAATGGTTGCTTATTTCTTTTTTACGGGCCAGCTAACCTCTCAATGATAGAAATGACGGACTAAAGGCAGGCAACTAGCGTACGTATTCTTTCAAGGTCCGCTCATAGAACTTCTGGAAGCTCTATCAAGATTCCACTGCGTCTGATCTGCACCAGCGATCCAATCTCTCGCGCACAGTCCTATTTGGGGCGGTCAGCGACGCAAGGAACGATCCGAGCATATTGACCTAGTGCTTTCGACCTCGTGTCATAGCGCCGACCATCATACAATATGCCGGAAATAGGCTCTGTGCTCATTGAGTCTCAAATGATGAACGATCGCACAGTCAGAACAGCAACATGTCAAAAAGTCGAAGTGAGGGTACAGAAGACCATCTCCAATCATCCACTTCCTGCCATGGCCCTTCGTATGCTGTTGGGAAAGCTACTGCGATTCTTTGTCAGTGTGGATGGCAGAGTACCTTATTTATCGACCCTTCACATTGGTATACCAAAGGTGACTGAGATTCTTCTCGAAGGGAACGTGAGGCAACACTTCCACGTCATTCGAAGCCTCCTGGGGCCGCTCCGCAGCATTCTGCGTCATTTGTCAGGCCCAGGAGATATATTGAAGACACTTCTCCTCAAGGATCTTGATGAGGCAGGTGTCATGGATCCAAACCTCATGAGACGGCTGGTATCAAACGCAGCCTTCGGCGACACCGACGAAATACTCGCTCCACCAGAGGATTTACGCCAGATCTGGAAACCTGTGGCGAGAGAGCGAACCGCGCCAGACAACGGTGGAAAGTTCGGCAAGTCCACGGGAGATTTATAGCGAACGGATCTTCTCGTCCACGAGTGCAGCGATCCGCCTATCTCAGAGTATGAGCTCCAGGAGCTTTTCGGCACAGACGCCACCTTCGCATCTCATGGCGAACGAAGGTTACCGTATGAGTGTGGAGCGAAAAAATACACTCTTGTGGAGGATGATCCATGGGTCAAAGACTGCACGGCCAAGGGGCTTTTCGCCAGGAGTGGTCCCTCCGGTACCGCGTACCGTTATTTGAATCTGTGGCTTTTATTTGGAGGGTGCCAAACAAAGCTTCCAGAGCTGCGACTGGCCTTGGTTGCTCTCATGCTGGGTGGAGAACATCATTCAATCATTGAAGTCATGGCGGTGTGTGCCCCCATTCTTGGTGAAGCTGCCCCTGGCAGTCTGGACGAAATGCTGGAAATCATGGTGCCGCGTGATCTAGTATTAAAGCAGGGAGGGCAGGTAGCTTGCTTGACGCAGCGCGAATTCCGATGCAGCCTCAAGACTTAGATAGTCATTGCCTTGGTGGAACTAGATAGAAGAATGAATTGAGAGCCTTGGCCTAAAACAAGAAGAATGAAAGCCATAAAGGACCCATTTGAAAGCCTAATGAGTTAGGGATCATGACTTGCAGCTCCCTCCGCCCTTTGCTTTTGTTGTAGAAGTGAGGTACGTGCATCGACGAGCCAAATTCTTCATCACCGCCATGCCAAGACATTTACTCCCATGACGTCACTCCTCAATCATCATCATCAATTACTCATTGTTTGTCTTTGTTTGCCTAAATGTTGCGATTACCTACATTGTTTCCTCCGCTTTGTCTCTGAGTCATTCGTTAAAATGGTGGACTTCACGACTCATCAACATCTTCAACCATCATCATTCTATACTGACCTCCCAATCTCATCCACTCGCCGCAATCTACTACAACTGCATCAGCAACCCAATCGCCATGGCTACATCTACGGGTCTCTTACCACTCACGCCGGATGAAAAGTACGATCTCATTGAATCGAACCTCCAAGAAGTCATGCGAGAGGACCTCATTCGCACTATCCTGCCAAATCGTCCACTCCGAATTTACTGGGGAACAGCCACAACGGGTCGCCCACACGCAGCCTATTTTCTGCCTGCTATCAAGATCGCTCAATTTTTGAAGGCCGGGTGTGAAGTCAAAGTTCTCCTCGCTGACCTTCATGGCTTCTTAGATGCCGACAAAGCACCAGAAGGTGTCCTAGAGTTTCGCGCTCAGTACTACGAGCGTACGATCCGGGCCATGATTCAGGCTGTTGGTGTAGACTTGGCCAATTTGACATTCGTTCGCGGGAGCTCCTACCAGCTGACACCTGACTTCACTCGTGCCCTCCTACGACTCAGTAAGCGCGTGTCTGTGCATGACGCGGTGAAGGCTAGCAGCGAGATCGTGAAATCCACTGGCGAGCCCGCTATGGCGGATGGCATGTACCCAATGATGCAACTACTGGACGAGGAATGGCTGGGATGCGACGCACAATTCGGTGGCACGGATCAACGCAAGACGTTCGCACTTGCGACCGACACAATGTCCAAGTTGGGTTACAAGACCCGCGCACACTTAATGAACCCAATGGTGCCAGGTTTGACCGGTGGCAAGATGAGTAGCTCTGATTCTAAATCGAAGATCGACCTGCTGGATGATGCAGCAACTATTCAGAAGAAGATCAGCAAGGCAGTCTGCGCGCCTCGCCAAGTCGAGGGCAACGGCATCCTAGCCTTTATGCAGCACGTTCTACTGCCCTACTCGCAATTGCAGTCATTCGATGGAAAGACCTCAGCCATTCAAGTTACGTTGAAGGATGGAGTAGAGCCCACTGCCTTGACATCGTTTGCCGAGGTCAAGGAGGCCTACAACGCCGATGAACTGACGCCGCAGATAGCGAAGAAGCTCGTTGCAGACACTCTTGTCAAATTGACTACCGAGATTCGTCAGAAATATGAGGCTGACAGTGAATGGCAGTCCATCGCCGAAGCTGCTTATGCGACGCCCCAAAAAGCTCCCACAAAGCAGAAAAAGGGTAAGGAGGACTCTACTAGGAAAGTCTCTGATAATACGAGCTCGTCCGAAAACATTCACAAGTAGAGGATACCAGTAATCTGGCACAGAGAATAAGAATGACAGGCGAATACATAGAACATAGTATCTGCGAAGATCCACCTTATTGATTCTTACCTAAAATAGAAGCCCACGCATTTGGCACTCGCTGCTTGATAGATTTCCAATCGCCACCATCAACAGAAATAATCCATTTTACCTTTCCTGATCGCTATTTACTTTCTCCAGAATGACAGTCGCTCAGTATTTCACTTTTCACTGTTTCGCAGTCGTAAGAATCTTCGCACGGTGGAAGAGCATGATTTAAAAGACTTTTGGTAAAGTCAAAACTGCCAAAACTGGCTTGTGGCTCTTGCCTGAGTTATACAATTGATGGCTTGATGAATTATGGTAAGTTCAAGCCTCAACCGACAAGTGAGCTATCGCTGCCGACCGTGAGTCATCCTTGAGAATTAGTGGTCGCACACATAAAATTGGTCGCACCTCACTCCCAAGTATCCTCCATCTCTCTCACAAGAAACTTATTCTGTTGTTTATCCTGGAGTTAGATCCGAAAATTATGACGAAACCTAAGGACAAGTCAATTTCAAAGTCTGGAAGTGCGCCAGACCTGCAGCCACCCATAACGCTACAAACCCTTCGTGAGAACCTGGACCTATGGTACAGGCTTCGGGTCCTTCTTCATGACTTCAACAACGTCAAAGACCCTAGGTCCGAGCAACGACTCTCGTGCACGACCCATCCGCTGTACATCAGTCCGCCTTACTTCTCAGACGCCGACTCCTCCAACATTCGAACGGCGCTATTAGTCGAAACCTCAAGCTCTTCCGCCACTTTCAACGAAGAGACTATCACCCTGCGGCCAGAAATGACGGTGGAAGAAGCAATTCATGGTGGCTTGAGCAACTTCCTTGAAGGGCGCAAGGCTAGCGGTGACGCCAGACCATGCGGACTACACGACATGCTTCCAATCTACAGCGCAGTATTCGGGATTTTAAAGGAGCAGCTTAAGGACGAGCGCTTCATCAGTCGGGTGCGGAAAGCGGGACTTGGAGACGCAGTGGGAAAGGAACAATGCGCCGGCCAGGGGGGAAGCGAGAAGAAGCCTGCTCGGGGCAAGGGCAGGGAGCGAAAATAATGATGGCAAAGCCTTTCAGCATTATTGAGCATGGAGAATGGGTGTACTACCCTAATTTGTCACAACATCGCCCTTTTGCAGACACAGTTCTCCGAGTTTTGCAGTTCAGCGGGCTGCCTTCGAACCTGACTTATTCCCACTACTTAACCCCCAGCGGCTTCATTGCGAGAAGTCCATCAGCTCCGTCCCTCGTCACCAAATCTACCCACCAGGCTAGATATAAGCCATACAAACACAAATAGTATACCCACGAGCTCCAGACCTGCAAGTACTGATAGACTTCAGAGTCGGGGGGCCACATTTGAATTCAACCTCCCCCATCGCCATATCAGCCCGCCCCCGCCGGCCGTGAATCGCCTACGACCCCAAAACCCAACTCCCTATCCAAAAATATTTAATGAATGAACAGTGCATCGACTCACAACTCTACCCAAATCTCTTTCAGCGATGCGGGACAGCTGGTACCGACTTTGTGTTTCATACCCCCGGCTGATGGTGCTGGGTTCAACTTCAGGAGTGGCATCGCGGAGGGCATGAATGGCGAGGGGGAGAGCCAAGAAAGTGGCTGTGATGTGGGAAAGCTGTAAATAGGCATATTGGAGAAGCTTCGGTGGACGTGGGCGATTTTCTAGTGTGAGAGGAGAAAAGGATTGTGATTAGGCTGGGGTGGCGATATTGGGTGAAAACTCATCGTTTTGGTCCTCCGAAGATTGGAAGTAGAGGTAAGAAATCTGGGATCGGTGTGCATCGCGCAAAACGATTCATAGTCCTGGTCCAGACTCAAAGCCTCGCTATGAGTACGCATTACTTGACAATTGCTTGCCGACATACATTTCCCTCCCCTCTAGAACGAAGACCCTCACGCGCAAAACCCATTTGACGCCTCGTCCCCATCATTGCCTCTCATAATCCAGTCGGACGAGAGCATCTATTAGGGTTGCAATTGATAACATTACAAATCTTCAGCACTTGCCACGTAGGTATCTGACCCTTTATATACGAGCTATCTCCCCCCACCCAAAATTTAGTCTTGATGCAATGCGCCGGTGAGATGGATTGACTTACTAGTCTATTTTCTCTGTTGCAGGCGTGCGCATCTTTCGGAGGACATAGATCGCCTACTTGTTTTGCGGTGTGGAGACATACAGCGCGGCGGAATATTGCGGGGACGGCTTCGGGGAGAGCGTATGTGCTTGTTGCGAGTGCGAGTGCGAGGGTGGTGGTGGTGGTGAGGAGATTGAGCTGCATTGATGTGGGTGGGGAGGCCTTCTCGCAAGTGGGGCTGGGAAAACTGTGGAGGAATAGAGTGTAGCTTTGAATTATTCTCGAACTTGTCAACGTGCATGAAGAGAATGAGGGTTTTTGTGATGAGGAATCATGGGTCTATAGGTTTTCGCTGAACAACCGCCTGACGAAAGCGATCAACATTGGTGGAGAGTTTCGTCGTCACAGTGCAGCTTGCGAGTTGTCTATGCCTCTTGCGAGGACAAGGAAGACTATGGCATCTTTGGATAGCACCTGTGACTCTCGCCCATGGCGTGTCAAGCTTTCGAATCACGATATCTGGGTCTCTCACCAAGAGAACTGGGTTGTCTAGTCTAGCTGTGGGACGGCTCTGTGTATGACCTTCTGTAATCACCCTTCTGCGGCGAACCTTATTGGATCTACCAGGTTCCAGCGTATGCAAAAGAAATAGCAGTCATCAGGATGGCCTTGATAATAAGCGTCTGGTCCTCGCTTGCGAGACACGGAACCCGGTCAAGGGATGGAGGCTTCGCCGGTTCGGTAGATGAAATGGCTCCCAGGTCACTTGGTGCAATTTCTGGGATATCAGGAAGTCTCTACTGCTCACTGAGTTGAGGAGCATAGGAAATGATATCGTGAGCCATAGCTTTGCCCCGCAGGTCCATCGGAGATATGTATCAGACGCCATTGGTATTCTGCTGATCTGAAAGAGTATCGACCTGCTTTCAACTCCCAGGGAGTTCAGAAGCATGCCAGTCACCTGCGACTTCGGGGCAATGCTCAGCAGCAGGGGCTTCTTTTATGGACGTTGATCCGTCTAACTCAAGCTCACGTGCAGCATTGTCAATTTCGACCAATGGTGGAATAATGGCTGTCGATCCGATGGAATTCTCCAGCTCTGGCTTCTGGGAGGCCCGTTTATCGTTCTCTTCTCGCGATTGTTTCCTTCTCCTACTTACATAGAAGGAAAAAGAACCACCTATCACAACCCCCACGATGACTCCGATTGTACTGCCAACGATGATTCCCTTTCTACCACCAGAGGGATATGACACAGGATTTGTATTTGCGCCGCCACCATCGTTCTTCGTCTTCAGGATAGTTGGCGCTCCTCGCCTTGCAATTGTCTTGTTGAACAAGCCAATATTTTCCCCAAGCACTTGTTGCCATGAGCTTGTGGGGTTTGCGCCGCCACTTGGGCCTCCCCCGACGATGTCGATGACTGCTTGTGGTACCTCATACGGCTTGTTGATGAGAGCCTGGTTTTGCCATTCAAATGTAGTCAGATCCAGCATTCTCAGCGCAGGAGGACTATCGGTGCAAGGTTTGTCAATTGTCGAAATACTCCCTTCGCCGCCCAAAACGAACATATAACGGTCCTTATAAGCCAAGCAAAAATGATCTCGTCTACCATCAGACTTCTGCCCAGCAAGACTGTCATCAGTAGTCGACGCGTTGATCTTGATCCAATGGAAGGCAGGCATGATCAGGGCATAGAGATCTGCAAAGGGAGGATCTCTGCCTGCGATACCGCCATAGACGGTTATAATGAAACTCGAGTCATCAGGTGCGACGCTGAGAGCTGAACAGAGGTCACATCGTGGCGGTGGTATATCGCCGGTAGCAGTCACCTCGATCCAATGACCAGCTGCAATGTCGAAGATCTGAATCTGCGACATGCTGCGTAGAAATGTACTGTTGAAGCTTCGCGATTGACGAACATCGCGATATAGACCAGAGTAGTTCAACGTTTCCGAGACAAGCGGAGGCTGAGAAATCCAGCCGCCTATAGAGACCAAAACACCAGTGGCGCCATATCTCACATACTGCGTGGTACTTCCAGGGAGATATGGCATAGGTATACTGGGATCGAGCTTCCAAATCAGATTGGAGCTATTGGAAACATCGATGGTGATCAGGCCATGGTACTTCTCGCTATATAAATCTTGACCGTAATCTGAAAATACACGGGTCTTGGCGGAGAAGAAGGATGCTGACCCTCCGGCATCGTGAGAAGACGCCGGGGTGTATAAATTAAGGTTATTCGAGACATTGAATGGATCTTTAGCCCTCACAACGTCCCAAGAGTCGCTGAGGATATCGTAAACTGGCAAAGTAGACTGTCCGACACTGGTTGTGTGCTTGTCGTAGCTGTTAAGGTAGATTTTGGTCTCATTGGCACTATGTCATGTCAGTGATCGCTGTTAACCTCCCAGAGTTCTCTGTGGCTTTCACTGTCCTACAACTTACTCGATCATGTACCCAGTGGTGCTGTTGGAGGACGCAGAAGACCCAGCCGTATGTTTCAGCAAAAAAGTATCTGCGTCTGGATGGATGTTCACAGGAAATGAGGTATTAAGGTCCAAACAGAAAAGATGGTTGACTGTAAGAAGATAATAAGTATCAGTGACGGTCTAGAAAGGGCCGGAAATGCTGCACACTTGGCGTTGCTTCGTCATCCCCTACAAATTTGATTGCACTGCCATCAAAGTAAAGCCGGTCTTGTAAAATTGCAGCTTCGTTTTTCAGCTCATGAATCAGTAAAAGACATTTTCACTGCGTACCTCGTGTTCCTTGGATCTGGCAGATGTCTTTGGCTGATGCGAGATTCAAGAAAACAAACCTGAGAAACAGCAACCACAGACTTCCTGGCATTTTCAGTATCTTTGTCACTATTTCGTGGCTGTTCCTATTCACTAAATACCTCAGAGTGAAGTATGTCCGCTAGAAGCGGCCCAAAGGCCACTTTAATCACACTTCGTGTCCATCGTCCTTGCACGCACGGTGCTGTGGAAATCCCGTCATTCTTTCAGAAACTCTCAGCGCAGATGCAATGCCGCTTACAGCAGAATCTCTCTTTGTAAATCGACGATTGTTCAGGCAGTGAAGTGCGGATACTGCGTCTCCCTTCTGCCGTGTGTCAGCTGCAGTTGTGTTTACCGTACCAGCCATGAAGTTCGTCGCTCAGAGAAAGTTCAGCTCATCATGTAGCTTGAAATGGCAAGTTCAAAAATCTCCGATTGAAGAATGAGTGAAAGACACGGCGGCTATAGAAAGTCTCCCAGCGAACCAGAGACGCCGCCTAACCTAGCCCTATCTGCTTACGGCCACAAACTCAGCCAGCCCAGGGACTCGACGAACATCAGATGGACCTGCGTGAAAGCCACAGACCTAGCCAACCCAAGGATTTAATGGCTGCTAAACTCATGGGGCCTTGCGTTGAACCCATAGAGATGGTTGGGCGGCAGATGTTGCCTTCTTGCAGCTTGCTTATAGATATCGTATGCGTCATTCTCTGACTGGAAGACATGCGAAGTGCAGCGGCATCAGCAGAGCCCCGGTCAAATCATCGAAACTGGTCTCCGGTGAAGCCGGCAAGCCGAATGATGTTGCGTGGCGCGCGTGAAAGGAAACGGCACGAGCCATCAGGCGCACTTCTCTATCCGCACTTTGATAGAGGCGCAGGATCAGTGCCGTTCCACATGCCGAATCCCAGAGCGAGTGATAGCAACCGCACCGGCACTGCTAAATAGCCTTATTACGCAGAGAAACTGGCACTATGGTCTGCCTCTAAGCCTCTCCAACAGTCCCTGCATCTTCAATCAACGTCGTGAAAACCGTCATGACACCGACCTTTTACGTCCCTCCAGGAATCTTCCTATGCACATGCACCTCATGAACCGCAACAATGACGACTACCGGCCGCGGTGAGACCTTGCAGCCTCACGTAGACGGCGGGAATACTACTGGATAGGGTAGACTTGAGAGATGATTTGTTATGCGTGGCAGCTCAAGCACTGATGGAATATCAGGGAGCTAGCCACGGATCCGCCTGATGCACCAACGGTAGAAGGATTCGCCTTCAATGATATGAATTGGCGGCCGACCTAGACTAGCCAAAAGGCTTATTCAATTTAGATGGTCAGCTATCTCTCCGGCCATTGAGGCCATGTAAAGATTGCAAAATTAAGGTGGTTCTGCGCCAAGCTACTTCTTTACCGGACCTGGCTATCAGGGTCATTGGATCTTCTCGATTGTTGGGTATTATCCTTCATGCTTGGTAGCCTCGTGGTCCTCATCTCAAGAGAAGTGGCGTTAGCGGGACAATTGATCCCATCATCACGCTTGGTTCGCTGTCTGTGCCGACTTCCTAATGGACCACAATCTCTTGACCTTCATTGCAAATATCTGAGACAATATCGATATCAGCTACGATTTACCTATTGCCTTCAAAAAACTTTGACATCGCCCCCGTCTGTTGATCACTCATCTATAGACTTATAGCCATTGGATTTGGCTAAGTCGGCAGGCACACTAGGTCATTCGATATCCGTTGTGATAGCGCGGAGGTTAGACGACACATCCATCAACCTCCCGGCATTCATGCCTTCATCCCTCCTCAACCTTTCAACTTCAGTCGAACACCCCTCCTTATTGGGATCATGTTACCACTCACACTGCCAACAACCATTGGCTTCTTCATCACCCTCGCTACGGGCTGGTACACCGGCACCTCTCAATTGCCCACCAAATCTCTCGCTGAACTCTAGGGTCTATCCATGGGCACTGTCCTATCGAGAAACCAATTAATCCCTCCACTGTCATCTCACACTAACCCTGATAGCCAATAACGCGCACTCACTGATGCGGCCACGGCTTGGAAAAATAACAATAGCACCATGTTGAAATAATAGATTTCTGTCAAGCTGGCGTTATCCATACCTTAGCGGCCCATCATGTCGCCATCACGATTGACATCAGTACTGTCTGGTCGACGATCGGACTCGGCCTGACGCCTGGTTGCGGTTGATGCCCTGTGCCACTGCCGTTCCTGCATGTTGATCGCAATCTCCACAACAGGCAAGCCACGAGTCTAGCGTCGTCAATCTTCCGAAACGGGTCGAAATTTCTGGCTGCCAAATCCTCGTCAAATTAGCATTGACGTTTCTGTCCATAAAGAGTGTAATCGATGAAAGCAGGTCCCTCATCGGCTCTCACGATCCTCCTTGGCTCAGCTGAATTCTATCCCGCCACATGGTGGCGCAATCCAAAGCTGCGTCACGTAATTCATGGAAGTCACTCCCTATCCGGGCCATCATATCCCGACTGACGAATCGCCAATAACTATCCATCATGATCCTGAAACTATTAAGTCGATCAGCTTTCGTAGCTCCAACCCCGAAGGAACTCAGCTACATCTGTACCACACTCCGAAGAAGCATGATCTTCATCAAACCCCTGCTAGATAGCCTGTGTACCGTATGACCCTCTAAAGGAGCCATTGGTAAGCCCCAGTAGATGATTAGGTAGGCCGCGTCATTAGTAAATCCGTTAAGGATCTCGATGAAGCAGCTGTCCAGGTTAGGGCGGGATACTACCGCCCAAACGTCTACCATGATTAGCTTAACGGCGGAGACGACCCTTTTTTTCACATTCAAGCTACTAGACTAATCTATTTGATCCCAAATTCAATACGAATAAAGTTGTTGAATTGAGAGAGGGGCAACCCCAAAAAGAGATTGGATCAGCCACCTTATCAAGCCGACAATTTGCATAATGATGTATGATCTCATGGATCAGCGGGTCGATTCCTACGTTCTTCGCACATGGCTGCATATGGCTAGATTGCCAAGCAAAGGAATGTGCATCAGCCAGAGACACCGTGTACAATCTGGTTACTATCAGAGTACTTTCTCAACGATTAAAACAGTCTCTACAATCGAGCAAGGCTCAGTGATCGTCGCCAAAGCTTCCAATATCTCACAAATCACTTGAGCACATCATTTCATCCCAGTCATCTGCCCTATTGTGATTGTGCGGATATCCCAATGAGGCAGGAAGCGGTTTCGGCGGGCGAATCAAAGTCAGGCATAGACGAAGTTTCTTGGCATTTTAGTGCAAGGGCATGCTATGGGCGAGCCATGAAACGCCACCTTTATCACATCTTCAACTATAGATACTTGGAAGTCCGAACTCATCAGGCGGAAATTTCCCCAAGACGATAGACCCTCTACTTCTAGACGCCTCCTTCGCTTGGGGCGTAATTGATTGGGTCCGTCAGTTGCAGCCATCAGAAGAAAAGCCAGGCGACTAGCGTCGCCCCATCCTAAAGCAGTCCTACATGATTGACAAACGAGCGTTTTGAGCCATCTTTGAATCAAATTAAGTGGCGATAGGAGATTAGTTGGTCATATGATATACATACGATCAAAAAAACTCCTGTGATTGACTCACAAGAGTCATTGAGCTTACCCAAAGCAACTGGAATAGAGTGGATTTAGACTAGCTTCTTTCTATGTAGATTATTCATTTGCGCCTAGCACCGCAAACACTATTCTTTGGACATTGACATTGAGAATTCTCGGAAGATAGGGGCGAAGTTCCAGTCGCATCTCTATTTCCTCTGGCTATAAGAAGCTGCTGCATTCCTAGCAAATCTATTTGAATCAACGCATCACAAATCTTACACCAGCTTCATTGTTAAGCCCACACATTGGTGTGACACTAACACAATATTCATACAATTGGAGCTCTTCATAGCGCAAGGCACAGACTCTAGCAAACTTACTACACAGAGTATTGCTCACGTCGATTGTCCTGACGCTTTCAGTTGTTCAAAATGCCCTCAACGATAGCATACGACCCTAGCCTTGTGCTTGCAAATGTTGTCAGCCTCCCTGCTCTGAAACTGGTAGACGAAATCTCGAAAGCCCAAGCCCCTATCGATGCGGCCGAGGAGACCCTCAACGCTTTGTTGACCTCCAAACGAAGTTTTGACATGACCAAGACCGAGCTTACTAATCTAAAGATCGAGGCAAAAGACCTCGACGCTGCGGTAGAAGATTTGAAGAAGCAGATTGACGCCGCAGGAGTTGATTTCGCCAAAAAAAAGTAACGGCAGAAAAGGACATCCGTACCCTCAAGTCGAAACTCAAAACCTCACATGCCAGTGTGGAAAGTCCAGTCGATTATGTTAAAACAGAAATCAAGACGTTGCCACTTGCTGCAGATACCATCAATATGGACGTGCAATACTTCTCCATGGACCAAAACCAGGAGAGTTCAGGAACTTACGCAACTGATATAGCCGCTTTCGCATCACGCTCAGCAAGCTTCTTGGGTGCGAAGACGCAGACCGAAATCTCGGGGCTAGCCAAGAAACAAGCAACCTCGCAAAGCAAGAAGCATAGCTTGGCTGGTACGCTCGTGATCTCTGTCTCCTGCACACACAAGAATGCCTCTGTTCTGGCCCCATTCGCACTCAACGTGGACAAGGGAATAAGTGTCTGGAACAGTCTCTTTAAGGAAAAAGAAGAAAAACTCGACCCCACAAACTACAAGGCCATGTCAGAAATAGCGAAAAAGGGCGAGGACGCTAGCACAAAGAAATACAGTATCCTTTCAGGCACGACTTTTGGTTCCAGTTTTGTCGGCATGGTACACATTCTGAACTCTACTGATACCTCCATCAGTCAGAGCCTATCATCTGTCGTCGGTTCCCTACAGGCTCAGATGGACGCTGGCTCATGGCTCGAGAAACAATCAGGAGGATTTGGTGTGAACACCAGCATCGGAAACGAAGTCAAGAATCTTCTTAGCTCACAGAATATTACCTCGCACGTCACCATGATCTGTATGGGAGTCATACCCTCAATGGTCGCCAACGACGTCAAGCTGGGCGTTGACAAATTTGCCCAATTCGACCCAGCATCAAGCATGGCGGCAATCGCGACCATTCAGAATGCGACCGCCACCGACCAGGACAGTGTCAAAGCAGCCGCTGAATCTGCACGAACCGGTAAGCAAATGATATCCATGAAAACAAGCGAGATCAAATCTGCACTGTCCGCCCTTGGCGAAATCGATGACGGCGCCAACAAAGTATTCGACATCAACTCGATGATGACGGCACTGGATGATTACTTGAAGAAAGCCGCCGGAGGGACAGCAGGGGTGCCGATCAATTACTACTTGAAAGATATTACAAAGAATATGCTGGCGGAGATGTGGGTCGCGAAATATTTTCCCGGCCAATACATGGCAATCCAGCACGACGACGTCCCTCCAGCTAACCCAGCCAAACCAGCCGCTCCAAAGACAGATGGTGCTGCATGAAGTAGAGGATAGAGCTGAAGTGGAAATACCAGCAGAGGCTGGGGAGCCGAAGGAGTCAGTGACAGCTGTGGCGAAATCTGACGTTCAAGACAAGAAGGAAGGAAAGAAATCTCCTGGGGAGATTTCAGCAAGCCCATCGCGACCTAATAATCGAAGAGCTGGACGGGCGTCAAGGAAATCGAGCAAGAGACCCATGTGGAGACCTCCTTGATAGCATTTTTCATTGATTCTGTATGTTGACAGCGGGCCTGCGACGATTGGCGAAAGGGGTAACATGGTAATGTCTAATAATGGTGCCATTCTAAATCTTCTCTTTGCGTAAACTTAAACTTAATAGTTTCACTAGAAAGTTAGTATACCAAGCGATCTTCTCCCAGCCCAATGTCCAGATCATGAAATGCAGTATTTAAGAGTTCATCAAACTGGTTTAATCGATTTTCATTGTTGATTTGGTACGACGCGTCGGTCATCAGAAAGACCACACATTTCAGATGCTCGTGTCGCACAGAACATAGGTGGACGAAGTGATTGGCTATTTGAGTCTTGATATTGACCTCCAAATTGGTGATGATCGGGGAGCAGGTCCATAATCAGGAGTAAAGAGCCATTCCTGTAATCCTGTTTCCCGCTGATTTCCTAGTAGATCAGGATTGATATGACACGAATGATATCTAACCGACTTCTTTTCCTGAACTCGACATCTCTGTCTTCATTACTTTCGACCCCTAAGGACCTCTCCACCCCTCTACCCATAGAGTTGATGGAGCAGGTCTCTGGCTTTGGAATGACACTTTTAGAGGTTGCCATAGTGTTAGATGATAATGCTTGAGTTACTGCAGGTATTTACAGAACAAGCTTATTTGCAACCCCATATCGACATGCTCGTTGCATTCGACGTCTTGACCAATCTACTTTGAGCGTCTAAGTAGACCTTCTTTGCTGCAGGGATCACTCAAGTCCTCAAATAACAAGGCGATGGGGCGCAATTGTTGTACCCGCTCGTAACCGAGTATCAAAACGAACTTTCTGACTAGATAAATCCTCAATGAAATTGAAGAGGGAGTGCACCCATCTTCCATTGGCGCTACAATCGCATCGTAAATTGAATGGACTGCCTTTACAGGCAAAGAAATCATCTGCGAAAAGTATACAGTTTCTGTGCATCAAGCCGGGTGAGGAATAAGCCATATGAATTTATTGATGTTGGCCGAAGGCTCCAAATGCCAACTCCAACATAAATCCACTCTTCCCAACGGAGCTATACCCACCAGCTTAGTTTCAGTCTCACAAGAAGGCAGAACAAGCTTTGCAACATGCGCTCTTCTACCTGAGACATCTGCATGATATTTCCTGGCTGCCCTAATCGGGACAATCACTCGAAGACATCAGAGAACCGCAACAAGCAATCCAAAGCTTTACCCACTAATGATCACAATGCACCACCCCCTCACTCCCATCCTCGCCCTCGCCCTCACATCCTTCGCCCTCGCCCACTCAGGCGTCGCCCCCGAACCCCTTCCACCTCATCCCAGTCTCCCACCCCAAGCCCAAGTGCCATCCTCAACACCAACCTCGGCAGCATCCCTCCCAACGGCGTAACCTGCGCCACAGCCAACGAATCGCTGCACGTGCTAGACTCCGCTACAATCTACAATGTCCAAACCAACGCCACTCAAAGCTACAACAACTACCTCGAGGACAAAGCCCAGGGATTCTCCGCGCCCAGCTGGCCGCGAAACTTCTCCCTCTCCATGCTCGCCGCCGGAACAAACGTCAGTGTAAAGACTGGCTGTACTTGGCAGGACGGAGACAGCGCGAGTGGGCGAGGATTGCTTTATCTGCCGATATCATACCCCGGCACGGTGGCGCCCACCGTACGAGAAGACGGCAGGCCGGCAGGGGAGGCAATATCACGACCGATATTGTCGTCTTTTACTTGTCGGTAATGACGGGTGGTGGGGGCTCGACGCCGCAGATACCGGACCAGTCGGGTTATGCGCCGTCGACGTCTGGCCCCGGGCCCGTGTCCCTTTACCCCGCCGAGTATAAGTATTGTGCTGTGCTCACCAACTCGGATGCGACTGCGAATAAGCAGTTGTTTGTGAATGGATCTTCGAGTGTGAATCCGGCTACCGGCGGGTATCGCCAGTGTCATGATGCGGCAGCGGTGGAGGGGTGGGCCACGGACTATAGCCAAGGGAGTGGGTTAGGAAGCGCATACCAGGGAGTTAGTGATGGTTGGACATAAAGTGGGTGGTTGGCGTTATGTAATAGAGTAGGTAATTTGAAAACATCTCGTCTGCCAACCATAATCTCATTTCATCCATCGTCAACCACCCTTCTCTCGTTTGATCCGATGGACTCTTTCTCTCTTCTGGTGTGCGTTTGTGCCGTTCTACGTCTCAGAGATATGCTTCTGCAATGGACGTGCGTGTTAGACTGCGGTCAGCACACTAGTCAGCTGATCCTTTTCCTAATGTCGTGCTCACTGCCTACATCTCGTGGACGTTGCAAATGCCTGTGTCAGAGATTATTGCGTCTTCACGAAATCCACTCACCAAGGAAAAACTAAGTGTTGAAATTGTTGACTCTTAATCAAATCTCATATGCGCACGACGTACTCAACCCCGTAATCACCTCGCCAAAGACACCTCCGCAACAGCAAGCAGCACCCCATCCTGTTCAATAGTCACGCGCACCTCCCTATACACTCTCTCTCGCTTGAAGAACAGCAAAATCTCCCTCGTCGTCCAGCTGAGATCCTCCCACGCCAGCCTCCGCTGACCACCCAAAGTTGCGAATCTGCATTGCACAATACGATCAGCTCAGTGCCACCACAGGCACCTTATCAGATTGCTTCTCCCCATCGCACACTCGACCGAGGCAAGAAAAGAGAAGGTCACAGTCAAACTCACAACAACTGCGCATTCACCGCGCGACCTTCAGACACAAAGCCCCGATTCGTAGGAACCACAGCCGTCTTTGTCTCCACCGCAACGCGCTTGAACGCCTTCACGGCTGCGAGGTAGACGCTTTGCGTGTCCAGAGTTTGCGCGTTCGGCAACCAGCTGATCGTGACTTTTGGACGTGTGGCTGAGACGCTGGGAGGCCAGTCGCGTTTGCTGATCTCGAAGCTTGCGGGGGCGGGGGCGGGGAAGGGGGCGGGGGATGAGGTTTGGTTGAGTTGATTGGAGGAGGAGGGTAGTTGGGAGGCTTCGGGCAGGGTGTCGAAGGGAATAAGTGTGTCATTGGTGATGGAGAGAGTGTTTGGGGGATTGAGCGGTGTTGTTGGTTTTATTTGGAACTTCAATAATTGGAGAGTCAGCCACGTGTGATGGGATTTTGACGCGTGATACATGGGCTACGACGCTGTCACTGATCGCTGCACTGGACTAGCAACGTTCGATTTGAAGGGCTCGCGAGCAGTCCAACTCACCGCACAGTACTTCCGAACCTCAGAGCTACTTCGCACGCCGAAGGCCATCTGATGGATCAAATCTGTCTCGTCCGCGAAGGTGTTGATGCCGGCTTCGATCGCTAAGATACCTGCTTTGACCGTGTCCCATGGCGTCCATTCTAGTATAACGCCTACCGTAGTGGTCGAATCGTTGGTTGGATCTTTCCACCTTAAGAGAGCTAAGTTTTGGTGGTTGGGGAATCTTATGCTATCGTCAAGAGCGCCTGTTGAGAGATTCCAGAGAGCCTCGGAGAATAAGGTCAGGTAGGACTTTGACTATGTTAGCTTCGCGGATCGGTATGAAGAGTCTCTGCTTCGTGGACTCGTCGAGAGGGCAGGTTAATTACCAATTTGTCCATGTACCCCTGCCGGTCTGGGTTCGGGACTTTGAAAGTTTCCCAATCAGGGGGTAGAGGGATGGGATTCTCGCTTGCATTATGTTAGGTAGATTCCTCTCGTGAAAGCTTGACAAGCTGAATGGAACATACTATTCAATGCTAGCATCTGCAGCTAGGGTTGACCAGGAAGAGTCGTTAAGAAGTGAGAGTCCATTACATGATTTCAAGAGGCTGTACGCAACAGCAATTACAATAAGGTGCTTCATACCAAATTTCCCTTGCTGCCGTGACTAGGCGCGATCACGACAAGGACTTTTGTTCAGCAAGTTGATACTTGGCATAGAGTTAATAATTGTACCATATATTAGCGCACGGGCCTAGCCTGTTTGGCTCTGAGACTGCATAGCCGATATGTCGTAGACACCCAATTTTGGTCGGACAGAAAACATTGCCAGCTATTCGTATACTTTTCTGATGCGCACGGGAGCGCTTGCTCATAATATACACTATTGTAACCAAGTGACCGAGCTAACATCTGCATAAGGCATTCTTGAGAGACTTCGATATCATAGACCCGCATAACGCCAACTTCTAAATATCTTTGCAATCGTTACAAGTGCGCAACAAAAGCTTTGGAGTTGATGCTTAAGACTCAACACTCAAAGAAACCCTAAACGTAAAGTCTTCGTAATGTGGAAGAGAATCCTCTATTACACGAGTCCTTTCGGGTGCACATTTCTCTGCTTAACCCCAATGGTTATGATTGACTACCCCTCCGCTTAAATCAGGAGTAAACAAGCTATTCTCACGTTGAGATTCTCTTTTGCCACTGAAATAGAAAACAGAAGGTTATCCTAACAAATCTGGCAAAAGTATTATGCTTCGCTTGCCGGCTTTATGGAGACTAAGGCCTAGAGCAAGAATCTGCTGAACTTGGCTTATTATGAATTGAGCTTTCCTAGAAACTATCTTTCGTTCACAGTTGAGAGTGCGAAGTCTCTCTTTTGTGCACCGTTTCAGTCCAAACCTACATACTTATCCAATGTAGAATTGCGCATGTGTTGGTCTCTCTGACGAATGTAGTGTTGCAACGTCTGCACCACCGGTATTTGCAATGCGTCGAGAAATAAAGTGACAGCTCTTGTTAAAGAAGAAGCTAACGGTTTCTTCGTTTACGCATAGAGCAGACCTGAAAAATCCCAAATTTTCTCAATACATGTGGTTTCGCACCTATATTCACATTTTAGCATCGTTGTCATTTGGGTCGTAGGCTAGTACCAAGTTAGGGGCAGGACCGCACTAGAAGACACGGAGAGCATTGTTGCCATAGTGCGAGTGACCGATCTTGGCACCAGCGGAGAAGAGTGAGAGATTGGGTCACTGGGTTGGTCTGATCTCTATCCTCTCGGGCTTCTCATGCAAAGTCAATCAAATGATGGGCTCGTACTGATGCATTACCTTAGGACATGGTTTGCAAAAATGGTAGTAGTGAAGTAATGAAATCAGCAGATACAGGCCCACCGCCGCAGAATGATTCCCTGACAGTACCGGTAGATCTATACATGATCATGGATAAATTGATCTTGTCTGAGGTCAGTAGTTTCTTGACGTTGGTCGAGGGCAGAAGCAAAGGATGAGGAGACCGAGAGTCTCTTTATGCCGCTTTCTGAACGTTCCTGAAGACTTCCGCGCTGCAGAATCCAGTATCTGAAACGCTGGTGCGGCTCTGCTAAGGTACAGCAACATCTCAATCTGAGAATGCAGTCAACCCTTATCTCTCGCACTCAAGACTCTTTACGACGTTATTCATAGCTACCCAATGAGGCGCAGTTGTCCGAGAACGCACCAGTCCTACAAAGACTTCTAGGCCGAGATTCATCGACTTCAATTTCGCGCCTAAAAATATAACCCATGTATGCCGTGTTTCAACTGCCGCTTTCGTCTGAGATATTGCCGACGTTTGATAAGTCTATTTTAAGCCGCCTTGGCCTGAATTGGATCATTAGTCTAAGCCATGATGTTAAAGATCATACACATCTGAGCCTTGTTATTGATGCTCGATGGAGCTTCCTGTACTGGCGCTTGTCACCCACTTCCCTCACCAACTTTTCTTTCGTCTAGTAATTTTCGATCTCGGACATCTTTCGAGGCGATCGGACATTTGGCTCGATTGTTCCTGTCTCAAAACTAACCGATGATGTTAAAATCTTGCGGGGGGACTAAGTAGCAGATGTATAAAAGTCCCTTCTATGCTTCAGGCTGCATACGCAGTATCAGGGCCAACACAGAGTTATTAGTCCGTGGAGAGAATGGCAGAACGCGGCCTACATTTTGATCACTGCCACAGTGCCGCACTAGGTCTAGACGGCAAGAACATCGAGCGGCCAAAGCAATGTATGAAACAGCATCTGTTTCGTCGACACAGCAACTTACACAATGATTGACGGCATGTCACAATGCAGCTCCATGGACAGCCCGAGATGTATGCAGTACATATAGCCCGCCAATCTCCCCCTTCTTCTCTGCCCACTCGCAGACACTGTCTCCATACAAGCCAACATGGAAATCAAAACCATCCTACTCCTCCTCGCGGTCACACTCTCAATCTCAGCGCTCCCTCAACCCGACAACCTCACGCCTGCAACCACATCTGCAAACACCAACTTCCAAGCTGCAATCAGCAACGCCAAGCTCGGAGGTAAAGTACAATGCGCAAAATGCGCCACAGAATGTGCCGGGATGTTCCTCGCATGTGCCTTCACTGCATGGCTTGGACCGGAGGCCGTAGTCGTACGTGGCAAACGGAACCTAGACTAAGAGAATGATAAATAGGCTTATCTAACGATCCTAGGCCTGTATGGACATGGAAGAAGGAGCGTTGGTAGATACCTGCGTCTCTTGCTTCTGGGAGTGCATCGTACCAGGTTGGGCTGCAATGCCTAGTGATCAGACTCCGATGTAAGCATAACGTTCCCAACGTGAGTATGGACCTAGAGTGGTAGGGCTGACATGGTGTTGCGAACAGACCAGCAAACTTCTGCACCTCAGATCCCGAGATCCCCACGAAACTATGTGAGGCGACGATGCAGAAAAAGAGCGAGTTGGATGCTCAGAAGGGGGATAAAGTTGTGAAGGCGGATCCAGGGCTGGTGAATCCGGGGGGTGCTGCTAATATAGGGACGGAGTAGGTGTGAGGTGCTCTCTTTCTTTCGCAGATAGAGACTTTAACAGAGACTATTCGCATTGATTCGAACACTTCGTCGCGAAGTACGCGCCAAAGTCTTTCAGTCTATTGCTCTGAATATCTACGTTGCAATCTTTGTGTTGTATCTTGCAACTTCGTCGCAAATGAACGGGTCAGCGTTGACTACTAGTCGCTACAAGGGGTCAGCACGAGTCCAGTGATCAAGGGTTACTAGGAGAAGATCTTGACCTGGTAAGACTCTATTGAAACAGGTCCACTTGGGCGCATTCTTTGATCCCAATAGCAAAGGAACAATGTAAAAGGAAAAGGGGGTGGAATTCTTCCCAATTAAATCAACGATGCGTCTCTTGAAACCCTTGTCGAAATCAATAAGACCTTTGTCGAATCAAGTCAGCCCCCTCGTGGATTTCAAGAAGCCCCCTGTGGACCTGATGCCAAGCGTCTCCTCATCTTTACGGCATAAGATCAAGGCAGGTACCCCGAATGGGTAGACTTTATCTCTGTTGAGTACAGTTTTGGCGGTGGGCCGAGAAAAGAATGGACGCTGATCGCGGTTGAGAAAGACTTTAAAGAGAGGGAGAGCAAGGTGAGGAGGGGTTGAGAACGCGTGATGATGGATCTGGGAGGATGAAGATGAGATTGGTTGACTTTGTGGTTAACAAAGGGGGCGGTTGGTCGAACCACGCAGATAAGAGTTGAGGCTAAGACGAGTGCTTAGTCTTGAATAGTTTTATCTGCATTTTTGGTCCAACCGCTCTTATTCCGGAACCCTCAAAGAACAAAGAATCTATTTATGGGGAGAGTAAGTCATCGCTCGGGCTCATGTCTGAGTGCTATGCGCTTACACATACTGCTTGCGAAGTTCTTACCGTTGACATCACTTTCTTTAATCTGAGATTGCAAGATCTAATTGTTGGTATACAAAATGACTGAATTCTCTAATTGCAACAAATAACAACCCTAACGAGCTTACTCCACCTTCAGTTCGCCATTCCCATCCTCCAAACGCATATACCCGTAAGTTTTCTGCCTCCCCTCCCCCTCCTGAATTCTCACAAGCCGCACGCCCACACTCTCCTTCCCCTGCAGAGTCAAAAAGTCCTTGTACCCCTTGATAGCCTGCCCCAACACATCCCACGTAAACCTCCCCTGCTCAACCCTCCCAGGCCCCGAATTATCAACTCGTAAGCCAAAGGCCCCACTGTCAACTTCATACTCCGCCCCGCATCCTGGGACAGGTTCAAGAATCTCGAAGGGTCGGAGTGCGTTGATGGAGTCGATGGCTTTGTCCAAGACGCGGACGGCGTTGGTTAGAGCTAGGGATTTTGCGGTGGGGCCGGAGGAGAATACGAGGCTTATTGGAGGGTAGGTGCCGGGGAGCGGCAGGGGGGCGGGGGCATTGGTGAAGACGGCGGAGAAGGTATTAATGTTGAAGATGTCAGATGTAGAGGGGCAAGACGACGTGGTGGGTGCGGCGGCGATAGAGTGGAAGAGAGCGACGAGGGTGGGGATGGAAGCTAGGGAGCGATACATTTGTATGCGACTGTGTATATAATAAAGGAAGGCGGTGTTGGGCGAGTCCAGAACATTCTGAAATCGACAGAATGGATTGATGCGTTGTCTTATAATTTAAAAAGCCGGTTCATGTGATTAATCCAAATCAGGGTCTAGACCTAGCGGCTGAATAATCAAAGTTAAGTCTCCGCTTTGAAATCTCTGATGCGCTTCTGGGATAGGACTCTATTCTTAGCCTCACGGTTGACCGTGAGAAATGAGCATCCTAGACAAGCGACCTCAGCCACAGACCCAACGACTGACACAATTATTCAATCCCTCCTCACAGAAACATTCAAAGGGGCAACCGTAATTATTGAACCGCATAGATTGAAGAGAGAGTCGTGGTTATGGAGGGGGAAAGAATTATTGAGGAGTACATGAAGGGTTGGAGAGCGGACAGGAGAGCGGTATATGGGTGGGGATAACGAGGCCGAGTAAAAGATCAGGTGTGAAAGGGAGGAGAAGGAGTAGCGTTGACCCTAAAGGCATGGAGGCCAAGAGAGCAGGGGACGCACTGTGGTCGATGTAGGCTAATGCAGGTATCGAATATGTTGATCATGGTTTGGCCAGAGGGAAGTACAAGACCGTCGGTCAACAGGCCCTCAAGTCTCTTCTTGATACAGCACTAGTCTACTAGTTTGAACGCTGGTATGTGTACTTCGCCTACTGCATGACCAGTCGACCAATATATACAGCTAAGGGTTGCGCGGTGAAATGGTCGACTATCAGGGTGTGTTCGGATAAGTCTTTTATAGTCTTCTTTATCGGAAAATGTCAAACCGTATTTCGTCTTCTCAACATGCTATTAAAACTGAAATTCTGTGCTGGCTGATCTTCTGAGCAGACACTGCATTGGATGACTGGAATCCAGACATCCCGGCGCCTAATAGACATGAAGGTCATTATAGGATAAAATCTCGGAGGGTCAACTTCAAAAGGAACGGTCAACATGTGACTAAGAACCCGCACCCAGACATCATTCTTGAAGGATGCCCATTCTGACTCGGGATGGCGAGCATCATTGCCGAAGGTAAATAGGGCCCCGTCAAGGCTAAAGCTGGCCATTCTTTGGTGGAGCCAATTGGGCAAAGCAATACCTATCTCTGCAGAGAAGATCATCTGTCTGAGTAGCCCTGCAAGAAATGCCCGCGCATTGACTTGATGAAATTCTGGGTGCTCAATGTCGCTGTATCGGAATGCTTCTATTTGCAACGACTTCTTAGGATAGTCTGAAGACGCTTCATAAATGACCTTCCCTTCATAGTCTTCAGTCTGATGAGGCGTTGCCTCACGAAACTCCAAGAAACCACGACGAGTATCATCCAGCAAGAAGTAATAGCGCCCATAATCAAATCGTTCCGCATTCTCCATCTCGCTAAATGCTAGGTCAAATCCCCAAGCGACGTGGTCAACATTAATCATTCCGCCTGTGGGATATCCGCTCACATACAGCTCCAAACCTTCTCTGCGAATGATCCGAGACCTGATGGGTTCGCCCCACGGCTGGAGAAGAGCTCCTGACAAATAGTCCGCTATGATTCGCCATCCCAGCATTTCCGGATAGGAGCCAGCTGCTATGCCGACTCCAGCTACCCACTCGACTGCGAAATCAAGTGGAGGATAGTTCAGACCCCTCAACAGAGACGTTTCATTCACCAAAGAGATGGGGGTGGTGCCTGAAGGGGCTAGAATAGCTAGGGCACAACCGTTTTGAAAGGACAGCCACTGCCAAACCCAAACAGAGAGCACAGAGTAGAGAAGCATCGAGGATACTGGAAGAATCCTTAATTCCCCGGCTATTGCCTGCGCATACAAGTATTGAAGAGGGTGAGCAGCTTTCGTGGCGGTTCCTATGCACTCGGACTGCTAATCTTAGCTATCATGTCTGAGACAGGGCTGTCGACTAGTGAGACACCGAGAAGGTTAGAAGACAGCGACTTTAAGAAAGTCTGAACATAGAATCTCATTCAACAAGAAAGCTCATCCAAGTCCACGAAATCCAGCACAGATCAAGAATAATGAAACCCTGCTTCTACCAATCAAATTTCCATGGTGCGCTCGCATGCGGACCCTTTTAGAGTAGGCCTTATTGCCAAATCGAACACAGAGACTTCACGACCACATACGCCCGCCCTGAGTCGTGCTAGGTGATTCTACACACAAGGCCGCACCCTAGACGTTTCTCAGCCCCTCCCTTCCCTGAATTAAAGCGAGTAACATGCACCTTCCCATACACAGCCATTTGACTGACTATGCACCTCTTCCTAAACTCATCTCCGATATTGCTCATCTCAGACAAATGGTCCATCAACCCAATCGGCCTGAATATGATTGCCGGCATCGCATTTACCCTACATCCCGCTATCCGAGAATTCCTCATTCATAAGCCCTGTTGCTCGCACGTCCAGCCTCCATCACATAGTGACTGATATTTTCACCTTTCTCCACCATGCATTTACATTTTACTAGTCATGAAGATACCCTTTCACAGCCATTGTTGGCTTTAGCATACCAGCGCAACGGCTTATATCGGTAAGCTGACCGTCGTCCTTGGTACCTGTGCTGGCGATTGTGTTTCTGGAGCGTCTTGGAGTTCGCGTTATAAACAGCAAAAGACTTGGGCCATGCTTCCTTGTATTTTGATGATCACGACCTGTTGGCTTACGTCGATCGGCCAACAGGGTAGCTTGCATCTCCGCCCAGCTGTTCGATGCCTTCGTTACCCGTGCTTCTGACCATGATCCTGAAGCCGTGCCATGCTTCGCAAAACTCTCGAAAGAAATATTTCGCAGTATGACTTTCAAATATCCGTCGTTTCATCGACTGTCTCCCATAATCCCGTTAACAAATGAACGGGATTGATACATTGGCATTTGGAAGACATAGTCTTTAACAATATTTACCCCTTCTATGCTCCTTTCCATGTTCTTTGGTCGACTTCTGATACGTTGTAAGATGCATTCAGCGCCTCATACAGAGAAGCATTGCCTCCAGATCCAGCTTCATGCAAGACTCTTGAAGAAAAGAATCGTATATTGTTATGGGATCTTCTCTTTCCGTACCTCTCCTCACCCACATCATTCACATCCTCCTGCAAACCATTCCATGTCTCCTAAACATAACCGCCCTTCAAGTCTTCGTAGGCGCCGACACAGTCCGCACCAACAAGTCCTTCACAACTTGCAGCGATATCCAAGAATTCGCCTGCAAGAATCCCCTTACGTGGGCTAGATGCTCTGGCCGCGACAACGGCGGTTGATGCCGGAACCACGCCTACGCCTGTAATGTAGGCACCTTCCACGATGACCTACCGGGTCACTGCATCGAGACAGCTTTTTGTGAGGAGGCATACAATGTAGAACGGGACGCCGAAATACTTTCGTTGCTTGAGTACGCCGGAGCTAGGGCAAGAAGAGGTCATAGTAATGTATGCGAACAATGCTCTCACCGGGGTCGATTGTGCTGTTAATGATGATGACGCGTGGGCAACTGTGATGGACCAGCTGTATCACTCGGTGAATACGCTGCCGAAGCCTGGTCAGATCAAGCCGTGACGCATAGCTCGTGAGAAAAGCGCTGATTCGAACTTTGTCACTATTGAGAAGTTCAGTCTAGAGGAGACTTGTCCAGCTCAGGGGCCTGAGGTTGGACATGAGGAAGGGAAGTGCTTTGTTGCTGCCCAAAATCGTAGACACGCTACTTGACATATTCTTGAACTCACGGGTATCGATGCAGTAGCTCTAACTTGTGGCAAGAGACTTCAAAGCATTGATCAGACTCTCCTATTGGGATAGTATGAACTGGGACAGTATACGCGAAATCTATGAAAACAATTGATATTGCACGATGAACTTTAGCGATGAGTTTTGATCTCGGGATCAAGTATGGTTCACTCGTTGAGCTCAATGTACGTTTCACGTTCTCAGAGGTGTGACCTGTAATATGATTGCGAGTACTATACCTGTGGAGGAAGAACGAATTCAACGTGTGGCGCCGCATATTGCACAGTCAGTGGGTTTATCCACGGATTTTTATCGTCATTATTCGTCAGACCCGACTACCCTACTGAATCCTCTCGCTCAACGACTGTCCGCTTCTTGCCCTGGAGTGGCCGCTTGAGATCTTCAAGGACTTGCTAGTGGTAACAAAATGTGATTGCTACCTACTTCTAGTCCTAATATTGCCAACCAGATTAGGATGTTGGGACATTTGGAGTAAAGACTATTCCAGGTGATTTGGCTCTCAATCTTGATGGGGTCATTACACGGAGTCTAAACCACCTGAGACAAAATATTGTCTGAGCACAGGCGCTTGTCACCAAATGCCGCGAGACAACACGCTAGAATTGCAGGAATATAGTTGAAACATCTTCTCACTGCGTCTGTGTATTGAAAAAATATAGAGAGCAATATAACAATTTCGACTACCTCTACGGGAATATCGTATTTTCTCTCCGATAAAACATTGTCCAAAACAACATGGGAAACTTTTGTATCTCCCTCTTTAACATTTTGGCCCTCACGGCCACTAGTCTCGGACGACCTCAAAACACAAACTCCATTGACAATTCCACCTCGATCAAAGGGTGGGTGAATGCTTACATGGCATGTCCCACATACTCACAGATTCTAGCCCTGATCTACTTCAAGGTAGCACCGTCATTCGGATCGGAAACGAGTCAGTAAATTGGACCAATCATATCAAAATCCCTCCTAATCGCCCATAGATCCAGTCTTCAATTCCCCGACCCCAAACCTCCAGGCGACTTCAGGACTTCATGCTTCTACGACCCAGGTGCACGCCCGCTCAACAGCTTCCGGAGATACATCGCCATAATCACGTGTGCCGTCCAAGAAGCGGACAAAGACTGGAACCTGCGAGAGATGCGCGTGGATTGTGACGGAACAGAGGATATCCACCTCCGCTTGATTGGAAACCCACGTCCAGGAGACCCACCGCTGCTTGTCAAGCACGTCATGTGGTCGATCATAGCCGTCCCTCACCTATGGCAAAGGCAAGGGTTCGCAGAGATTCAGTTCAGGCCCATTCTGGCAGGGCAAATTCTAGGTCTTGGAAAGGTGTTTCGCGTCGGCGCGCGGAGCGAGGATGACAACATTTCATGGGGCTCAACCAGTCCCCAAATGACGTACAATGAGTCTGCCGGCACGCAGACCTACCGATCTCAGTCTCTGGCCCCTGGAAACAGGGATTTTTACCTCCAGGTGCACCCCAGCCTCAGCGACCGCGTCTTGTGCACAGCAGCAGTTTTCTACAACCAACTCACGAGTATGATAATGCATCTGGCCGTCATGGACAGAGACTCCCTGATAAGTGAGATACAGGTCTATGATCAGGAGCATGATATTACATTTGAGATGTCGGCGGCTCGGGGAATCGCGTTGGAGGACTTCCCTCAACGGGCTGTTTTGCAGGCGATTGAAGCGCTGGCAAATTATGAGGCTGATGTCAGAGCTGATTGGAGGTTCAGGCCTTTCACGGGAACTGTCTCGGTGGATCGTCGGGTTGTCGGCACAACCGCTTTGTTTGAAGGTGTGAGACCACACGAATAGGGATGGGATAACGTCCAGCCAGAGGCGGATGTAAGCTAGATCCATCGTTGACTCTATTTCGAGGGATCCAATATGTGTTAAATTGCCTTCCTCATTGCTTTCGTCAGTGAATCCATCCAGGGACGCGTTGCCAACACCTCTGACAAATTTATAGAGATCGATAAACGTCGAGTCCTGCAAGTTCGGCATATCATAATGTCATCATCCTGATTATGCTTCAAATCTCCCTTGTCGCTGTGTCCGGAATGCCTCGACTTTATCTAATAGACACCCTCCCTAACGGCAAGGCGTGGAAGCAAGATCAATTCACTCACAACGTCAACTCACGCATTTACTGCGTAGGAAGGAGCCTGTTTGTCAGATAAATCAAATCTCTACATATCGTCTGATATGCCAGGATGTGCGTAATGCTCTGCACTGACCGATTTTGTGATCTGCACATTAAACTTGAATTTGATTCTCATACTTTCTCCAGTAAGCGTGAGATAGTAATCCCATCGAACTTGGTCGCTCCCTTGCTTTCACTTAGAGGACCCAGCTAGGACTTGTCGCTCTCTCAAGCCGTCATCAACATTTTGAATGGTGCGACCCTCAGTCAATTGACTGAAATCAACGAAGTATGTGTCAATGTTAAGGACATATAGACCACAGCCACAATTAGACTAAGACTCAATGACGGCTCGTCTGCCCAGACGCAAGATCAAATCCAGGTAGATGGACGATATGATAGTTGGCGTTTTCTAAAAGATATGATCTTTTACGAAGGGTTTTAGGAACTACTCAAAACGCGCTTGACGCACGTCGTTTCAAGCTGGCCACTTAAAAAGAGCCAAGATCTTGGTCTCATATGTGCGCATGAAACAATGCCATAAATACCCTCGGTCTCGCCTCTCGTCACATCTTCTATCTTCCAGTCGAAGACGTGAGCTTTCTGCTGCTTCTGATCACCAAGTCTTATCACATGCTATCGGAGATGGTGAGATACTGTCTCTAAGACGCAACAAGTGATTGGAATTTAAGAGTCGCGTCTACCACGCCAGGCACTCTTCCTGGACGACTTGACCCGCTTTAAAAAAAAACCCACCTACTTTGAAGAAGCCATAGAGCCTCTCCTCAGCAGCATCATCATCATCATCATCATCATCATCATCACAGCAGCGACTAACCAAATTATGCGCTTCTTGCGTATCACGCTGCTCGGTCCCATACTGCTCAGCTATATCATTCCCATTCTTGCGTTGCCAAGCCCCACGCAAGTCGAAGGTGTCTCTGTTCCAACAAACGGTTCTACCAACATAACAGGTCGGGGCCCCATAACCTGTTACGGCGAAGACACCAACCCCCGAGAAGCCCCCTTCAACTGGTGCGTCGGGACCGTCGATCATATGTACTTCGACACCGAGGCTTGGAGGGGCGAAGAGCGACATTTCAGCTTTTCAACCCCAGAAGACTCGCCTGATCACTTGCCACAGAATTTTTTCGACCCAGTCCATCCTATTGTACGTGTTTGGGTGGATTTGATCTCGGCCAAGACGGATGAAGCGGACTGGCGAGATATACATCGCGCGGCGTTTGATATCATGGAGGATTGTAGAGCGAAGGGCACGTGGGACTCTGGAGGGGAAGTCATGATGGGGAAGGAGGGGAACATTAGGGTTCAGCTTGGGATAAGAACTGCCCCAGTGGAGCAAACGACGACTTTGAAGTCATAAGTTGCGATGATGTAGGCGTCAAGTGCGTCGACTTGCCATTGAAAGAAGTGTTAGTGTACAACTATGAGAATGCTCTTCTTGGACGAAATACGATAAGTGACTGACCTCAATTTCACTTACATGATCGCTCTGACAAAGCCACGTTCTGGATTTTGTCTGGGCGGTCCTTCTCGACGTCTTTATATGATCAAACTTTGAAGTTTGATAGGAAGGAGCAAGAAGAGCGTTGCTTAAGTCTCTAGAGTAGGCTATCTACACGGGAATAATGCTACAGAAAGCTAATTTGCTGATAAGAAAAGTAGTTGGCGCTATGACCTAACCACTAGCCTTGTTTTTTACACATATGCCCTAACCTCGACCTAGGAGCCATCTCCCTATAACGAATCAAAGCACAGCCCACTCTACGATGACCTAAGCCACCCTGAATGGCTCATTGTCATTTCTGAAGTCATGGCAGCGTTGTGTTCACGGGATGATAAGTTTTTTGGATTGGGATCCAAGATGCAAGGACTGGGGAGCAGGAAGGGCTTACTTGGAACGGCTCTGCTGACATAAGCCTTCAGTCAGAGTACACATCAGATATGTAGAGATGAGGCGAGATTCATCGCAATATTTCGACCATCCCCAGGAGCATCGAGAGCGAAATACATTTTACAACATCATGTATAAATGTCTATTAATATTGCGACACAAAAACTATCCTATCACTAAGCTTACATGATATCAAAACGCTTTTATAGCGCTCAAGCCAGGATAATCACTCGTTCGCAAGCAAGCCCCCCGACTTTTCGGCAAACGGTCATAACGTCCAATTTTACTATCGTCTCTGCAGTCGGAGTGATCGAAGAATGTTAGGCTAGAAGACTGCATAACCCCTACTCCCCATTCAACGCCAATCTGCGGAGTCTGGGGACCGAAAGGTGTACATTTATTGTTGTAAAGTTTAGGGCGTGGCGCGAGCACGAATCCACCCTCCTCTGTACCTTTCTGGGTACCTGCGGGTAGTGGTGTTGCCGTACTGCACATCGCCCCCAGATGAGAACCGATCCAGCCTAATGAGTCTCGTTTGTCGAGAATGGCTGTGGTGTTAGGGTAAAGTCTGGTGGTGTTGTCAAACGGGACACTGAGAACGACAGTCGCTGCCAGAGCGATAGTTGAGAAGATGAAGATGTGCATCGTGCTTTGAAACAATAGGAACGGGAAATTTGCAGTAAATGTTTGGATCAATGTTGGAGAAAGTCAATGTGGTGAAAAGGTAGGAAATGGAAATCGGCGTTGAAACTGGTGGCTGAATGTTGATAAATAATAGCATTTTCTGTCCTGAATTAGACTTCTTTCAGGGAAGAAAGCATGAAATAAGCTCATTATGCATTATAGTTGTGAATGAAAGGGAATGTCTTGCGTTCAAGCAGTTGACAAAGAAATCAAGAGGCGTCCTTTGAAAGAACAAACGCAAAGCTGCGCTAACCCTTTTGGCCACTAGCATGTGTAGATTCAATAATCAAAAGGCGATGCAAGCAAAGAAGGGACTGACAGCAGGAAATCTATTTTCTAGTGAGCTTGTGGAGGGACCCTTCCATATACCTATACTCTAAAAGATTATACTAGCATCGGCCGCGGTAGGAGAGCCATGAAAGAGGTGTTCGAGAGCCACAAGGCAGAGTGAAGCGATTGACAACAACAACATGTTGCCCATGTCGAGTTTACGGCAGCTAGGACTCAATCATAAAGAACGTCTTTAATGCACCTCTCATATCAACAAAGACCCGGCGCATGCCGCAGCCTCAGCGCCTGCCTGTCTTATTGTGCAGCTTCTCCTGACTGCACGTTCAAGCGCGCAAGATTTGGTGTTTGACCTGCACAGATGAACCATTGCTAGACCACCCTCAGGGTGCCAGAGGTCTCACAGCTTGACAAGAGAGTCTTAGTAGTGGCGACGAATGTCAGTAAAGTCGCGTTTGGGGTTCTATCTTTGGCGTCAGATTCAGGCGCTTGCCGAAGGTCTCATACTCACCCCCAGGCACGGACCCTGTTTCAATATAAAGCAGAAAAGGGAAGGAATTTCGAACATCTATGTGAGTTGCGTTCAAGTGTGTGCAAGCTTTGGATGGTTTGACGCACGTCTTCAAATGTTCCTGTCGGGAGCTGGCTTAAAATATCGCCGAAGCTGCACAGAATCGCATCACTATTGAAGATTATGGAGTTTGTTTGCGCCTCAAAAGAAATCTGCGCTTCGGCGGTGGTACACTGCAAGTGATATTGAGGGCTTGAATTCTTACTCACGAGGGGAGATTTATAGTGTTCCGGCTCTCATTCGAGCGACTTTAGATCTGAGCGTACAACTCCGGCGACATTCATGAGCGATTGTAAACAATGAAGAGTTATTGAAAGTAGAATGGTCGTTCGTGGTGCAGAGGAAGAGCTATACTTTATAGCATCCCGTTTGACTCGTTGAACTATCTTTGTGTTGCTATCAATAACTAGACATCTTGCCATTCGCCAATTACGTTCATCAAAAGGAGCTCAAACCCTGGCGATCACTCATTTTCACCATACTCTCCACAAAGTCTCAGTCTACATACTCGCCACGCCCATAGAGCTAGTAGAGACCTCAAGGCCTTCAACTTTCGCAAAGCCGTCGCCCACCGACTCCAGGGTCCCTTCCGCCAATAAAAGATCCTCATCCTTGATAGTAAACTCGAAATCAGTGACCACATGCTCTGCCTCCACCTGTGCCTTTACGAGACCCACACACCCGGCGGCCTCGTCATAGCTGATCGTCTGAGCACCCAAGTACTGAACTGGCTGTAAATCGACCTGGAGCCGAGGATACATAGTTCTGGTAATCTCAGTATTTCTCATCGGGCCATCGCCTTTGTTTTCAAGCTGCTCTTGAAAGATTTGGAGCAGTCCAGATATCGCTGCTGGCTCAATGCGTCTACGATAACGCGGAAGATTGACATTGATTTTGAGGGTTCTTGGGGTTATGCTCGAGGCTGGGATCGTCATGGACAAATTGCTAGTACTATTAGCATCAAGGAAGCTTCGCCATCGCAAGGGGGCTCACGCTGCAGGGTCAGCTGCATCAGATTTAGCATCGCGGGCGTTGATGACGCTTACTGACTGGAGGACAGCCCTTCCACCATTTTGAGTAGTGGGCAAAGCTGAAGTGATTTGCGTAGACGCTGCGAAAGATGTCAAGAGAAGCGCTAATTTCCACATTGCGTCGTCTTTTATCTCCAAGTTTTGACTCTTGAGGTTGTTCTTCCTGTTCTTGATCTTGTCGTAATAGAAGCCCAACCCGGGAATGTTGAACGTCCAGTGATCATTATGTAGCTTTTTATATATCCCCGTATGAACATTGAGCTGGATCATCATGGTCCAGAGTGTCGACCATGGCTTACGCGCACGGTGTATGTTTCAGCATCTGAGCAGAGTTTGACTGTCAGCTCAGACGCGCAGCTTTAAGCGCTTCAGTATCCTATCTGAGAACTAAGAATCGCCTGGCCCCATGATTGCGTTTCCACTCCCTAAAGTGTGTTAAGCTTCTTCGACACGCAAAGCATGAGAATTGCTCTACTATCAGAATTGATATATGCTAAAGACATAGCGAAAGGGGGTGTCAGCACATAATCGCTTGTCTAGCACAATGCCTCAGAGAAAGGTTTTCCATGCAACATTTATTCTTCGCCAAGTCGATTTCCATATTCGAAAATAACCCTATCCAGGCCATCCTGCAGCTACTAAGAAACAAGGTGTAATTGAATGCTAAAATGTGTCAACGTCTCAAGACTTCATTCGTTGCCCAAAGCAGCACGATGAACTGGATGTCAAGGACCGCTCTTGATTCACTCGTAAGGACAGGCCTTCATCATCCGGATCTAGTGCTCGTGAACGATTATTGAAGAAACGCCAAATCTCTGGGCTTAAGTCTGACCTTGTTTGTGAGGCATCCTACATCGGGATGATGAGTGGTTGCAAGCACGCATGCATGTTTGCCGGATACGGAACAATGTCTGCCTCTGTCCTGATCGGTGACACGTGATGACTGTTACCCCTTTCAATCCTCGTGATATCTTTGAGATCTGACAAAGAGCGATCTGAATGCTAAGAGTTGACGCAAATCACACAGAGATCTTGGCTTTCTGATATCATACGTAGAGGTGACAAGATCGCAGGCATGTTGATCTAGGCATCTGCAGATGTTAACCCTGGGCCAGGGACCAGAAGAGCGTGACAAAAGATGGCAAAAGATAGCGGAACGGACTGGCTCATCCTGATCTGCTCGCATGGGGGCACTCTGCACAACACTTCTAGCAGATGCCGTGGCTTGAAGTGCACGTGCGATAGCGCGGATGGGCTCATGGTGGACGACATCAGGTGTCATATGGCGCTACAAGGGAGAACGAGTTCGCAAGCGTGCCAGAATGAGGTGACTCGAAATATTCAACGTCGTGGTCGTTGAGGTTCAAACAGAAGGAATTAACTTCTGCAGCTTGTACATACTATTCTTTCCTTTAGTAATATGTGCATTCCCGTGAATTGGACTCTGGGATACTAGGCTGTTGTAATATGTTGGGCTTACGCGTATTCGCGCAGCTAAGGGTGGTCGCACCTTCTGCTCGAGACTCTTCCATTAACTTATTCATACAACATGTACATCCTTGTGGCAGTGTGTCGAATGAATCTTGGAAAATAGGAGGCTTTCGCATCATGAATTTGGCGTGGCCCTCGCATTCATTACTTTGGCGTTGAACGTACATACTGCTTTTGTGACTTCGCCATCATCGGGTTGCTTCTCGCACGAAAAGATTGTCACCATAATAGGCTCCATAGGGGCGCCAGTTTTGTCTTTTCGTGGAATTGGTACAATCTCTTTGTCGGTCCCTTTGTAAGTTTTCGTGTCCGTCTTCCCATGTTCATCATCCTTGTACTGAAAGCTGAACACATCCATCGGGTTCCAAGGCTGTTTTGATTGTGGGGGATCGATGACTTTCATCAGGTCGTGACCGCCGAGAGTGAAGGTGAAATCATTCGTCGTTTGGTGGTCGCCTTCGCCCTCGCCGCTTCCGAGCTTCGTTCCAAGGTCATCGTCGGACTCCCAGCTGCGTTGTCGCTGTTAGTATTGTGGAAAACCAGCACATTGATGCATACATCAAGTGTCGACATGGGCAAGAAAGGAGGGATGCTTACGTGACTTTGCCCCCTGTAAAACCAAAATCTACGCTGAATGTGACCTTATAGATACCGGAGCAGGAAAGTTGACCCTCTTTCCCGCAATCACCACGTTTGGTAGTGTCGGGTACATCGAAGGTGTCAACTCTGTACACCCCGCATGGGCTCTCTAATTGAAGGTCACCGTGAAGCGTGCCAGCAGAACCTATCGAGCATTAGTGTCATCTTTCAAACAGATACAGATTGCAGCGTATATACATACATTGGGTCCACAATTTATAAAGGGTGTTAAAACAATCATCTTGAGGGCAATTGCCATGATCGAATTTGACCAAGTTGAACCACAATCCTTTGCCATAATCCTGACTTTGGTAATCATTCTTCGAAGTATCTTTGCACCAGTCCTCACTCGCTTTCTTATAATTGTCTGCCGTGATTCCTACACTGGAGCCAGCCTTACTGTCAAGCTTGCATACAGCTGGCCTCGGATCTATTTTGGAGCATGGTCCAGCAGGGGCGGAAGGGTTCCGGTTGTACATTGTTTCCACAACTGCTTGAAGTGCCGAGATGGCAATCATTTTCTGTCCAAGCTCCGTCGGGTGGAAGACACTGTATGCGGTAACAAATAGTCAGCTACTAGGTAGGATCTGACCAGGATGACAGACGAGCCGAAACAAAATGCATAGTGTCGGGGGTCAGACACCAATCCTGGAGTCTAACAAAGGGCCTAACAGGCAAAATGACGTACCTAGCGATGAAATCTGGAAGTCGTCTTCTTGAGATAGATGCCCAGACCCCTCTCTTGCGATTGCTGTTGTCGTCACTATTGACGACTTGCTTGTCCTTTGGTATGTTACCATTGTCGCCTGTGCTCAGTCTTTGAAAGACAAGCCCCGGGTGGTTAGGGTCATTCGGGTTGTTGTCTGATAAGTCTGGATCACCATCTTCACAGAATCGTCCACCAACATCAGAGACATATTGGTCCCATTCAACTGCTAGGAAATCGCCGCCGAATGACCCTTTCCTTGCTTGAGCGGTGCCGATGGCATTCCTAAGCTTCACATTGGTGTCGTAAACAAGATCATTCAATCTTCCCCGCAAGTCCTTATCTACTGGAGGATATTCGGGGTTCAAAACTTGTTTGACCGTGTCATACACTTCGCTAGTGCAACTCTCCGTACTATCATCGAAGAACTGCGCAGAACCGTAGAAGTCAGCATTCGAAGACGCTCGAACAGGCATATTCAATGGCGTGTAGGGATGTATGTTCCAGAAGACGGTTCTGCTATGCCTGGACGCTAGACCGCGATAAAACGTACCTTCGCGTAGAGAGTATAGGCGATTATGCCCTTGTCTTTGATCTTGGCCTGCAAAGTATCCAGCAAATATTTGATATGTGGCTCTAGATCCGCAATCGCATCCTGGGTCTTCTTGATGGCTGCTTCGCAATCTTGTTTTGATGAGAGAGAATAGACACAGGTCTAGACGCATTCGTTAGACTTGAGTAAATACTTTTCGCGCTCAAGAATGTCGGGGTCTGAAGGAGCGGCTCCGCCAGAGCGAGAAGCTTCTTAAAGAAACCCTAAGCTTAGACAGCCGAGGAATGCGACAGAACGTACCTTCAAGACTTCCGAGAGAAAGACGTCATTGCCGCCGGCTGAAACGGTAATCAGATCCTGAGAGTGATCAGGCAGCTCTTTGGCTTTCTCCTCAATTTGAACTGATGTGTGACCTGAGCACGCAATATTCTGGAAAGTCGCGTCTGACACGAACACATTCTTCAGGAGGTCGGGATAGCCTCGATAATACCGAGAGCAAGCTGAATCAACCTGGTTGCCCACACCCATACCAGCAGCGTAGCTATCTCCCAGGGCCGTAAATTGTTTGATCCATGAGGTGTCGGTGGGAGAAGAATCTCCAGATGGATCGGGAGCAGTATTGATGAGGGGAACCCCAAAAGCTTGGACTGGGACAGCGCCCCAGATGGCAAGGATTGGGAAAGAGAAAAACAAGGTCCACATGACTCCCGAGCAGGTCGAGTGAGATCCTTGAGAAGTGACGGATACTCTTATGCTTCACGGCCCTAATGTTCTTTGGCCAGCACTTTTTGGATGTTGTCGAAGCTGGCTATTGTCTAGTCTCTTTCTCGAAGCTTTCAGAGAGGAAATGGCGATTTTGACCAATGACTCGGGTGGGTACGCTGAGTAGTGAGAGCATGGGAGTGAAGGCCAGTGACAAGAGAACTCAAGCAAAGAGAAGCTCGAGCAAGAACAAGACGCTGAATAAGGTTGAAGACTTGAGCTAAGCCCCGCGAAGCGCGTTGATGAGCGTAGAGCTCTTTGACAGAAGTAGGTGAATGATGGGTAATTCCATTTTCACTTGTCGCACAACGAGGTAGTGACCTAAATATCAATGTCCTTGTTTGTTGCATTTGATGGCGATACCCTTCACCACACCTCATACCTGCTGTTGGCCGAGATCCTACCATATCACATGTTGACAATGAAGGATCGTTATACACAACAAAAGCGGCTGAGCCTTGAGCACACAGTACAGTAAGCAAGTGGGCTTATACCGCCAACAGGAGCGCCAGCGATGTTGACCTGCGACTAACTATCTCCTGCCACTAGAACGACACCTCAAACATAACTATTGAACTGAAACATGACTGAAGGATTTAGGATTATCGTGAAACATAGCCAGCCTCCTTCGTCAGCTCTAACTGCTTTCGGCTAGCTTCTTGTGAAAAATCGGCACATCGGACATTGAAGTTATCTCCGAGGCGATAACCCCTCTCGAATGTTGTGGCTCTTTGAATGAATAGAAAGAGCATGAACTACAGCGCTTTGAGGAAGGTTCCAAAATGACCATCGAAAGTATCGGAAGGCTGACAAAGAACCTCGCAGCCATGGGCCTGTCTTGCTACGCAGGCACATCAGCAGGAGGAGGGATTTAATAACAACCAAGGCTTTCCTACAATATCGAGCTATCGAATTAGACGTACGGTATAGAACTGTCAGGGATGTATGCTACTACATCACTACTACCATCTTCTTGACGGGTGTCCTCATACTCACGTGGCATGAACTTCAGCGATGGACCTGTTCCGCCAACATGACGAATGCTTAGGTGCTCATCCCTGTCAAAGAATCCTACAGACCAACGACTTGCCCTACCCGCACATTCCTCGACCAACAAGATCTATGGTTGTGCCCAGACCGTGTAAACAGTCCGCAGGATGAATATAGACATGTGTCTGCCACGTGAGTTCAGGTTATAAGCTCGTCAGGCAGTGCATGGAGCAAGCACTGCCTGCTGGATTTATGTCCTGAATAGGGAGTTTGCAACTTATTCTACCTGTTTCATCAGTTGTTGTTTCATTCTTCTCACTTCCTACGTGACTACTATTCTTACCCTCAGATGCGGAGATCCCTCAACAAGCGCAGTAAAGCTGTTGCTTTGGGAAGATTGGAATAAATACTGGCTGTTCTTTTCATAAGTCGTCCACGTCGGCCTCGGATTTCTCCAAACCCTGGACTGTCCTTGCATTCCTTCCTCAAAGCCCAAAATTATACCGTCGCTCAACCCTCTATCACAGAAGTAGTATCATTCTCTCAACGCGATGAAATTTTTTTCCCACACTTCGCAGCTCCTTTTTTCCATTTTCTGGCTTGCTATACTTGTTCTCAGCATCGAGCCAGGAGATCTTGGAGTCAAATGGAATGTCGATCTTGCCACTGGACCTACGGACCGTCCACGACGCTGGCATGTGTGGACCGCAATTCTTGAGGTAATTTATCTCCTTGTCTGGACCCCTTACAATACAATCGCGTCCTTGGAACGATTATCTCTACTATATCCATTATTCCTCGAGTGTCGTGTGAACCATCATCTCGTTTCATGCGTACAATTTTCCAGACACTAATGTTGTGCAGTTTGACGACCTTGTATCGAAATTATTCACGAATGGGGAAATAGCTGGGATAGCTAGAATGGGCTATAAAGCCATGGAAAACAACTATGCCACCAAGCCATGGAACGATCCTAACTTGCCAGCCAAAGTCGACGGGCCAAACAACGTACCAGTAATGGTGGCCGTAATAACTTTTGGAAAACGGGTGTACATAGCGTCACCCATCAAAGGGAAAAATCCCCGGGAACCGCTTTATAATCATCTCGACAAAGTGCTTAGAGAGACTCTGCTGGAATGTCAATTCGACCTGAATGCTGAGGGGGATCATGAGAATATAGGCGCTTGCGGCGAACTCATGGCTGCACATATAGCAATCCAATCCGGAATAGACGCCGACTTGAAAGCAAACGAGGACGGGCATCGAGGTATACTGATTGGTGGAAAGGTACGTCATCTAATTAATGATGGCTGTGAGGACATATTGCCTACGAAGTTTCTCCGCACCGCGACACTCGTAGACGAGAATCCTTATACAGTCTATCGACTTCCGATCTTGACCTTGTGAACAATAGCTAACGATAACAGGTAGTATCGTATGGCCTACGTGGGGCCGCGAATGCACGGACCGAAGGCATCAAAAAGCCTTGTGGAGCTTTGGGACCCGGCAATGTGCCTAACCCAAAAAAGTGGGGCTGTAACAAATTCATAACATACTCGGGACTTGAAGAGATAGCACCGGACACAGAGGTGGTGGACAAAGTGCCATTTCCGGACTTCAAACAAGTGCCTGTTTGTAATATTTAGCTAAAGATTTCAGTCGAGAGTGTAGAGTAGTAACACTGACTGTAGTTTGTCACAGCAATTACAAGCTCTACCAATGAATAGAAAAGATGACAATTGAAATCCAAATTCGCGCATGGAATATCAACAGCTAGCTTGCTCTTCTGCGATCATCTCTGAAAGTCTTCGTATGTGGAATCAGCGGGCACCTTCAGTCCCACTAGAGACTTGATACTGAGTGAAGTCTCCCTATCAGATAAGAGTCATCTGCGTACTCCCCGCAGGACCGACCGTGATTGCGAGCTATATCATAGAGGCTCTTGAGGAATAGAGGACCATATCCAACAGAGGACAAAGTATCTGGATTTAGCGACGTATCATTATTGAAAAGAGAACGTTCCATTCACCATCCTGCGGCCTGCTGACCCTGACTAAGCATTCCTTTGAGTAAGACGGAAGCGTGCATTGAGCAGATGTTGGCACTAGCCCGCATGGTGCTTAGCGCTTATTCATCAAGAGCCGCACAGCCACATCCAACCAAGTGAATCTTCGTTTGCATATCTGTCTCTGCTTATTACTTTGACTTCGACGTGCACCTTGATCATTGATGCGACGTATGTGAATAGACTTAGCTAAGCATTATCTCGGTACACAGTTCTCAAATCGCACCAACTCGCCCGCGGTCACAAAGCAATCTCCTCAGTAGTCTGCTGCGATCACGATTCGAGAAGACCAGCCTGAACATAAAACCTCGATCAGTTGAGGCCGTCTACTGAGAAGCATGTCTCTCTCAGACCTACCTTCTGAGCTTATCCATCTGCTACTGCAACCACTTAATAGGCAGAATATTTCACGTCTCTCTCGTTGCAGCAAGCGACTCCGAGGATTCGCCCTTCCTGATCTCTACAAGAATCTGGAATGGCAACTTGATGTTGTGCATGATTCTCATCACCCACATTGGCTTCAACCTGATCTGCTAATAAGGACTCTTGTTGAGAAACCTGAACTAGGCAATCATGTCGAACATCTTCAGTTCTGGGGCAGATTTCGCGCGCAACGAATCAACATCCCGCCTAGGCTCACAACAGAGGAGCTGGAGAAAGCTAATGACCATATCTCACGCGCTTTTCCAAGTGCCATCGATGTATGGACTCTGGCTCTGAGACGTGGCTTGATGCCGGGCTACGCATGCATTATACTGGTGCGTTACTTTCCCACGAAGAATTCTATCTTTATCCCTCAACATAAAGCTGGCAGAGGCGATCTGTCACAGAGAGATACCTAGAGACCCCATGATATAGAAGTGAGAACATTGTCACTGACTTCATATTCTAGGCATTCTCAACGCGAGTCAAATCGCTCAAATTGGGATATGAATTTTTCGCTAACGGCTCCTACCTTGAAACCCTTTTCAAGAATGCTCGAAGGCATACATCGAACGGAGAAATCTATGAAGTTCCACCCCGATTCGAGCACTTGCGAAGCGTCAGTCTTGGCGCTACTAAGCCCGCCGAAGTAGTTCCCTATGAGAACGCTTGTTCATACCACGATATCATTTCAGCTTCCAATCTACCGTGTTTACAACATCTTAGCATTCAGCTAGAATGGACAACGGATATCAGCAGACTTCAACATCCGCACCTGAGTTGCCTGACATCATTGAAACTGCTGTACTCTGGGCTCACACCTGAGTTTCTGCCAGCACTTCTGTCATCGAAGCCGCCGCTTAAGGAGCTCATTTACCATTTTAATGCCTCTGACGACTATTATGATGAATTCTTTGACCTGTAAGTGCATATCTTCAGGCCGTACCTACTGTGTACACGCTATTTCATTTGCTTCCCTACTCGCGAGTAGTTGTTGCCCTTACTAATTGAATCGCGGTATGCTTTACTGACTTTAACCAAACACTAGTGATGCACTGGGGAGAGCCATCAATAACGTCTCCGATACCATTGAAGATTTAGAATTAGATATATATATGGGTGAAGGGGACGAACTTCCTATCTTCTACGATGACGGGTGCCTAAAGGGCAAGCTCCTTTCCTTCAGAGACTTTCGACAGCTTAGGAATCTCCGAGTCCCCTTGGTCATGTTATCTGGATTCAAAGCGTCAACGCATCTGCCGCCGCTGTCATCCCTACTTCCCCCCGGCTCGAAAGTCTCGAGTTACTGCAAAATTTGTCAGATTGGGCTGCAAGCAGTTGGAAGGCAGAGAATTGGATTGAGTATATAGGCTGTCTGCTGCAGGATCGCGCGAAATCGCAAGGATCTATGCTCCCATTTTTGCGCCGCATAATGCTCGAGACTAACCGTAATTGGTTCTTGTACTGGGACAAAAGCACAATCATAGAGTTTGAAGCGCTTTGTCAACAGTATGGGATTCGGGGAGTATTCAAGAAGCTAGAGCCTAAATGACATAAAGACTAGAAATGCTTGGACTTAACATACTTAAATTCTACGCCTAAAATTTACTTAATTAAGATCTTAAGTAAAGTGAATGAAGTTGGTATTAGCCTATTACTAGTAGAATGTATCTAAAGTAGGTAGTTGGTGTGAACGTATCGCGAGGACGAAGTGGAAAGGGTGCTCTTATTCACCGCTAATTAAACAACCTTTTACTTAATTCTTCCCAACCATATTACTATGTAACTATGCTACAAGTAGTTAAATATTATTAGTTATTGCCCCCCTTGCTCTCTTATTTAGAAGAAGGTTTAAATGTTACGCCCCGCAGGCTACACAGCGCACCGGCTGCGCTAGAGGAACAAAGGACACTCGTTACTGGTTGGCTTAGCGAGACCAACCAGGCCCGCTCGTTGTAACGCAGTGTTCGCAGGGTACGCATGCCGAGGCCTGCGTTACAGTGCGAACAGTGCGATCACCATTTGATATATAATGTCACTCTATGGTTGTGAACTTGTCCCAGTACAAGAACCAATTACGGTTAGTCTCGAGCATTGTAAAGCAAAAATGGGAGCATAGATCACTGCGATTTCGCGCGATCCTGCAGCAGACAGCCTATATACTCAATCCAATTCTCTGCCTTCAACTGCTTGCAGCCCAATCCTGACAAATTTTTGCAGTAACTCGAGACTTTCGAGCCGGGGGAAGTAGGGATGACAACGGCGGCAGATGCGTTGACGCTTTGAATCCAGATAGCATGACCAGAGGACTCGGAGATTCCTAAGCTGTCGAAAGTCTCTGAAGGAAAGGAGCTTGCCCTTTAGGCACCCGTCATCGTAGAAGATAGGAAGTTCGTCCCCTTCACCCATATATATATCTAATTCTAAATCTTCAATGGTATCCGGAGACGTTATTGATGGCTCTCCCCAGTGCATCACTTTAGTGTTTGGTTAAAGTCAGTAAAGCATACCGCGATTCAATTAATAGTAAGGGCAACAACTACTCGCAGTAGAGGGAAGCAAATGAAATAGCGTGTACACAGTAGGTACGGCCTGAAAGATATGCACTTACGGAGTCAAAGAATTCATCGTAATGATCGTCAGAGGCATTAAAATGGTAAATGAGCTCCTTAAGCGGCGGCTACCGATGACAGAAGTGCTGGCAGAAACTCAGGTGTGAGCCCAGAGTACAGCAGTTTCAATGATGTCAGGCAACTCAGGTGCGGATGTTGAAGTCTGCTGATATCCATTGTCCATTCTAGCTGAATGCTAAGATGTTGTAAACACGGTAGATTGGAAGCTGAAATGATATCGTGGTATGAACAAGCGTTCTCATAGGGAACTACTTCGGCGGGCTTAGTAGCGCCAAGACTGACGCTTCCAAGTGCTCGAATCGGGGTGGAACTCCATAGATTTCTCCGTTCGATGTATGCCTTCGAGCATTCTTGAAAAGGGTTTCAAGGTAGGAGCCGTTAGCGAAAAATTCATATCCCAATTTGAGCGATTTGACTCGCGTTGAGAATGCCAGAATATGAAGTCGGTGACAATGTTCTCACTTCTATATCATGGGGTCTCTAGGTATCTCTCTGTGACAGATCGCCTCTGCCAGCTTTATGTTGAGGGATAAAGATAGAATTCTTCGTGGGAAAGTAACGCACCAGTATAATGCATGCGTAGCCCGGCATCAAGCCACGTCTCAGAGCCAGAGTCCATACATCGATGGCACTTGGAAAAAGCGCGTGAGATATGGTCATTAGCTTTCTCCAGCTCCTCTGTTGTGAGCCTAGGCGGGATGTTGATTCGTTGGGCGCGAAATCTGCCCCAGAACTGAAGATGTTCGACATGATTGCCTAGTTCAGGTTTCTCAACAAGAGTCCTTATTAGCAGATCAAGTTGAAGCCAATGTGGGTGATGAGAATCATGCACAACATCAAGTTGCCATTCCAGATTCTTGTAGAGATCAGGAAGGGCGAATCCTCGGAGTCGCTTGCTGCAACGAGAGAGACGTGAAATATTCTGCCTATTAAGTGGTTGCAGTAGCAGATGGATAAGCTCAGAAGGCAGGTCTGAGAGAGACATGCTTCTCAGTAGACGGCCTCAACTGATCGAGGTTTTATGTTCAGGCTGGTCTTCTCGAATCGTGATCGCAGCAGACTACTGAGGAGATTGCTTTGTGACCGCGGGCGAGTTGGTGCGATTTGAGAACTGTGTACCGAGATAATGCTTAGCTAAGTCTATTCACATACGTCGCATCAATGATCAAGGTGCACGTCGAAGTCAAAGTAATAAGCAGAGACAGATATGCAAACGAAGATTCACTTGGTTGGATGTGGCTGTGCGGCTCTTGATGAATAAGCGCTAAGCACCATGCGGGCTAGTGCCAACATCTGCTCAATGCACGCTTCCGTCTTACTCAAAGGAATGCTTAGTCAGGGTCAGCAGGCCGCAGGATGGTGAATGGAACGTTCTCTTTTCAATAATGATACGTCGCTAAATCCAGATACTTTGTCCTCTGTTGGATATGGTCCTCTATTCCTCAAGAGCCTCTATGATATAGCTCGCAATCACGGTCGGTCCTGCGGGGAGTACGCAGATGACTCTTATCTGATAGGGAGACTTCACTCAGTATCAAGTCTCTAGTGGGACTGAAGGTGCCCGCTGATTCCACATACGAAGACTTTCAGAGATGATCGCAGAAGAGCAAGCTAGCTGTTGATATTCCATGCGCGAATTTGGATTTCAATTGTCATCTTTTCTATTCATTGGTAGAGCTTGTAATTGCTGTGACAAACTACAGTCAGTGTTACTACTCTACACTCTCGACTGAAATCTTTAGCTAAATATTACAAACAGGCACTTGTTTGAAGTCCGGAAATGGCACTTTGTCCACCACCTCTGTGTCCGGTGCTATCTCTTCAAGTCCCGAGTATGTTATGAATTTGTTACAGCCCCACTTTTTTGGGTTAGGCACATTGCCGGGTCCCAAAGCTCCACAAGGCTTTTTGATGCCTTCGGTCCGTGCATTCGCGGCCCCACGTAGGCCATACGATACTACCTGTTATCGTTAGCTATTGTTCACAAGGTCAAGATCGGAAGTCGATAGACTGTATAAGGATTCTCGTCTACGAGTGTCGCGGTGCGGAGAAACTTCGTAGGCAATATGTCCTCACAGCCATCATTAATTAGATGACGTACCTTTCCACCAATCAGTATACCTCGATGCCCGTCCTCGTTTGCTTTCAAGTCGGCGTCTATTCCGGATTGGATTGCTATATGTGCAGCCATGAGTTCGCCGCAAGCGCCTATATTCTCATGATCCCCCTCAGCATTCAGGTCGAATTGACATTCCAGCAGAGTCTCTCTAAGCACTTTGTCGAGATGATTATAAAGCGGTTCCCGGGGATTTTTCCCTTTGATGGGTGACGCTATGTACACCCGTTTTCCAAAAGTTATTACGGCCACCATTACTGGTACGTTGTTTGGCCCGTCGACTTTGGCTGGCAAGTTAGGATCGTTCCATGGCTTGGTGGCATAGTTGTTTTCCATGGCTTTATAGCCCATTCTAGCTATCCCAGCTATTTCCCCATTCGTGAATAATTTCGATACAAGGTCGTCAAACTGCACAACATTAGTGTCTGGAAAATTGTACGCATGAAACGAGATGATGGTTCACACGACACTCGAGGAATAATGGATATAGTAGAGATAATCGTTCCAAGGACGCGATTGTATTGTAAGGGGTCCAGACAAGGAGATAAATTACCTCAAGAATTGCGGTCCACACATGCCAGCGTCGTGGACGGTCCGTAGGTCCAGTGGCAAGATCGACATTCCATTTGACTCCAAGATCTCCTGGCTCGATGCTGAGAACAAGTATAGCAAGCCAGAAAATGGAAAAAAGGAGCTGCGAAGTGTGGGAAAAAAATTTCATCGCGTTGAGAGAATGATACTACTTCTGTGATAGAGGGTTGAGCGACGGTATAATTTTGGGCTTTGAGGAAGGAATGCAAGGACAGTCCAGGGTTTGGAGAAATCCGAGGCCGACGTGGACGACTTATGAAAAGAACAGCCAGTATTTATTCCAATCTTCCCAAAGCAACAGCTTTACTGCGCTTGTTGAGGGATCTCCGCATCTGAGGGTAAGAATAGTAGTCACGTAGGAAGTGAGAAGAATGAAACAACAACTGATGAAACAGGTAGAATAAGTTGCAAACTCCCTATTCAGGACATAAATCCAGCAGGCAGTGCTTGCTCCATGCACTGCCTGACGAGCTTATAACCTGAACTCACGTGGCAGACACATGTCTATATTCATCCTGCGGACTGTTTACACGGTCTGGGCACAACCATAGATCTTGTTGGTCGAGGAATGTGCGGGTAGGGCAAGTCGTTGGTCTGTAGGATTCTTTGACAGGGATGAGCACCTAAGCATTCGTCATGTTGGCGGAACAGGTCCATCGCTGAAGTTCATGCCACGTGAGTATGAGGACACCCGTCAAGAAGATGGTAGTAGTGATGTAGTAGCATACATCCCTGACAGTTCTATACCGTACGTCTAATTCGATAGCTCGATATTGTAGGAAAGCCTTGGTTGTTATTAAATCCCTCCTCCTGCTGATGTGCCTGCGTAGCAAGACAGGCCCATGGCTGCGAGGTTCTTTGTCAGCCTTCCGATACTTTCGATGGTCATTTTGGAACCTTCCTCAAAGCGCTGTAGTTCATGCTCTTTCTATTCATTCAAAGAGCCACAACATTCGAGAGGGGTTATCGCCTCGGAGATAACTTCAATGTCCGATGTGCCGATTTTTCACAAGAAGCTAGCCGAAAGCAGTTAGAGCTGACGAAGGAGGCTGGCTATGTTTCACGATAATCCTAAATCCTTCAGTCATGTTTCAGTTCAATAGTTATGTTTGAGGTGTCGTTCTAGTGGCAGGAGATAGTTAGTCGCAGGTCAACATCGCTGGCGCTCCTGTTGGCGGTATAAGCCCACTTGCTTACTGTACTGTGTGCTCAAGGCTCAGCCGCTTTTGTTGTGTATAACGATCCTTCATTGTCAACATGTGATATGGTAGGATCTCGGCCAACAGCAGGTATGAGGTGTGGTGAAGGGTATCGCCATCAAATGCAACAAACAAGGACATTGATATTTAGGTCACTACCTCGTTGTGCGACAAGTGAAAATGGAATTACCCATCATTCACCTACTTCTGTCAAAGAGCTCTACGCTCATCAACGCGCTTCGCGGGGCTTAGCTCAAGTCTTCAACCTTATTCAGCGTCTTGTTCTTGCTCGAGCTTCTCTTTGCTTGAGTTCTCTTGTCACTGGCCTTCACTCCCATGCTCTCACTACTCAGCGTACCCACCCGAGTCATTGGTCAAAATCGCCATTTCCTCTCTGAAAGCTTCGAGAAAGAGACTAGACAATAGCCAGCTTCGACAACATCCAAAAAGTGCTGGCCAAAGAACATTAGGGCCGTGAAGCATAAGAGTATCCGTCACTTCTCAAGGATCTCACTCGACCTGCTCGGGAGTCATGTGGACCTTGTTTTTCTCTTTCCCAATCCTTGCCATCTGGGGCGCTGTCCCAGTCCAAGCTTTTGGGGTTCCCCTCATCAATACTGCTCCCGATCCATCTGGAGATTCTTCTCCCACCGACACCTCATGGATCAAACAATTTACGGCCCTGGGAGATAGCTACGCTGCTGGTATGGGTGTGGGCAACCAGGTTGATTCAGCTTGCTCTCGGTATTATCGAGGCTATCCCGACCTCCTGAAGAATGTGTTCGTGTCAGACGCGACTTTCCAGAATATTGCGTGCTCAGGTCACACATCAGTTCAAATTGAGGAGAAAGCCAAAGAGCTGCCTGATCACTCTCAGGATCTGATTACCGTTTCAGCCGGCGGCAATGACGTCTTTCTCTCGGAAGTCTTGAAGGTACGTTCTGTCGCATTCCTCGGCTGTCTAAGCTTAGGGTTTCTTTAAGAAGCTTCTCGCTCTGGCGGAGCCGCTCCTTCAGACCCCGACATTCTTGAGCGCGAAAAGTATTTACTCAAGTCTAACGAATGCGTCTAGACCTGTGTCTATTCTCTCTCATCAAAACAAGATTGCGAAGCAGCCATCAAGAAGACCCAGGATGCGATTGCGGATCTAGAGCCACATATCAAATATTTGCTGGATACTTTGCAGGCCAAGATCAAAGACAAGGGCATAATCGCCTATACTCTCTACGCGAAGGTACGTTTTATCGCGGTCTAGCGTCCAGGCATAGCAGAACCGTCTTCTGGAACATACATCCCTACACGCCATTGAATATGCCTGTTCGAGCGTCTTCGAATGCTGACTTCTACGGTTCTGCGCAGTTCTTCGATGATAGTACGGAGAGTTGCACTAGCGAAGTGTATGACACGGTCAAACAAGTTTTGAACCCCGAATATCCTCCAGTAGATAAGGACTTGCGGGGAAGATTGAATGATCTTGTTTACGACACCAATGTGAAGCTTAGGAATGCCATCGGCACCGCTCAAGCAAGGAAAGGGTCATTCGGCGGCGATTTCCTAGCAGTTGAATGGGACCAATATGTCTCTGATGTTGGTGGACGATTCTGTGAAGATGGTGATCCAGACTTATCAGACAACAACCCGAATGACCCTAACCACCCGGGGCTTGTCTTTCAAAGACTGAGCACAGGCGACAATGGTAACATACCAAAGGACAAGCAAGTCGTCAATAGTGACGACAACAGCAATCGCAAGAGAGGGGTCTGGGCATCTATCTCAAGAAGACGACTTCCAGATTTCATCGCTAGGTACGTCATTTTGCCTGTTAGGCCCTTTGTTAGACTCCAGGATTGGTGTCTGACCCCCGACACTATGCATTTTGTTTCGGCTCGTCTGTCATCCTGGTCAGATCCTACCTAGTAGCTGACTATTTGTTACCGCATACAGTGTCTTCCACCCGACGGAGCTTGGACAGAAAATGATTGCCATCTCGGCACTTCAAGCAGTTGTGGAAACAATGTACAACCGGAACCCTTCCGCCCCTGCTGGACCATGCTCCAAAATAGATCCGAGGCCAGCTGTATGCAAGCTTGACAGTAAGGCTGGCTCCAGTGTAGGAATCACGGCAGACAATTATAAGAAAGCGAGTGAGGACTGGTGCAAAGATACTTCGAAGAATGATTACCAAAGTCAGGATTATGGCAAAGGATTGTGGTTCAACTTGGTCAAATTCGATCATGGCAATTGCCCTCAAGATGATTGTTTTAACACCCTTTATAAATTGTGGACCCAATGTATGTATATACGCTGCAATCTGTATCTGTTTGAAAGATGACACTAATGCTCGATAGGTTCTGCTGGCACGCTTCACGGTGACCTTCAATTAGAGAGCCCATGCGGGGTGTACAGAGTTGACACCTTCGATGTACCCGACACTACCAAACGTGGTGATTGCGGGAAAGAGGGTCAACTTTCCTGCTCCGGTATCTATAAGGTCACATTCAGCGTAGATTTTGGTTTTACAGGGGCAAAGTCACGTAAGCATCCCTCCTTTCTTGCCCATGTCGACACTTGATGTATGCATCAATGTGCTGGTTTTCCACAATACTAACAGCGACAACGCAGCTGGGAGTCCGACGATGACCTTGGAACGAAGCTCGGAAGCGGCGAGGGCGAAGGCGACCACCAAACGACGAATGATTTCACCTTCACTCTCGGCGGTCACGACCTGATGAAAGTCATCGATCCCCCACAATCAAAACAGCCTTGGAACCCGATGGATGTGTTCAGCTTTCAGTACAAGGATGATGAACATGGGAAGACGGACACGAAAACTTACAAAGGGACCGACAAAGAGATTGTACCAATTCCACGAAAAGACAAAACTGGCGCCCCTATGGAGCCTATTATGGTGACAATCTTTTCGTGCGAGAAGCAACCCGATGATGGCGAAGTCACAAAAGCAGTATGTACGTTCAACGCCAAAGTAATGAATGCGAGGGCCACGCCAAATTCATGATGCGAAAGCCTCCTATTTTCCAAGATTCATTCGACACACTGCCACAAGGATGTACATGTTGTATGAATAAGTTAATGGAAGAGTCTCGAGCAGAAGGTGCGACCACCCTTAGCTGCGCGAATACGCGTAAGCCCAACATATTACAACAGCCTAGTATCCCAGAGTCCAATTCACGGGAATGCACATATTACTAAAGGAAAGAATAGTATGTACAAGCTGCAGAAGTTAATTCCTTCTGTTTGAACCTCAACGACCACGACGTTGAATATTTCGAGTCACCTCATTCTGGCACGCTTGCGAACTCGTTCTCCCTTGTAGCGCCATATGACACCTGATGTCGTCCACCATGAGCCCATCCGCGCTATCGCACGTGCACTTCAAGCCACGGCATCTGCTAGAAGTGTTGTGCAGAGTGCCCCCATGCGAGCAGATCAGGATGAGCCAGTCCGTTCCGCTATCTTTTGCCATCTTTTGTCACGCTCTTCTGGTCCCTGGCCCAGGGTTAACATCTGCAGATGCCTAGATCAACATGCCTGCGATCTTGTCACCTCTACGTATGATATCAGAAAGCCAAGATCTCTGTGTGATTTGCGTCAACTCTTAGCATTCAGATCGCTCTTTGTCAGATCTCAAAGATATCACGAGGATTGAAAGGGGTAACAGTCATCACGTGTCACCGATCAGGACAGAGGCAGACATTGTTCCGTATCCGGCAAACATGCATGCGTGCTTGCAACCACTCATCATCCCGATGTAGGATGCCTCACAAACAAGGTCAGACTTAAGCCCAGAGATTTGGCGTTTCTTCAATAATCGTTCACGAGCACTAGATCCGGATGATGAAGGCCTGTCCTTACGAGTGAATCAAGAGCGGTCCTTGACATCCAGTTCATCGTGCTGCTTTGGGCAACGAATGAAGTCTTGAGACGTTGACACATTTTAGCATTCAATTACACCTTGTTTCTTAGTAGCTGCAGGATGGCCTGGATAGGGTTATTTTCGAATATGGAAATCGACTTGGCGAAGAATAAATGTTGCATGGAAAACCTTTCTCTGAGGCATTGTGCTAGACAAGCGATTATGTGCTGACACCCCCTTTCGCTATGTCTTTAGCATATATCAATTCTGATAGTAGAGCAATTCTCATGCTTTGCGTGTCGAAGAAGCTTAACACACTTTAGGGAGTGGAAACGCAATCATGGGGCCAGGCGATTCTTAGTTCTCAGATAGGATACTGAAGCGCTTAAAGCTGCGCGTCTGAGCTGACAGTCAAACTCTGCTCAGATGCTGAAACATACACCGTGCGCGTAAGCCATGGTCGACACTCTGGACCATGATGATCCAGCTCAATGTTCATACGGGGATATATAAAAAGCTACATAATGATCACTGGACGTTCAACATTCCCGGGTTGGGCTTCTATTACGACAAGATCAAGAACAGGAAGAACAACCTCAAGAGTCAAAACTTGGAGATAAAAGACGACGCAATGTGGAAATTAGCGCTTCTCTTGACATCTTTCGCAGCGTCTACGCAAATCACTTCAGCTTTGCCCACTACTCAAAATGGTGGAAGGGCTGTCCTCCAGTCAGTAAGCGTCATCAACGCCCGCGATGCTAAATCTGATGCAGCTGACCCTGCAGCGTGAGCCCCTTGCGATGGCGAAGCTTCCTTGATGCTAATAGTACTAGCAATTTGTCCATGACGATCCCAGCCTCGAGCATAACCCCAAGAACCCTCAAAATCAATGTCAATCTTCCGCGTTATCGTAGACGCATTGAGCCAGCAGCGATATCTGGACTGCTCCAAATCTTTCAAGAGCAGCTTGAAAACAAAGGCGATGGCCCGATGAGAAATACTGAGATTACCAGAACTATGTATCCTCGGCTCCAGGTCGATTTACAGCCAGTTCAGTACTTGGGTGCTCAGACGATCAGCTATGACGAGGCCGCCGGGTGTGTGGGTCTCGTAAAGGCACAGGTGGAGGCAGAGCATGTGGTCACTGATTTCGAGTTTACTATCAAGGATGAGGATCTTTTATTGGCGGAAGGGACCCTGGAGTCGGTGGGCGACGGCTTTGCGAAAGTTGAAGGCCTTGAGGTCTCTACTAGCTCTATGGGCGTGGCGAGTATGTAGACTGAGACTTTGTGGAGAGTATGGTGAAAATGAGTGATCGCCAGGGTTTGAGCTCCTTTTGATGAACGTAATTGGCGAATGGCAAGATGTCTAGTTATTGATAGCAACACAAAGATAGTTCAACGAGTCAAACGGGATGCTATAAAGTATAGCTCTTCCTCTGCACCACGAACGACCATTCTACTTTCAATAACTCTTCATTGTTTACAATCGCTCATGAATGTCGCCGGAGTTGTACGCTCAGATCTAAAGTCGCTCGAATGAGAGCCGGAACACTATAAATCTCCCCTCGTGAGTAAGAATTCAAGCCCTCAATATCACTTGCAGTGTACCACCGCCGAAGCGCAGATTTCTTTTGAGGCGCAAACAAACTCCATAATCTTCAATAGTGATGCGATTCTGTGCAGCTTCGGCGATATTTTAAGCCAGCTCCCGACAGGAACATTTGAAGACGTGCGTCAAACCATCCAAAGCTTGCACACACTTGAACGCAACTCACATAGATGTTCGAAATTCCTTCCCTTTTCTGCTTTATATTGAAACAGGGTCCGTGCCTGGGGGTGAGTATGAGACCTTCGGCAAGCGCCTGAATCTGACGCCAAAGATAGAACCCCAAACGCGACTTTACTGACATTCGTCGCCACTACTAAGACTCTCTTGTCAAGCTGTGAGACCTCTGGCACCCTGAGGGTGGTCTAGCAATGGTTCATCTGTGCAGGTCAAACACCAAATCTTGCGCGCTTGAACGTGCAGTCAGGAGAAGCTGCACAATAAGACAGGCAGGCGCTGAGGCTGCGGCATGCGCCGGGTCTTTGTTGATATGAGAGGTGCATTAAAGACGTTCTTTATGATTGAGTCCTAGCTGCCGTAAACTCGACATGGGCAACATGTTGTTGTTGTCAATCGCTTCACTCTGCCTTGTGGCTCTCGAACACCTCTTTCATGGCTCTCCTACCGCGGCCGATGCTAGTATAATCTTTTAGAGTATAGGTATATGGAAGGGTCCCTCCACAAGCTCACTAGAAAATAGATTTCCTGCTGTCAGTCCCTTCTTTGCTTGCATCGCCTTTTGATTATTGAATCTACACATGCTAGTGGCCAAAAGGGTTAGCGCAGCTTTGCGTTTGTTCTTTCAAAGGACGCCTCTTGATTTCTTTGTCAACTGCTTGAACGCAAGACATTCCCTTTCATTCACAACTATAATGCATAATGAGCTTATTTCATGCTTTCTTCCCTGAAAGAAGTCTAATTCAGGACAGAAAATGCTATTATTTATCAACATTCAGCCACCAGTTTCAACGCCGATTTCCATTTCCTACCTTTTCACCACATTGACTTTCTCCAACATTGATCCAAACATTTACTGCAAATTTCCCGTTCCTATTGTTTCAAAGCACGATGCACATCTTCATCTTCTCAACTATCGCTCTGGCAGCGACTGTCGTTCTCAGTGTCCCGTTTGACAACACCACCAGACTTTACCCTAACACCACAGCCATTCTCGACAAACGAGACTCATTAGGCTGGATCGGTTCTCATCTGGGGGCGATGTGCAGTACGGCAACACCACTACCCGCAGGTACCCAGAAAGGTACAGAGGAGGGTGGATTCGTGCTCGCGCCACGCCCTAAACTTTACAACAATAAATGTACACCTTTCGGTCCCCAGACTCCGCAGATTGGCGTTGAATGGGGAGTAGGGGTTATGCAGTCTTCTAGCCTAACATTCTTCGATCACTCCGACTGCAGAGACGATAGTAAAATTGGACGTTATGACCGTTTGCCGAAAAGTCGGGGGGCTTGCTTGCGAACGAGTGATTATCCTGGCTTGAGCGCTATAAAAGCGTTTTGATATCATGTAAGCTTAGTGATAGGATAGTTTTTGTGTCGCAATATTAATAGACATTTATACATGATGTTGTAAAATGTATTTCGCTCTCGATGCTCCTGGGGATGGTCGAAATATTGCGATGAATCTCGCCTCATCTCTACATATCTGATGTGTACTCTGACTGAAGGCTTATGTCAGCAGAGCCGTTCCAAGTAAGCCCTTCCTGCTCCCCAGTCCTTGCATCTTGGATCCCAATCCAAAAAACTTATCATCCCGTGAACACAACGCTGCCATGACTTCAGAAATGACAATGAGCCATTCAGGGTGGCTTAGGTCATCGTAGAGTGGGCTGTGCTTTGATTCGTTATAGGGAGATGGCTCCTAGGTCGAGGTTAGGGCATATGTGTAAAAAACAAGGCTAGTGGTTAGGTCATAGCGCCAACTACTTTTCTTATCAGCAAATTAGCTTTCTGTAGCATTATTCCCGTGTAGATAGCCTACTCTAGAGACTTAAGCAACGCTCTTCTTGCTCCTTCCTATCAAACTTCAAAGTTTGATCATATAAAGACGTCGAGAAGGACCGCCCAGACAAAATCCAGAACGTGGCTTTGTCAGAGCGATCATGTAAGTGAAATTGAGGTCAGTCACTTATCGTATTTCGTCCAAGAAGAGCATTCTCATAGTTGTACACTAACACTTCTTTCAATGGCAAGTCGACGCACTTGACGCCTACATCATCGCAACTTATGACTTCAAAGTCGTCGTTTGCTCCACTGGGGCAGTTCTTATCCCAAGCTGAACCCTAATGTTCCCCTCCTTCCCCATCATGACTTCCCCTCCAGAGTCCCACGTGCCCTTCGCTCTACAATCCTCCATGATATCAAACGCCGCGCGATGTATATCTCGCCAGTCCGCTTCATCCGTCTTGGCCGAGATCAAATCCACCCAAACACGTACAATAGGATGGACTGGGTCGAAAAAATTCTGTGGCAAGTGATCAGGCGAGTCTTCTGGGGTTGAAAAGCTGAAATGTC